ACACACCAAATGCCTAATGAGAACTAACAAGTAAACAGTAAACACTAACCATCATTCCCGCCGCTTTGGCTGTTGCACACAATTGATTCTGTATGTATAACATTTAAGATTTATGAAGGTTATTAAACCATTCTGTTGAATGTCAGCTACTGATAAATTTGTAATATAGAAGAATTTGTATCTATCATTTTTTTCGCACGAGTATATTGATGGTTTTGGTTGGTGTCCCTGCGGCCTGCTACCTTCTTTGTTTGTTTTTTGTAAAGTTGGTAATCCTGATCATAACAGAAGGAGTTTCCATGTCTCAGCTTATTGCATTGGTGGTCAGTTTTGTATATGTGGATTGAATCATAGGTAGTTTTTCATGTATTTGTGAATGAATGTACATAGTGAAGATGTTATTCTTTGCAATTTCCATCAATAGTGACATAACTACATTATTGTATTACATACTTGAAATAAGTGTAGCATTACGCATTAAATTAGCATCAGTGCGTTAAAATTGTGTGCATTTGGGGGCGGTCCATTCTAGCTCTCTAACGCTGATTGGATTCCAGTGGCTGTGACTTTGCACGCATTCTAGCGATGATCGGATTCATCTGACTGTGACGTTGCACGCGTTCAAGCGTTGATTGGATCTTTGTTACTGTGATGATGTAAGCTCTGTTTTTTTTCCAATGAAACAGCTATGGCAGCTTGGAGAGACTTTTCAGTGATGATTATGGACTGAAAGTGTAGGTATGCTGGGCTTTCCAGATTTTTAGGTCATGCTTTCTTAATTGTTATGTGTACCAGTTAATATATTACCCCTCTGGAATTCCACAGTGCTTGGTACCAGTGTTGAATTCTAAACAGGTAATACACAATATGATATTCTCATGTTAATATAACAAAATGGATTGGAACTTGTACCTGCAATGGAATTTGAGGGTGTGGAGAGTCACAGAGCTTGACCCCAAGCAGTTTTTTAAGCCGTGAATTCCATATCTTGGCCTTGAAGAGCCATTAACAAGCTGCAAACTTATTTACCAAGTCCTGTGCATGTGTTGCCCCAAATCTCTATTTTACCCTAAAAACAAACAGCTTACAGCAACAATAATAATTTGTTTTTACTCAACTTTCTTAAGTTGCAACTGAACATGTGATAATGCAGTTTGACCGCTCTGACATACCACAACTATGCGATCTTCAACTAAATTTTCTGGTTTTGACTTGTTATTATTACGTTCGGCAGGATATTTTGGCTGAAGCATTGAAGTACTGCTGATTGAAGTTGAAAATTTTATGTAGGCCTTAATGACATGCTTGCAGGTGCAGCTTGCAAAGTGCAAATGCAATTTTTTCAATCAAACAAAAATTCATGATGTTAGAGCTGCAATATTTCAGAAAAAAAAAAGAATTTTTCCCACCTTGCCCATAGTAGATCAGCAAAGTATAATGGATGCCAGCATTATTGTACATAGGATATAGTCAGATGGGGTAAGACAGGACCGAAATCACTAACAAGCATGTAGCATCTATACCATCAATAAATAAAAAACCCTAAACCTATCACAAGGTGTAGTTATGCAATGGGCTTCTAAGCTACAACTCAGACTTTCTGCATACAACACAGTTTTAAACAAAAATTCATGATGTTAGAGCTGCAATATTTCAGAAAAAAATAGGACTTTTCCCACCTTGCCCATAGTAGATCAGCAAAGTATCATGGATACTAGCATCATTGTACATAGGATATTGGTTTAAATCTTGAGTAAATGAGAAAATGAAAAATGCACTGATTCTAAAAAATCACTACCTTGCCACTATGTCAAGCACCAGAGCACTTCATGCTTGAGGGACATATTGGAATTGTAGGAAGTGATTGATCATTTAGATCCACCAGGATGGTTTGAGGGCTTTAGAGTCCAGCCGCTGGACTCTAGAGCCCTCAAACCATCAAATGAGCCTTCAAACCGTCAAACCCCCTCCATGCTCAAGTTGAGCATGGAGGGGGTAGTGTCAGTTGTCGGCAGGAAGCATGACTTGGGAATGGCTAACCAAGGACCATGAGTCTGGTGCTGAGGCGCTCTCATCTGATTGTCCAGGGCATATGCTCCAATTTGGGCTGGCACACTTCAAAATTACACAGGTAGATGGTAATTGGTTGTGTGATGGCTTTGCCAATAGTTTGTTTTTTGGTTAATTTAACCCCTCACTGAATTCCATCAGAAGTTAGTGTTGAAAACATCTACTCTCCAAGCCACCATTGGATTTTGAAGCTGTGGATTCATTAATTATCAGTCAACAAGTCCATCTTTAGAACATGATTCTCTATACCAGACTCAGTAAGGTGCCAATGAAATTAATGGTAAAAAGTAGTATACAATTTTCCCATGCTTTCACCCTCCACAAGTGCTCTCTCCCTCTTTTCACCTATCTATTAAGCCAAAAAACTAAAAAGAGATATCAAAATATACACGGGGCACACAAAAACACAACAATATTATAAAAAAAACCCACAGGAAAAATAAAAAAAATAAAAAAAAAAGTTCTAGAATAATGATACATTCCCTGTACTTTGGCAATCCTCCCTAGTTTATCAATATAGTTGTGCGCAGTGTGTACTTACACAGATCTTTCTCAAATTACCACAAAGCAGACTAGGCAGCTTACTTGCAGGAAATAGACCAAGAGCTCCGTGACACTCCAGCACCCACCAACGCTCACATTGCCAATAAAATACTCACTGGACTCATTCTACAAGCAGACAAACACCATATACCCAAAGGAAAAATAGAAACAAAACAGACACCTCTACCCCAAGCCATCAGAGACAAAATACAAGAACGCAACCACATCAGGAAACAAAACGGACATGACTTGGCTATTCAACAACTTAACAGAGACATAGACCTTGAAATAAACATGCACAAACGCAACCTATGGAAAGAGCACCTCGATTGAAACTGGAATAACAAACACAATACACACATTCTCTGGAAGACAATCTCATCACTTTCAAATAAAACACCATGCCAAGAACCAAGCAAAACTATACAATTCACAAACACAACAGCATACACCAACAAAGAGATGGCAACACAATTCAACAAGCAGTTCATAAACACCAAACCTCACACAATAACAGGATAACAGAAGAATTAAATCACTGAAGGGCAACCCAATAAATATAACAACAGCCATGACCACACTTGCCATAATAACAGTAAAAATAATGAAGTAACTGGACCAGACCATGTCAACATACTCCATCTCAAACACCTGGGCCCCACAGCAATTACATACATCTCAAATATACAATATCACAATAAACTCCAATACAATACCCCACACCTGGATGTTAGCCACAATAATTCCAATACCTAAGCCTGGCAAAGACACTAACATAGGGTCCTCTTATAGACCAATTTCTCTTCTAAGTCCATTAGCCAAAACACTGGAAAAAATTATCCTTGACACAAACTCACCTCATCTCCCTAACATTGAACACCAACATGGCTTTAAACAACACCATTCCACCACCACAGCACTCCAACGCATCACAGAACACATTGCCACAGGTTTTAATCAAAAACGCCCACCACTTTGAGCAATAGCATTAGACATGAGCAGAGCATTTGATACGGTTAACCTGCACACACTCATCAACAAACTTTCCACAACCACAATAGAACACACTACACTTAAATACATAGCAAACTACATCAAAGGCAGAAAAGGCTTCACATAAGTCCATACCAATTCAAAACAGGCATACGACAAGGTGGAGTCCTATCACCCACACTGTTCAACATATACATTCCAGATATACCCTCACCTCCATCCAATATTAAAATAATTACTTATGCAGAAGACATAACAATCTTATCCTCCCACAAAGACTATAACACTGCTGCACAACACCTTCTTCCATACCTACAAACCATACACACATGGACCACAGAAAACCAACTATAACTCAACACAACAAAAAGCACTGCCACTCTCTTCACACCTGACCCGGCCAAATATAGCATACAACTCAACCTTGATATCAATAATACACTCATTCCAACAGTACGCAATCCTAAAATGCTTGGACTTACCTTTGACCCAAAGCTCACCTTCAGCACACACATTAGTAATACACACAACAAAGCCAATAACACCATCAAAATAATCAAATCACTTACAGCCACACAATGAGGAAAACAGAAAGAACTACTCACAACCACATTTCAAACAATTACACGTCCAATCCTCGAGTACGCAAACTCTTGTCTGCTTGTTAGTTTGCCAACTGCAAACAGCATCCAGTGCTTTTATGTAGCATAGTGTTTTAAATTTATCTATTATAAGTAGGAGGTGTGGGATGGTGCTGAATGTCATGCTAATGCCTATTGTAATCAAGAGTGTGTGGTGCACAGGATGCTTAGTGAACACAGTAATGTACAAAGTGATTCATTAAACATGCTGTTTTGTATTTCATGCCAAGCAGCCAGATGTGGTAGGAAAAGTGTGGGATTATTTCATATGAAAGGCAAGGTCATGAAATTTTGTGTCCCACCTAATAAGTTGCTGCTATATGTTGGAAAAGTGTGCAGTGTGCGTTTGCTGTCTAGGCATAGTTATTGAATGGCGATTCCATTATCGGTAGTAGTACTCAACAAGTGGACTGCCACATCACCTGAAAATGTAGCAAGTAAGAGGGACGTTTCTGCATTCTCCACACTGTTCAGCATGTGAAGATGCTTCTTCTTGCAATTTATATTGTAATGATATGTTTAATAGTTTTTTTTATTGAACTTTGAAATCCGGAAGTTTCCATGAATCACCCTGTGTGTGTTATGGGGTTGGTGAGGAGTATAGTGGTGGAGGGATGGGCTCTGCACCACTACACTTCAGGGTGGTGGATTTGTTTTCATTGTTTATTGCAAATTCTTTTTTTCATTTTAGAAAGTTTACCATCATTCTAAAGTAAGTTATAAGAATAATTGTATTTCTTAATCACAAATTATTTTCTTGGTTTGAATCAGTGTTAAATTGTTTCAGGTTGTAACATTTTCCCCTGGTTCATATATTTCAATGCTTGATGGCTAAAAGTGATGAAAGATGGTATTTTACAAAGAGAGAAATAGAACAATCTCCAAGCCGCAAATGCGGCATGGAACCAGAGAAAGAAATTTATTATCGACATCAGGCTGCCACCTTGATCCAAGAAATTGGTCAACGGCTGCAAGTGTAAGTCATTCTCTTTTTATTGTTATCATAATATTTTATTGTATTGTTCATCATTAATATTTTAATGTATTTTTCATCAATAAAATTTTACTGTATTGTATTGTATTCACAGTCAAACATAGATGAATAAAGGTTGTGTAGTGAGTCATTAATTGTGTTATAATTTGAGCTGTGTGTTATAATGAAAATTGGAAGAAGAGATCTTTTTCAATTTTTCACCAAAATCAGCTGTGTGTTATAATTTGAACATCCTAGGTATATATTTTTAGCTATGCAAAGCTGTCCTGTTTGTGTTTAGCAATTTGTCCGCTTGTCAGTCAATCTGAGCAAATCCTGTATAAACTGCTGTTAACTATTCAATAATGGTTTTCATACTGTTTCTAAAATTAAAAAACCTCTTACAGTAGCTCTAACAATTGATCAAAATAAGTTTTTGATGACTTATATTTTTATAGCATAGTTATGTTTAAGTTCATTTATTTGATACATTATAGGTTATACTCTTGAAACCTTCATGAGTTAGTTAGATGTTTACCAGCTTGTGGTATAATATATTGATTGAGATTAGCCAATGGAAAATTTTTGCATCCTAAGCATAGTTTTTTGTCACTTTTTGATAAAAGATAAATACACATAAAAGTTTTTTTTAATGCATGTAGCATTCTGTTTTAGCAATTAGGTAATTACTTCAGCAATATTACAATATTCATTACATAGACATCAAAGTTGATGAGCATTGATTTATATTGCAGAGGTCAGCTGGTCATCAACACAGCCATAGTCTACATGCATCGCTTCTACATGATGCACTCCTTCACAAGGTTAACCTCAGTCACGAGTCTGTGGATGAGTTTGCTCAGTATTCTATCTTCTTGCAAAGTGGTTTATAACACACCGGTAACACTAAACATCAGAATCAAACAATATCTGGACAATAAATTTTTCACAAAATCAATTCAATGAAATGATAATAATTGATATGCATAATATTAGTTGCATTTTATGCAGGTTTCATCGCAATGTCATTGCGCCAGCTGCTATATTTCTAGCAGCCAAGGTGGAAGAGCAGCCTCGTAAACTGGAGCACTTGATTAGATTTGCACATCTCTGCATCCACAAAGATGTTCCTGCCCCAGATGTCACTTCTGAGGTATTTTAGTTGACAAGTTTACTTTTTATTTACTTTGATAGAAGCACAGTTTTACTAATACCTGTTTGCTTGTGGGTTAAGCTTGATTGATTTCAAACGTTTCTATCAGAAATGTTTCTATCAAGAAATCATTGCTATGCCAGTGCAGTGCCATCATCTAAACTATTGAAAAGTTTTTATTTCAGTACAACTCAAATTAGAAATTAATAATAAATTCATAATTTTATACATATGCTAGCAGACTACCAGAGCTGATTCCTTAACTACTGATTACTAAATTAGTATTAAATATCAAAATTGTCAAGCAATGCATTTTCCTGATAGAATATATTCCTCTATCTGCAACTTACATTTACAGAAGCATGTTATTATTTATAAAAATAACCTTAACCATCACCTGGCATCATTAGATATTGGAATTGATATTTTTTATGCACAAAAGAGCAGTTAAACTTGTGATATTTGTTATAAAATTGTTTACATTCTGAACATCCAAGTCAAAAATGTCAATGCTGTGGCCATTATGGTTAAAACATATTTGTTATTTGACTTAGCAATGAATCAGTTGACTTGAAAATGTCAAGCATTATCTGCAGTTTCTAGTTGGTCAAAAATTGTGCATGAAATTCATTTAGTTTACTGCAATCTTGTTTATTTGCTCAACACTTGGGGTTGGCTTGCCTTTGCTGGGAAATAAATTTGCTTAACCTATCTACTTTGAGGAAATAAATTTTATTAAGCTCTTCATGTTGTACACCATGTAGGTAGTCAAAGACTTGTGCATTTGTTGATAGTTTCCCCAAGTTAAACATTCCAAGGTAAGTAAAAATTTGACCTTGCAATTTTTTCTCTAATTAGTGCTTGTGAATCTGTGCTGTTTTGGTATAATTGTTATGCCTTATAGCTTTGCACATACTTGCATATTACTGATTGAAACTATCAGCTGAGTTGTGCCTTATTTTTTATAACCAATGCATGTTTCTAATGGTGATGTTTGTTTTGATGGTAAATTCAACATCAAAACGTTGAATTTAATCAATGCTTTTTGCTGCACTAGTGTTTAAATTGTTCACTAAGTATGAACTTAGGTTGGTTTAACTCAAACTAAAATTATGAAACTCGTATGCTTGCTTTTACTGCCATGTGCAGGAAATATAATAAGCTTAATTTGTCCAGTGTGAAGAACCTCCCAACAAATGTTTTTCTGCACATTTTTTCCCCTTGCTTTTGTTGACGAATTTTTTCCTCTTGCATGTGCAGCATGTCATTTCCTGCTTGCATGTCCACTGCATTTTTATAGAGGAAACCCTGCTCATTCTATTATGATGTGAAATCTTGGTTTGAAATTGCATTTGCTTCTGCTTTCAGATTATATTGGAGGCTGAGAATATCATGCTCTCAACCTTTGGGTTCGATCTCACTGTAGAACATGCAGAACCTTTCATTTATAAGTTTTTTCAAGATAACCCAAAGATTGTGGTAAGTGTCAAGCTCATTCAGTATATCTTGACATTGTTTAGGTCAATGAGATATTGTGTGCATTACTTTGTGAAGCTGTATGGTTCATTGTGTGCATTATTTTGTGATGCTGTATGGTTCACTGTGTGCATTATTTTGTGTTGCTGTATGGTTCATTGTGTGCATTATTTTGTGATGCTGTATGGTTCATTGTACGATATTGTGAGGTTTATTCTGACATTATATTGTTTATTGTGTTGAATGAACATTCAACACAATGTCACAACATTTGGTTGAATTTTCATTCAACACAATTTTATTATTATAGTCAATTTTTTTTCAGGGTTTGATGCTTTATCTTAGATGCGCCGGTTGTTGGTTGTCAGTTTTTTCGAGTTGACTTCATCTTCTTTGTGCTATTGTTGATTTTTCATGCTATTTAGTTCTGGTGTTTGCCAGTTCTTAATGGCAGTGCACTGGGTGGCATTTGGTTAAATTTATTTATACCATGTGGGTCTGTAAAACTATACATTGTATGTGGGTATAAGAACTGATTGACTGACCTGTTATAGCTGTCTATTTACTTATTATAATATATGGTATAATAACTGACAAACTGACCTGTTATAGCAGTCTATTTACTTTTATAATATATGGTATAATGACAGACTGACTTGATATAGCAGTCTATTTACTTATTATAGTATATGAGTATAATAACTGATAATCTTACCTGATATAGCAGTCTTTTTACTTATTTTAATATATGGGTATAAGAACAGACTGACCTGTTATAGCAGTCTATTCACTTATTATAATATATGGGTATAATAACAGACTGACCTGTTATAGCAGTCTATTTACTTATTATAATATATGGGTATAAGAACAGACTGACCTGTTATTGCAGTCTATTTACTTATTATAATATATGGGTATAAGAACTGACTGACCTGTTATTGCAGTCTATTTACTTATTATAATATATGGGTATAGGAACTGACTGACCTGTTATTGCAGTCTATTTAATTATTATAATATATGGGTATAAGAACTGACTGACCTGTTATTGCAGTCTATTTACTTATTATAATACGTGTGTGCAGGCATATCACGACAAAGCCCAAGAAGTTGTGGTCAACGAGAACATTCTCCTGCAGACACTTGGCTTTGATGTAGCCATTGATCATCCACACACACATGTTGTCAAGTGTTGCCAACTTGTTAGAGGTGAGCTTCCTCGTTTGGTAATTTATCTACATTCTAATAGCTTCATGTTCTTGCAAGTGATTTAAAACGTCATTCTAACATTTTCTTAATCTATCGTATAAATAAGAGACCAGCACAATCATCATATATGTATGTTGTATAACTTGATAATAAGAAAAATCTTCAACTATTTTCTGGGTTGAAATGTGAATCATTGTTGCTCAGCTCACCTAAAATGCACTTAGAAGAATTGTGAGATTATGATACTGAACTACAGTACTAGATTTATATTCAATTATAAATATAACTTTATTATAACCGATAAAATTCATAAGTTTTGAAATCCTTTCTTGTTACTCCATTGTTGGTTCTTTTCTATTAAAAATAACATTCACATATAAAGAAAATGATTTTTATTTCATTAATACCAGTGATACTTGATGCAATATTATAGTTTCTCTCGTTTTTGAAATCATTTTATTGCATTGGTTTTGCCAGTTCAGCAATCACAATTTTTAATCATATGCATTGCCCTTTCCTTCATGTTGTTCATTGATATGATTAACAGAAGGTATCTGAGGCATTTTTTGATTACAGCCACCAAGGACCTGGCCCAACGGTCCTACTTCATGGCTACCAGCAGGTATGGAACTTTCTACAGTGCCTTATCATCAATAATTGTAGCTCATTCGACCACTGCAAATAGTATTTCTTCACAGATGCACCCTTAGAAAATAGTATTATAATTTTTTTGTTTGTGGTAGTTTTCCTTGCATCATGGCTGGTTATGCGAAGAAGTTTAATTTGAAATCCAACGTAATGTTTTGCATTGTTACTTGACTATAATGTTTATGATTCTGTAAGATCCACTAAGTAAAAGGTCGATCATAGTCATTTATTTATGTCAAAGAATCACTCGCTATTAAAGAATATCACCATAACAAATTGACCAGTTCCATGTGTATGTATTTTTCCATGTAGGTTAAGTTAGAGAAAGAGGTTAGTAATAATAAAGGAATTATGATGCTAATTCATTGATATCTTTCAGTTTACACTTGACGACAATGTGTCTCCAGTACCGACCTACGGTTGTTGCTTGCCTTTGCATCTTCTACGTCTGCAAGGAGAACAACTATGAAGTAAGCTTCTAATTCCTCTATTTACTACAAATTACCCGCTTCACTGGATCCAGTTATAACCACCACTTGAGCTTGGGAATTTAACTTAATCATAAGTGATATCTATTAAATATTTCCCACCTGTGTGATTTTCAACACTTTTTTGAAGACAGCGTTATTTATTTCTATTATTCCTCATTGCCCTAATCTTTGTTATGAATAATTATAACTTCAAGCCTATGAAATTTTGTCTTTGCCACTCAAACGTTGTCAACTTCAGTCTTACACTGTAGCTTGTAAAACTCATATCCTTCTACCAGATAAAGTCTCATTTCTAAACACCATTTGCAACATGTAACAGTGAAACTTTCACAGATTCAGCGACAAACAACTGAAGGTATGGACTGGTTCTACTACGTAGACAAGTCTGTGACGATCTCCCTGCTGGACAGCATGTGCAAGGAGTTCCACAACGTCGTTGACAAGTGTCCAGACAAAGTGAGGAAAGTGATCCGCTCGACCAGCAGCTTCCCTCCACGAGTGAGCAACCTACCCAGGCCGGCAATTCAGCCCCCTCCATCTCACAAAGTGCCTTGTGAGTTTCGTTGCTTTCGTTCACTTTACAACTGTAAAATAAGTCATTATCTATACCCTTTTAGTTTTATGCATCTTCAAATGTATTGTGCTCAGGAACCGACTGCACTGCGTTGCTAAAAAAGGTATTCACAAATACACTTAATAAATTTGACACTCAGTTTACAGCATCTTCATCTCTATTCATGCTGAAGTAGTCAATTCGGACAAAATTAGTCATGATATAAGAATTCATAAATTTACTACCTATTAACTGATGAGCATTTTATCACTTGGGTTGGCTCTTCAATTAATCAGTCCATTCTTAATATCTTTCATTTTCGGAGGATCCTTTATATCTTGTTTTATTGTTGAAGCTGGCATTTCTTGTGCAGCTGCTTCGAACCCGGTTGGGAAAGCTCCACCAGCAACCACAGCAACACAGCCACCCAACCGCATCAGCATCAAGGATTATGAAAAACGCGACAGAAGTAGAGAAAGAACACAGCCGCAACAAATGCGTCATGCATCTTCTACTTGCCCTACATCTTCTTCGCGTCCTCCTTCTACGAATGCTATGTTACCTCATGCTTCCATACAACAGCAACAATTACAGCAGCAACAACAATTCCAGCAGCAGCAGCAACAACAACAGCTACTTGTTTCCCAGACGTTGGCTGGCAATAACAACAACAGCGGTAGTGGTGGTGGTGGTTCGAACCATCACCACCACAATGTGTCATCAGCAGGCCCTGTGCCAACAGCTATGAGTGCTGTGGGTGCAGGAAGTAAACATTCTTATAGCAGAAACTCCCAGAATCATCAACAAGTCCGACATAGGCACGGACATGAGCAGCAACACCAAAATCCAGATAACTTACGGTGGATGCAAGACCGCAACAAATATAACGAGCAACAACACCAGCTACACCAGCAGCAGTTCTTGCAAGAACAACAGCAGCAGCAGCTGCAGCACCAGCAGCATCAACAGGCGCTTAGAAGAAGTGCTAATATTCCTGATAGTACTAGCCAGCGAAAGCTTTCCGCAGAACTCCGGCTACAGCAAAGTGCTCTGAAACAACAAGAGTACAGAGTTGACCCGCAAGTCGAGTTTACAACTGAGATCAAACAGGAGAAAATGCCAGTTGTTGAAGTGAAGCCTGAAAAAATTGCATTAACTGAGATCAAGAAAGAATCTAGTCAGAAACATTTGATGAAGGTGGAGAAATATGAGGGCAAAGATCACAAGTCCTTATTGAAAGTTGAACCCAAAACTGAATTGAAGGATGACCCCACTGATAACTTCATATTCAACAACAATGACAGCACCGACTTCAGCCTGAGCGACTTTTTGACGTTTGGTGACGCGCCGCCCGAGAATATTTTTGATACTCAGTGCCCCACAGATCCCAACTCGAGCCTCGCTCCTGCCACCCACCACAGAGGTCTGTCCCCTCCACCACCCTCGATGCCTGCAAGCCAGTTATCTTCATCGCAAAAGCAGCAGCGGAGCTCTGAACCGAACCCCTCTATTGTCCATAGAAACCAACAGCAGCAACAGGAGTTAGCGAGACAAGAAGCTCAAAAGAAAGAGATGTTGCGTCAACAAGAGGCGCAAAAACAAGAGAAACTGAGACTGCAGGAGATCCAGAAGCAAGAACTGCAACAACAACAGCAGCAGGAGGCACGAAGGAAAGAGCGTCTCAAAATTGAGGAAGAGCAAAAGCAAGAGTTGTTGCGTCAACAGCAAGAAGATGCTCGTAAGCAGGAGTTGATTCGACAACAGGAAGCTAAAAAACAACAGCAAATTCTGCAACAGCGCCAACAGGAGGAAGAACAGAGACAACTCGAGCATCAAAGGAAGCAACTCGAGCTCATGAAAGAACAAGAGCTTAAAAAGCAACAACAGCTGCAGCTCCAGCAAGAACAAAAGATCTTAAAGGAGCAGCAAGAAATGAAAAGGAAGGAAGAAGAGAATGCAAGACGGGAGATGGAAGCTATGCGGCGGCAACAGCAGCAGCAACAACAGCAAATGCTTTTGTTGCAACAGCAACAAGAATTGGCGAGCCAATCGCATTCTAATGGCAACAATAGTCGAGAACATAAATCAAGTAGCAGCTATAGAAAGAAAATACGTGATCATCACATCAGCAGTATGACAAACTCCCCGGTTGCCTCTACTGCTGCAGGCATTGGTGCAGGAATTTTAAGTCCAGGTACCAAACCATATCGGCCTGAACACCATCCACTACCAGTGGGATCTACGGCGGCGAAGGATCTTTTACCGGAGTTAACTAAAGCTGCTTCTACCCGACCCAGTAGTCCAAGAAGCAAAAGTTCTATGATGCTTCAGCCTCCTCCTTATCAAGCCAGAGATGCTTTAGCTCTGAGTGAAGAAACCCCCATGGATTTGGAATTTTTAAGCAGTCGTGACTCTCGAAGAGACCACAGACCGTCATCTCATACTAGTCTTAGTCTGTCTCAATCTTCGTCATCCATGCCTCCCACGCAGCCGCCACACGCAGCATGTCATCCACGAGTCAGTGCCCCGTCCTCCCACAAATCCAGTTCACAAAGATCATCCAGCTCAAGTTTATTCAACACGGAAAGTCCGCCACCTCCTTATCCTTTAGTTAACAAAACAGAACCTTTGCATCCTTCGCTAGGAGGCCTCGGTAGTGATTCATTAGTAAAGCCTGGTAGCGATCCTTCAAAGGCTTTCAAATCTCATCGGCACGATCAATTAATGGGCGACCCCTCCGTTTCTATGGCAAGCTCTTCCAACTTATTAGGCACGGGACCTCTTTCACCTCAGGTAATTTCTCATAAAAAACACAAGAGTGATCACCATAAACGGAAAGAGAAGAAGAAACATAAGCACAAGGAGAAAGATAAGCACAAAGATCGCGAAGGAAAAGAGCACAAGAAAGAGAAGAAGAGTAAGAAAAGCAAGGACAAGGACCGAGATCGTGAAAAGAAACGAGAACCGCTGCCTGTGCCCGAACTTGCTACGCCTTCTCTGAAAATTAAAATTTCCATGGACAAAATAAATGCTACTCCTGAAGTGATGAAGAACGTTCAGGAACCATTGGCCCCCATCCCGCCAACTCCAGTGGTGTCCATCGCCGATCCTTCCACGCCGATCTCCACTCCCGGCAGCGGAGGCCTCAAACTCAGGATCTCGAAAGCGCTTATTCAGCAGACCAGCGGAGGTGAAAGTTCAGGGGAATCAAGCTCTCGCAAGTCAAGAGGATCCAAAGATCCTCAGAAGGAATTCAGGAAGCGTGACCGGGATTCCAGTCCTGTGGAAGCGGGGCACTCTGCCAAGCAGGCTCGGCTGAGCGTGCATCGCCCGGCACCGCAGGTTCGTGCTAGTATTAATGACTCTACCGCACACCTTAATAACGCTGTTATAACCAAGACACGACCTGCGCCTAAAAAGATTGAGAAAATCTCTTCATACGACTCTAGTGTCGTAGAGGGGCCTAGTTATACGCCACCTCATTCTATAGCTGATCAAATTGCTCCTATCCCTAACGGTCGCAGTGCAGTAGATAAGTCTAAGAATTCCTGTAACAAACCAACTTCCTCTATTAAAAATTCTGTGTCTTCCTTGAAGAAAACAACCAGTCAGATTAAAAAATCCGCTCTCCCTCTTTCCTCTGAAAAGCAGCCTCCTAAAACAACAGTGCTTAACAAACATTTAACCCAGAACACATCATTCCCCGTACTCCCCCCGAGTCCCCCAAGCACTACGTCCTCAGTGGGGCGAGCTGTGGACGCCGTCAAGACCACAGTTGCCAGCAGCAACACCTCGGCTCTTAGTTTCCCTGCAGCAAATCTTGCCCCCAAGACTCCCACTGCCCCACAAAACATCCCCTACTCCAACCTCCGTCATCCCAGTTACCAGCGTGGGGGACGAGGACGTCGTGGCCGTCCCCCATACACCCCTCATCTCCCCGCCCCACGCCAAGCCCCTCCCTCATTCGTCCCTTACCCTTACATGGCGGCTCCTGCTCCCCATTTCCCCAATTATTACGGCATGCCTCCCCAGTTTGCTTACCCTCCCGGCTACCACTTCCCGCCTCCCCCCGACCCTGTGATGGAATCTCTTCTGTTCCACCAGAACACACCGCCTCCACCTAAAAGCTTACCCGCGCCTAACCCTCCCCTGCCCTCTGATCCCCCTCCTCCACCCTCCCCTCCACCTCCACCACCCTCCTCCCCACCTCCTTCTCCCCCTCCGCTTCCTCCAGCTGAATAAAATTTAGTGTATTTATCTTCCAACTTACCACGTTCATTCATTACCCATATTGACCTATCAGTACTACACAAATTACAGTTATAATTTAAATATTCTAATAGATCCTTCTTCATCCCTTACCTCGAGACCGGATAAATTCTCCTTCACGTTGCCTTACCAATTTAGAATACAATGCAGTTCCATGACTTGATGTGCTGCGACTTCTTCATTTCGAAGCGTCGTGCCTGTTCTTACGCTCGCTAACACCACTCGTATTAGCTCACTTCAACATCTTGGTACTTGTTTCACCTGTCATTTTTAGAAATAATATTCATTCCGTGTGCATTATTCGTTCGCGTGTAAGGTTGTTGCTGTTGATGTTTTTTATGACTGTGGTAGCTTCATAGTTTGTAAGTAATCTCGGAAACAAGAAACTATAAACTCTTCTTGTTTACAAAGTTTAAGTAACGAGGCTTGGTCGCATCAAGAACCACAGCGCCCACCTACTCTTTACCATCGCCGATGCTCCGATAAAAATGTTCTGTGTCAGCTTTCATTGAATGGATTTTGTGTAAAATTCATCATACTATCCAGATGTATTGTTTGATTCCGCTATTCAATTTACTGATCCTTATAGTACGATCCCTTCAAGTGATGTGTGTTCGCAATCAAATTAGTTTGTTATACAAGTCTTAATTGGAAGCAAGATTGTCACGAATTCACTGACATCGCTTATTTTAAATTAAAATTTATAATGTGTTGAATTGTGTTAGTTCATTGTTAATTGTGTTTTCGTGTTACCCTCTTAGTTGGTTGAATATTTGCCTGATTAATGATTAATATTAATGATGATAATTAACGAATTGACATTTATGACCTTTTGTGATAAGCTATGATATTTACCTCGAGCATGAACTTGCATACATTTCCCATTTTCATCGAATGCACGTTCGCTTTCTCTTGAACATCTCACCCTTGATCAATAATTCGATTTCTTGCCACCCAATCCCGACTTGATCTGCCTCTGGAATTTGTTACAGATGCTGTTCTATATTATAAGTGAATACACGCTTAATTTTATGTTGCTTGTTTGTATCAACTCCTCTTTGAACTCCCGCACTTGTTTCAATTCATGCAATGGTCTGCTTCGATCTCGATCGAATACAGTAGAATAAGTGATTGAGCCTTCCTTCGCAACCTTTTATTTTACATGAGCACTAACCCAGTACGCACCTGAATGAACTATAGAATATTACGAGGACGGTCCCTTCAGTCATTGCAAGACCAAAACATCGTTTTTTGTTTTGCCCTTTTTCTCCTTTACTGCTAGCATGTATGGGATTAAGCCAGATATATTCCGTTTGGTTGTAAGCCGAATTCTGACTTGCTAATATCAGAAAAGGAACAGAAACTCGAAATTCCAAATATACCACGTGATAAACTATCCAATAATTTCCCATTAAACCCTTTTGAATAATTCCAACTAAGTTTGTTAAGATCATTCATTTTCTACGGTTTATAGAGAAGGTCTAGAACTAAGAATAGCATCGCTTAAAACTTTGATTCGCTCTAACCATTAACGCTTAAATCGTGAGATCTCTCTATTTATTTCATCAAAATCTCTAAACTAAGACCGGCACATTACCCTCTCACTGTTTTCTTAATGTCGTCTTCTGGTTGAATGGTGAACATCAAGAATTCCAATCTGTATTACATTGAGTGTTTTCCCCTCATCGTTCCAAGGAGGATTTTTGGTCTTCAAACCGTTTCAATTATTCCGGCAAGCCTTGAGATATTTGAACGGAACTAACAGTCCATCTCGCAGGTTTTTTATCGTTGTAATTGAGTTTAAACTCTATTGCTGGCCAATTGCTTCCAACTTCTCGTTATGATTTAGGAAGAGCTTATAATCAATACGTAAATTTATGTCAGTTAGCAATCTGCTGAAAATAACCGTTGTGCTGTCCTAAAGTTGTGTTTTTGTGAAGTATTTTGTTTAAACTTACTGCGTGTTTTTGTACTGTTGCGTCGTGTTCTTACTGAGCCGTTTAGTCTTTAGTTTCTGTCATTTGTATAAATGATTGAATTTTCGTATAATTACGATAAATTTTATGGATGTGTTAACTCGACAGTAAAATCCTCTAAAACTATTATAATACCTTTTGAGCCGAAAAAAAATATCCATCAAAGGACCCGATACGACTGCCTCTCCTTCACGAGGAACAGTAATTAAGTCACAGTCGTTCTGCACCACATATCTTTAATTATAAGTTTATTCTCCGCGTGTCTTTTGATTGTCTTGAGTTACTTTGTGTTCGCAATATGCTTTATTAGGATTTCGTATCCGATGACTTGAACTGTCCTTATTTTGGAGATATCGAATGACTAGTCTTTACTTTGGTGTTAATAGTTTAGTTATATATAGTTTTTCTTTAGTATAGCTGCTCTGTAAACGGGAAAAATGAATACTCTTAATGATGTAGAATCACGCATCATCTGTTGATATGCATGCGCTGTGGTAGATACTCTGTATCTTGTGTCATGATTAATTAGCTTGCTTAACTCTGCGACGATCAATATTGAATATATTTTACAGATCCAAATAAACGACCACTGTTACGACATTACTTGACTGCCCTTTACATTTGCTGCAAGACACTGACGCACAATTACTGTCTGACTTCTGCGTCACGACCAGGGAACTGATGACGTTAGGAAATAAGATTTTTAATTCGATAAGTTATAAACGTAAATTAGTTTAATACTTTTGCGTTTATGTAATGTTAACTGTTCACATCATTGAACAAAGATCACATCATTCAGATTTGAGCTGGCGGAATTGATCTGAGACTTGATTTACCTGAATTCTCCCTGTTCCTGTATTTATTCAAATAACGTTAATAAAATAAATTACTATTTCAATGACAAATTTTCGCTCAAGTCCTTGCTTCTCGTTGGCATCATACAAGTACATCATTTATTTGTCATGAACTAGCGTTTATTAAGATTCCAACACAAGTTATAAAGACATCGTGCCTGTAGTCGACGTTCGTGCGCAAGATTTGGCCTCTGCCTGGGACAGACTCTCGGGACCAGTGACGCGTGTAGCTCGCTTGGCTCCGTTAGTCGGACGCGCGTTGCGCTTATTTCAGTTAATCTAACGGCTTGATTACTGTCAGGTCTGAAGACATCTTGGTCTGACCCGTGTTATGTTTCATAACTCTGGTCTGAAGACATCTTGGTCTGACCCGTGTTATGTTTCATAACTCTGGTCTGAAGACATCTTGGTCTGACCCGTGTTATGTTTCATAACTCAGGTCTGAAGACATCTTGGTCTGACCCGTGTTATGTTTCATAACTCTGGTCTGAAGACATCTTGGTCTGACCCGTGTTATGTTTCATAACTCAGGTCTGAAGACATCTTGGTCTGACCCGTGTTATGTTTCATAACTCAGGTCTGAAGACATCTTGGTCTGACCCGTATTGTTATGCTACATAACTGTCTGGTCTGAAGACGTCAAAAATCAGCTTGGACTTACCCATATTATAATGGTTGATAACTGTCGAGTGAATTGACAGCAACTTCGACTGATGCGATGTGTATACTTCTTGATCGAGTTAGTTGACAGCAACTTCGACTGACACGAACTGTACTGCTGACTGATAGTGAGTATACAACTGACGTATTATTTGGTGCATGTTCTTCATTAACTTTTCTTTGTAATTCTATATATTAAAGTGATAAGAGTTTTCGAGTTTCTTTCTTATCTATCATTTTTCAGGTAATAATAATGTTATGTATATCCTTCATACGAATATTTTGTGTAGCTCCACGTGGCACGTGAGAAAATTTATGATATTCATGGTAACCAATGTGTTGATAAATTGCCCATGGCAAGTCAGATTCTATTCTACGTATGTTCACAAGTTGAAGCCTATCGATTATAAGCTTTATCATCTACTTCATACAGAGCAGAACAATGTTGCTAGATTTGTCCTTTACCGATATGTGCAATATAATTAATATTGAAAACTTGCGTGGATACAAATTCCACGGTTTAAAAATGTAGCAGGTACATGTGCTCTGAAGTATTGTTCTGGTCTTCATTTCAGCAACTTTCTTCCGTCTCTGTGTTAGTTTTTTCTGCGTTATGTATATGCGTATCCTCATCGTATCTTCTTTCATGGGTATTTGGCACACTTTTATAGTCGGTGCTATCTCTTTATTTGCCATGTTTCCCTCCTACCATCATAAGCGTGTATATTCTCGTGCAGATTTGTTACCTGTACAATTCCTTTTTGCACTTTTCCTGAAGCATTCAAATGAAAGTACCGTTTTTCAATGCATTTTTGACTTTGGTAATGGCATCAGAGTGCGAATTCCCCTATATAATCCCTATCCTCCTGGTTTCATTTTCTGAGGAGAATTTATGGCAGCTGAATTTTTTTTAGACATTTAAACTTGTGATACGTTTCACCATTATCGAAAAAATAAATTGATGAGCGCCATATAAATTTTTCCCTGAAATTGAAACTAGCGAGATGCATGCATGTAGTGTTGTAGTCGCCATTGTGCGACAGCTTTTTTTAAAGCTTGGGTTTGAATGCTTTTGCAGGTGCTGGATTCTTCTAGATGGGGACTGTAGAAGATGCTCATCCATTGTGTCTACTTCATCACAATCATCCGTCGTCATTTTGAAGATCGATGGCTCGTGCGTCTAAGGTTCCACGGAAATGTCGACTTCGCGTGCGGCGGTAATGAAAATGATCGCCGAAGAAAAATAATTTATGATGATAGCCTTCCAACCACCGCATTTAATTTGCTGTGGTTTTTTTCTTGCCTCTCCTTGTGTACTGGGTACTGTTGTCAGCTTTAGGCGGTCGTGAAGAAATATTCATCATCGAGTAAAAATCGGCTGAGCTGGCCAGATTCTTCTGATGTCCATCTTCAGATGCACGGAAGAGAAACCTAGGAGCCAGAACTACCGATGTTGAATTTTTTATTTGAAGAAAAGATTCAATGAACGTAGCCGATAGCAGAATACTTCGCAATGAACCATTTCATGTGCGTGTATATGAAACATTGTTTCATTTCTGTTGCTGATGATAACGATCTTGCACTCAACATTACTCCACGAAAATCACCGGATTTACGTGCAAGCACACGCAAAGAAACATGAACACATTCCTAAGAACATAGCTAGTACATGAGCCGATGCCCTGCCTTGTGCGTCGGCAACTACAAATCCGGAGTCCGCGTGATCAAAAAATTTAGACCTTTGAAAATCGCCTCGTTTTCACGACCGGAAAAGGAGTGCATTGCTTCCTCTACCTTCCGTAGAGCCTTCAGTGTTTGGCCGGAGTAGGTGGCGGAACCTCTATCTACGTACTGGTTTATGGGCTGATCTTTATAACTGTGTGTTGCGTGTGTGGTGTTCTGTAGTAACGCTTGCATCATCTCCATCATCACTTGCTACCTTTTTTCATCTTCTCACGAGATTCCCCGAAACTCGATGATAACAAATGCCAGTGATGTAGTACGAGTAGCTCAGTAAGTGGTTTCTCTAGCGACCGCTTGGTGAAGGAGAGGAGCGGATGTGTGCACACTATCTTTTTGGTATTATATGGAGGTATGGCAGCATGACCATGTTTTTTGATATTCGTCAGGGAATCTTAATGGGTTGTCGTCGGGAGTACTGAACAAATGTAGGGATTAACGTCGTTAATCTCAATAACGTATCATGCTAGATGTTGTCCACATTTGTTTACTATACGTTTTTTTTAGTTGTATCATCACTCCGTCTATATGTTCTCGGTCCTGAGTGATTGATGGAACGAGGAATACTAGAGTGGACACTATCGTATTGTTCAGTCTTCGAAATGCAGTGTTATAGTACGTTATTTACCGACTTCGGACCTGCTGTCTTGACGTTGCAATTACAATTTTGATGTAAGTTTTTGTGAATTAAATATTTGCTCTTGATCATGCATATTATCGTCCCTCACCTCGCTGTTACTTAATTATCGTATATGAAGGGTGTCTATTTCACGCAAGTGAGCTTAGCTAATTTTTTTTTCATGATTTAAAGTGTACGTTATTCGACAGTTTACTTTTTATCGGACTAGCTTTTATCTTGGGTTATTATTTATTCTCCTCTTGTGTCTCGTATCGTTTAGATTAATTTATGATGTACGGATTCAGGGATGACACGCAATGCTCGCGCTTCTCTGGGGCCTCTTGATTGGACGGTTTAGCGTGGTGACCAAAAAAATGCCTTTTTTTATTTTAACTTCTGGGGCGACTGGTACAAAATTCTCCTTCATTTGCTCAATAAGAAATTGGCTTTGGTTGATTTTCTGTCTAATTTGATGCCTTTTATTTCGTTGTCCGTTATTAAATGATATTTTACGGGTACCTAGCATTTACAGCGCAAAAATTCAGTAATTGTTTCTTTTCACTCTAAACTTCCCAACTTGTTCCCAAAATGCAATCTTCTTGAAATGTCGTATTAAAGTCAGTTTACGTTGATCGAATAGTTTCAAGGTCTTTTGGAATATTTTTCCGTAACTTTTTTCACTTAGGAAATCTATGCTCATAGAAAGTATTTGAATAAATTCTTTACACGTGATAAAAACGGTAATGTTCATCGCTGTGATTTAGCTTTTTCCTGAATTAACCCTTGACTTGCTCTTAGCGCAGAAAAAGTAATTGTTCGTTCAGATATTTCTTACGGAACTGTTGAGTTGTCTTTCTTTTGTGAAAGCTTTCATATATAATTCTGTTGATTCAAGGAAGATTTTTTTCTGTGATCTCTTTCTTCGCTCTGGATTATTATCACGATTTCCTGATAACGTGCAGTTTTTAGGCAGTCGTGTACTGTAGATTAAATTTTGCTCGCAATAATCACGATCATTTGCTCGTCATGTACGCGTTCAAATTATTCAAGTCAACTTTCTGTACCAAGACTATCGTGGAGTTGAATGCCTCTTTTTTTTCTTCTAAGTGATTGTCGATGAACCTCCTGGCTTGTTAACACCCATTTAGCCAGCTTGTTTCTCACCTGTTTTTCTGAAATACTGCGACTATTTTCTTTTCTATATTACATCACGAGGGGCCTGACGTTATTCATCTGAGGTCCCATCGTAATTTACGTTGCGACGAGCTTTAGTTTTTAGCGAAACCTGATGTACAGTGAGAGCTTGTGCGTTGAACCGCCAGTATCTCAATTTGTTGTTGAAGCTGGGTATTTCTTTGTTGATGTATTTATTAATATAGAAGTTAACCATCCTGTACTCTATTGATTTCTCTACTGACCAATACTACTTTAAGCTTCAGTTACTGTGGCTTCAGGTCGCAGAAGTCTTATAAAATTGCTCAAAAAATCCTGAAGACGATGTGTCTTTTCGGTAAGCTTAACCGTATGAATTTTTTGTATCATACCTTGTACAAATACATCATTTTTTTTCTTAAAAATTTTTTATTCGTCCTGTTATCTTTTATTGTGTCAGCGTTGCAGAAATTTATGCGGCAGTTAATAACTCAAAATTTTGGTTCGGTTGTTCAGCCTCTCAATTGGAAGACGAATCCAATGCTTTATGACAGCTTAAGTAACTGTAGGTCTAAATACCCACAATTTAGAACCACTTGTATAGTTTGACATGAGATATCTATGACCGGTATACATAAAACACTATAATTTTTCTGCTCATTTTGTAACGTTCACCTTTTCAACAGACACTCGTTGCATTAATGGTATTTAGAGTCACAGTTTTTTATATTTCAAGCCGTTGCTGGAGGTTATGAAAGAAAGAAAGCTCCCGCGTATAAAGTAGTTGGTGTCTGCACGGGCAAAGCCCTCGGCAGGCTTTCCCCAAATGAAGATTTATTGCTGGCCAAAATGAATAATTCGAAAATCATAACAGCACACTTGATGATTCACTGTGATGTTTTCGTCCCTAAAATGCCCCCCTGCTGCTTTTAAAGTCACTGTTAAAGCTGACTGTGGTAGGTACTCATCGTCAACCATATCAAAGAAAGAGCACTGAACCCCACGTAGAACTTTCGTAAATTGATCAAAGCATGGATTTTTCTGACCAAGATCACTTCTCCTACAGACCTACACATCCGTTCGCAGTTTGTCAGAGGGAAGTATGCTTACATTTCTTGTGTATATGAAATCCTTGATGAATTGCTGATAATTGTGAATAAGTGAATACATAGTTTCGTTTTTAATTTGGCCAAATACGATTTTGAGTTGAAAAAGTAATGCGGGCTAAACGCGCTATGAAAATTCGTCCCTAAAGTTTACGAGCGGTGATGGAACGGCTCAAAATAAGTTTGCAGGTATAAAATTCAGGGTGATGGTTCAATTTTGGCTACATCACATGCAAGATACGAGCATTTCCTTAATCAAACTCTAGGTGTGCTTCCTAGAGATGTAGGTCAAATTAATAACAACCGTGGAAGAAACTCGGCACACGGTGTTTTGCTCAATTCTTTTGATATATTAAGTCAAAGCCGCAAACGTTTGTTTGTTGCTCATCTTGTCATATAACTGCATTTTCTCAGTTTTAAATTGTCGTAGTGGCCACAGCCACACCGTTACATCAAGTCAACCATCTCGATTTAAGTCAGTTCACAACTTCAGTGAGTTTCAGTGATTCAGTGAGTGGCAGTCCAGTGTTGCCAGATGGGCCTTTTTCAGGCCAAATTTCGCAAATGTGGCCTTTTTTGAAATGCATTGGCCTGCAAAATTTCATTTGGCCTTTTTGTCCGTTTTGGGCCTTTTTTTATGCAAAATGTAACTCTCGGCATTTTTTTATGATAATTTGGTCCTTCAATTTTATCCAAGACGAGTGCACCCAAATTCAGTTTTGCCGAAGACGAGTACACTCAAATTTTGACACGAAACTGTGTCAACACTTCGGTTAAGGTGGCAACACTAGCGAGTGCCGCCTAATCTGGGCAACACTTTATCAGTCTTCACAGTTCAGTTGCCTTGATAAGTTCATCGTGCGAGGTGTTGCGCGAAGCGCCTCTGTTGCATCAACGACGAATCAATCATCTCGCAGTCACCGTTCAGCAAGATGTGTATGTACTCGGGATTTAAGCTTATTAAATATGGTACTTATTTCAGTGACGACTTCGATGCTCCTCGGATAGTGATCCTGCTAGATGAGCTAACCTAACCCACAGCAGTGAGGTCTGAATCATGCTGAGTTTAGCTCTTAACATTGAACTTGCGTGGGAAGAGGAGCCACGGGCCCGCGAGTCTCTGCTATTATTTGCGGGGATGCTCATTATTTTATATTCGAATGTTAAAGAAATTGAAAGTTACTTACAATTACAAACTATACAAGTCTTGGCTTTAAATTGCGCACCTAATGTGTTTTGTTTCGAATTTTTACGGGTAATTTTCTCATCTTTGAAGAATTTTGATGAGTACACATCTTTATCTCATTCTCGACTCTCTGCTTTTCTATACGTACTTGCTCTGCTCATATATGAGCCGATAAATTTAATTAATAGCTTCGTATTTCTTCATTTAAAACATATTTTCTCACTGAGCCATTATATCAAAGGTGCCGTTTAAATTCAATGTACAAGTTTGCCGACTTTATGATTCATCATGAATAAATAATGAAAACAGCATTGTGATGTTTACATTCTCTGATTGTTATGTGTGCAAAAATGGGATGCAGGAAACAGTTGTTCTAGTCGTGTAGGTGCCACGGCTGCAGCCACTTTCACTTGTGCCTTTGTAAGCAAGTGACAACTCTTTCTATTAACGTGCCCTGCTGCTATGGTTATACCTAAATCGATGTTATTGATTAATTGCTACATTAAATTTTTAAATTATTTTCATTGCTTGGATTTCTGTTTACGAATATTCCATACATTTTGTCTCATTTATTTAATGCACTTTTAAAATATTCTCAAAGGAAATTGACTTAATTTCACAATTCACAGCAAATTGAAATCCACTTGTAATTTACGTTACAGTATTTTCGCAGGAGGGTTTCCCTGTTATATATCGTTAATTCCGTCAAACGCACGACAATTGAGTTGATAACATCATTAATTAGATGATATTTCGTTAGCTGGTTCGTCAGACAGAGAAAATTACGAATTCAATTAATTAATCTAAAATATACATGGCGTCAGAATTACTCTGTAACCATAATTATTGTTGCTGTCTTGAGAGATTTGAAGCAAGCGTTAAATTTCCGTAAACTTTATTTAGGTATTCAGGTTTTAGAAAGGTTGAAATCAGCATCCACTGTTCGCACTTGCGCATGCGCGTGGGTGAGCTGGAGGAGTCTGAGCAGACGCTGTTGTCGGCCTTGAAAATGAAGTCGCAAAAACGTGTTCTTAAATCGATTATACAGCTAAAGATCGTGCATTTGGATATTGAGGCCACAAAAATTCTTTGTTCTCCGACTTTGTTCTGTGCAAGATTTGGAGCATTAATGCTCTCTTTGTAAAATATATCCTGATAGAAGTTCGTATCAAATCAAATGAGATTATTCATTATAGTCGACTAATTTTCATCCTTTGTAACGAAGTGTTGAAAATGCCCCCAATACAAAGAAAATTCCGTCACGCACCAGCGTTTGTGAGACTCGTAGATCTTTTTTGTACGGCCAAAACATCGCGGACATCATCTGTTCGTTGTGTAATTCATACCGAAATTGTACAGTTATCAGAGGTTGTAGATCTAAGCAGCAATAGATCATCGGTGCGTTAAAACAACTGTTGTAAAGGAAAAAAAAAACTGTTACTACGACGTCTTTGATGCAATTAAAAAAATAATATCGAATCTTGGAAATATTGCTATCATTAACGAAATTGTACCTGTTATTGGAATGACTATTCTCGACGGAGCGCAATCGTTAAAATATAAGCTGCGCTTCGTATTTTACTTAAAACTAAATTATATGCAATGACTCACCGCAGCTCGCTATGATCGCATATTCGCTATTAGAATAGAATAGAAGTGTCGGCGTTGAAGAAATAGGCCCATGGCCAGTTGCCGATTCTTGAACTTTTCGTGACTTGATTCACAAGGGATCCGGCCTTTGGAACCCGATCTTTCCATAACTGACGATTGATTGAGATAGCTGCTGGACTTATTGCCTGCTCCGTAATTTGCTAGGCATTTTAAGACTGAACATATGCTCCTGCATAGCTTCGTCTAGTCTGTTTTTGAAGATGTTCCGCTATTGGCCATAGTGCCGACATCCTTAGTCGCGTGCTCACGGCCTATTCTAATTTTGCAGACAAAATTTTTCCTAATGAATAATACTGATGAAATCTGTTGTTCTTCACAAGTATTTAATAGATTAATTGTTTATAATAATTTATAAAGAAGTAATACAATTTTGTGACTATTTCAGACCTCCTTCACTGCGTGCTGGTCATCCTACTTGTAAGTATCAAGTGAACAAATTGCTTTCGCACCCAATTATTGTTATAATAAGCTATTTATGCCCCGAACGCCTAGCTGCACCTCAAAATTGGAACAAGACTACCCACGTTCAGATTCAGGATGGCAAGGTCATGTGGCCCTGACTTGTTTTTGCTTATCTCGCTGAAAATTTAAAATATTAAATGATAGGAAAATATGAAGAAGCATTTTGAGCTACTTCATTATCATTTTTTAAGTTTATTCCTCTGCAGGGATCGAAAAAGTAAATTTAATGTGCCTAATAAATGTGAAACATTTCATTTTAAGTTTAATTGAAAAAATTCAATTATTTTTGCGTAAAGCCAAATTTATTATTTTAATATTATTCAAGTCAAACGAACATTATAAAAAATTAACTGGTATATCAGCTATAGGAATATTCTATATTTATTAAATAATTCAGGGCCTATAGCTCGAATGTCGCATAGCGGGAGTAATAATTGAAAATAATTCTGTTGGGGTCACAGGTTACAGTTGCGGTGGGTGGCGACATGCTAAGGAAAAGCATCGTGTTCGACAAGGCGACTCCTGACGTCTTCTACTGCCCTGTCGAGAAGCTCATGACTTTCGACAAAATGTACGTCAGGGCGAGGCCTCTCAAGAAACTATGCGAATTCGACGGTGAACGGGTAAGAAAACAGTTTTTTACGATTCGTATAAAGTTTGTTCATTTAATCCTTAATGTCATAATAATTTTTTGAAATCTCAGTTGGAGAGTATGAAGATTTTTTTATGACATCGTAATGTGCTTAATGGCTGGCTTCTGGTAGAAGTTCCCGACTATAGTGCATCCAGTATTAGCGACGACTTCTACGATTGCAATAATTTACTCGCCGTATTTCGTATCACTTTCCGTCACTGATGAATAAACTCGTCGCAGGATGTCAAATACCGTACTTCTGCAAATTTCTTAATTATATTGAACATACCGCAAACGGTTATTTAAAACATACAATTTAACAAATTGTAAACTACACAAAAAAAGTGTTTGATACAGACACAATATTTAAACAGAAATATTAAAAAATGGGTAAATATCCTAGATAAATAATCAAGGTAGAGGAATAGTTCCTTACCAACCAGAGCGGGCATCGTACAGTCGCAACACTCGCAACGCATGAGTATAGAGACACAGATTTCTATAATAAGGCCCTGCTTGCTTCTACATAGCAAATTTTTCAGGAATTAGTACTGGAGACAACATTTCAAAATCTGCAGTGGCAAGTATTGTGTTCTACTCATTATAAATACTCTTTTATCATCTTAAAAATCAAAAGGATCTACCTAGAGTTTTTGCACTATTGACGACACACATTCTAAGTAAAGCACTTACGACTGAATACTCAATATTCCAGTTACCCGATGACTACAAGAGCGACTGCTACAACGATGTTGACGAGTCCGATTTTGCGTGTCGAGAAAAGAAACGCATCATGGTAAGTGAATATTTGTTTTAGTACGAGCATATTAATACATGGGTCTTTAGATGATTTCAATACCAGCCGTCGGACAGCCGTCTTTTCTGCCACTAGATGATATATGCAGGTATATAATTAGTTGTCATTCTGACTCGATTAGAATCTTGAGATCGCCTTTTTGGCAAATATTTCAGTTCGCTTTTTACTCTTATAATAATCTACTTAATAATAAACACTCCGCAATTGATTTTCATGCAAGGGATTATTGCTGGCGTATCTGGTATAATATGTCATTCATCCCAAGGTATTTGTTCTCTGCATTAATCAGCTTGACGAATGGAAGGCCAAGTTGAACATTTTTTCATGCCGCAACTATTCAATTATTGCGTTAATATGTAATGAACATGAACTCATTGGTGAATAACCAGGGTTTCATCTTACTCTTTCGAACAAATTTACTGGAGTTTAACGTGTTTGCATCATGTGACATCATTTTACTCTTCATAACTGACCACTCATCACGCTTCTATTTTAGCTTTGATGCCGCCTAATGCAAATCAAGGAACAATGGGTACAATAAATAAATGTAGTAACAATAAAGTAAGATGTTGCAAGCAAGGGGATGCGGTAATGTAGTAATATTTTGTATCATTGAAGATTTGCCAATATTTCAAGCAAGTCCTCTGCCGACATAAGCACGAAAACATATAATTTGGTGTAACTGTCGTGAACAATATTAACTGTACATGATTCGTTACAAATGGTATATTTCTATTTTCTTTATCGTGTAAAAATTTGATGGATTTTCAAGTTAATCGAATCATGCCTCATGAGGATTCATCTCATTTTACTAAGGTTGAACTCTTATTTGATGTACATTTTCTTTGGCCTTGTCTAACAAATTATACTACCACAACTGTGATACTTTCGTTGTACAACGCTGATTAACGGTATCATTTTCACTATTTACTTTTTTACAGGTCATTTTGTTGAAAGTCTCACTCGATAGATAATTTTTTGAAGAATTGAACTCGATGAAACTATTGCAACAACTGAGTTTGATGTGTGTGACTTTTGATTCCACGAGTAACGGCTTTCAAAACCAATCAACAACTGCTGCACCGTTGTCATGCTAATGGCAAGCTACTTAGTTTTAATAGTAAAAAAATATCCCGCTAACCGAGATCGTTTTGTCGTTCCCATAAAATTTCAGATGCGGATGGACGACGAAGAAGCAGAGGCTCTGAAATCTTACGCTGCGCAAGTCAAAATCGATCACGCAAACGCCCTCTAGACAACTTAGTATTCATTTAATGTTGCTACCGACCAGCTTTAATATTTTAGATTCGGTCCATGAAATTCGATACAATGTATCAATACTGCGTATTATTAAGACTTCTAAATTGGACCAAATTCAACATGTACTTCACCAGCTGCCTATTCATACTTTGAATAGGCAGCTCTTCTTTCAAAAAGTAGTATCAAAGCGCTAGTAATATGTTACTTGAAAATTTTTCTTCAAAAGATTTTTATACTTGCCTAAATTATGATATTATTTCTGCAATAGAAGAGCGATAAGATGATTTTCGAGAACATTTTCCTCTTTTCACGCGGACCATGTGCAACTTTATTTTAGTGATGGGGATTTAATAGATTTATTTTAAAGTAGAGCATGTGTAGTGTTTATTGTGTACACTCTAATTGAAAAACATCCTAGCGAATATTTTTAGCATTGCCGCATGTTGGCTTGAACACGGTCAACAGGTTTTCAGTGCAATTTCCTTCAAATGTATAATGGTAACAATAACCTCAAAAAAACATACAAATTTCCAAGAAATTTCACGTATCATATTCAACGTAACGATTGCACGTGCCTTACTAATCATTAAATCATGGTTCCGTATTTCGAGCTTCTATTAACGATGGGCCACTAATGTACATCTCACACTGCGTACCAAAGTTACTTTCGTATAGAAGATTTTAATATATCAATGTACACATCACACGGCTTTTATTCTTGACCTTCATTCTTTCCATCGTTGGATATTTTTCCAACAAACCTGAACATGTTCTACGTTGACAAGATCCACATTGGTGAGTGCATTAATTTCATTGATTTACATGACATTTATCGTACTATTATATATATTTCTATCGCAGTTATACATGACATGTATCGTACTATTCTATTTCTACTGCAGTTATAAGTTTTAATTGCAAATCGATTGTCTTGTTGCGAAAATTTATTGTACTATTCCATTTCTAGTTTCTACTGCAGTTATAAGTTTTGATTTTAAATCGATTGTCTTGTTGCTCCTGTGGAAATTATTGACAAATCAATCATTAGATTAATTTTGGCATGCCTATCTTCAGTTATGTTGTCAGTTTCATTCAGTTTACGGTATTTATCTGTTGCAGATGCGGCTGAGCCCGCCTGGCAGTGAACTCCTCACCAACGAAATATCATGAGGAAATCATAGAAAAAAACTCCATATGCGGTAGCTTCCTTTGAAAAGACTGCAAATTATAGTTCCCTTTACCACTAACGTATAATAAATTTGAAATCTGGTGTATGAAAATTTATATTTTAATACTTCAATAATGCACTGAATTGTGGAAGACTTGGTGGGCAGATAAATCAAAGAAATTATTAAATCACCTCAATAAATTAATGATTACAAGGAGGAATGAATTTTTCAGACAGAAAAGATTACAGTTTTGTCTGTGATTAAAGTATAGGTATATTAAAGTAGATAATTTCATAATTCGAGACTGAGGTGTTTCTGCAACCACTGAAAATGCTTGTATCAAGTAGAAAGATGAGACTTTGTTTCGACCGTATAAATTGTAATTAGTTAATGCTTGTAATCTACATCAGATTTAAGAATGACCAGATCTCAGTGCCATACTTGCCTGATTTAGTAAATATTTCTTTCTCTTAGTTAATAAACCTGGATTTCATCTCTTTGCTCCTTACATAAGTGTCCTGAATAAATATTTAAGTTGATCATTGAAGCCATTTTAATGCGATGCTTTTTCTCCGGGTAGGAACTTTGAAATATAATAATAATAATAATAATAGCGGTTTCATCGTTTATTAGGCCGCAGGCCTGTCGCCGATTCTTAACCTCGCAGAACATTCACAGCTTGATGCGGTCTCAAACTCGCAACTCACTGCTACAATTCTGCTGTGCTTAACCGCCCGGCCTCCTCGCCGATTCTGACCAGAAACTGGCGCACAGAGCTGGGATCGAACCCGCGCCTCTCTGCTCTAATCTTGGTACTCTGAACTGTAACCACTGGGCCACCCAATTAGGCAGCCTTATAATTCTTTATCAACGTGCATAGAACATAGCAACCTTTTGTTGCCACATTCAATACCGAGTAAGCAAGCAGTTTTCCATTAGTATATTTGATGCTTGCTTTTGCTCAAACCTCTCGCTAACGCAGCTCTAGTCGCCATTAGTATACGCCTTAATAAAACTTCAAACTAACTCATGTGATATTCTCATGACAAATATTAAAAAATGCTCCTGTATTACAGTTATAACAGTCCGATGTGAAAAGGCTTATTTACTTTTAAGGTAACAAATTCAACGCTCGGCGGCTCCGTAAAAAATATTTTTTTGTATGTTAGCATAGAAAAACATGGAAATCAAACATCATTATCAATATTGGCAAATGTAATAAATTACAAAAAAGTGACAGTTAATGGGGAACAGGCTTTCTGGAACAGCCCGAACAAATATTCCGAACCTGATTAAAATATAAGGAATCAGAATTAATACATGTATTATTTCCCTTCCTACTAAAATACTATCGCTGTCGGAATAATAACAGTAAAGTTGCATAATACTACTCTGAAAACATATAACTTCAAAGCAAATAACTTAAATAAGAGTCGCCAATGTAGAAGTGAAAGTAAACTTTGGAAATAAGTGCGAGAAATAAAAATTGGGTGATCGAAATTTAGAGAGAAATTATTAAATGACACAGAGCACTTAAGAATAAATCTTGCGTAATAAGTAACGGAGGTGCATGCCCATACCGAAAAAAACTAATGCTAAAGAGAACATAGTACGGCGCTATTACCGTAGTACGTCTGAATGAGATTAGTATAAATTCTGCAGAAATTCATTAATTCATTTAGTCTTCAAGAATTGAAAGTCGCAGATTTTTTATTGTAAATGTTATCCACTTTTTAGTGAACAATTTGTTGCACTAGGAAGACAACAGTTAACAATAAAAGAAGTGTAACCAAACTTTTACTGATGAGAAACGTTGTTCATTGTCAAAAGCAAAATATTGGATAATAATGTATATTTCTATAGATTTTCAGTCATTACAGCTTGGGAAATTATTTCACATGAAGTTAGCTCAAGCAGCACAGGAAACATTTTATTTATAAATTACCGTTGATACTATTATTGGTAATTTCAAATGATTAAGTGAGGTACAGATCAGCAACCTATGGATTATCGGAATTTTTCAATTTCATGAAAATATGGCGGTCTTGTTCGACCGAAATTCCGCTGCTTTATGTGGCAGCCAATCATCACACCCAGGAGCCTTCATTCAAGCCTTACGTTTCAAGGAGGTCCAGTCAAGCACGTTGGAGATGATATCGTGATCCAAGGAGCCTTCAACTTCGTATACGGAGTCACTCTCGTGCCTTCGGTTCTCTGTTAGAGTCGACTGAAGGTAATCGCCCCTCTTCTGCAACTTCAGCTTGAACGCTTCCTTATCCCATCTGCAATAAAAAAATTCAGTACGTTGCACAAAAATCAACGGAGGGCTTATTAGTCATTGAAGTTAATACAATCTGTAGAAAATTATCAGCGCACAATTGAATAATTGTGTAACAAATTTTAGGGATCTTTTGAGTGATCGCCATGAAGGCTCAAGAAAATCCATGCTAACCGATCGAATGGTGTTTGAACGACGGCGGTGAGTTCGAGGTCTTGTAGGGACTTGGAGAGTTTGGAGTCGGTAGTCACCAAGAATGGGTCGATGCTGCTGCCTGAGATCTCAAGGAAGCCCGTGTGAGAGGCGCTCTGCGATGAAAACAAGTCTCTCCAGACGCAGTTCAAGAAACATCAATCGACAGTTTTTCAGAAATAACATGTCTCGTGTGTGCTGCTCGCCAAACCATGCGAGTGTAATTGTTTGTTCTAAATTCCGACAGACAACTAATATCTGTAATCTTAGGATGAAAAATAACGATTTGTTCACTGGCAGTCACTTTTGGCATATAGAAGCTGTAAACCCGTGATCGAGTCTACTAATACTTTCTTAAGCCAAAAATGCGGCTGCTACTGAAAAAAATAAAAAGCGAAATTTCCGGAACGGCTTCCTGGGAGTGCAAGGTTGCTCAACTCTTTGAGCGCTTTCAAATGAAAAATATATAATTAGTAAATTACAAGCCCATTGGTATACCGAGACTATTTGTGTTTAAAAATTAACGATCAAAACTCCTCAACTTGGCGAGTTATTTTACTGACCTCTGCGAAGCCTTGTGGGACACCTCTGTCGTCCAGCACCACGTCGGACGTGAAGTTCAGCTGGAGTGTCTTGTCGCGGAAGGATTTCTTGCACTGCACAAGCAAAACCATAACTAAAACAACGAAATTCTTGTAAGATTGAGGAATCGGTCATTTCGAAACGGCTCCTGTAAAACTTGACTGTTTAATTTACAATATTTAACTTTGGATCAAAGTGACTAGGTAATTATTAAATAAATACGTAAATAAATATAAAAGTATGAAATGATAATTGTTATTCTATGTGATTATGATCAATTATTATACTAATAATAATGCTTTACGAACTGTAACTTACATAAACATGGTAATGTTGTGCAAGGACGTTGAAGTTGTGGTCAAACGTGACTGTCATGAGAGGATACTTGGCATCAGGCTGATGTGAGGGCACGACCAGGCTGGAATTGCTGTACATGCCACGCTCCTTTGATACGCCGCACTCCCCTTGCGCCTGCAGCATCAGGTCGTCGTTGCAACTGATCACAGTCCACCCGCGGTGTTGTCCATCTTCAGAGAACGCGTGCTTTTCACATTTCCAAACTTTATCCAGCACCACGTCGGACGTGAAGTTCAGCTGGAGTGTCTTGTCGCGGAAGGATTTCTTGCACTGCACAAGCAAAACCATAACTAAAACAACGAAATTCTTGTAAGATTGAGGCAACGGTCATTTCAAAACGGCTCCTGTAAAACTTGACTATTTAATTTATAATATTTAACTTTGGGTCAAAGTGACTAGGTTATTATCAAATAAATATGTAAATAAATAAAAGTATGAAATTATAATTGTTATTCTATGTGATTATGTACTAATAATAATTCTTTACGAACTGTAACTTACATAAACATGGTAATGTTGTGCAAGGACGTTGAAGTTGTGGTCAAACGTGACTGTCATGAGAGGATACTTGGCATCAGGCTGATGTGAGGGCACGACCAGGCTGGAATTGCTGTACATGCCACGCTCCTTTGATACGCCGCACTCCCCTTGCGCCTGCAGCATCAGGTCGTCGTTGCAACTGATCACAGTCCACCCGCGGTGTTGTCCATCTTCAGAGAACGCGTGCTTTTCACATTTCCAAACTTTGTCAGGTTTGTTGTAGACAAGCGTGGAGTTCGTTTCGAAAGTTTTGCGGCTCCACAACGTCGACATGATAGACGTGAGGGAATGGCTACCACAAGCAAGCTTGAAATCCCCTGAAAATGAATTTTGCTTCAACTGAGGATAATAATCTTCCTGGAATAAAGCGGAAAGTTACAGTGATAGGTTTATCAAAGTATCCATCACGAAACATACTTCGTAAAACCACCTGCAGTGATGCGACATTTATTTTACCCTATATTTATCATCCATATTCGTTGTAAAGAGCACTGTTAAATAGAAATAAAATATTCTTTAATTACTGATGTAATTTTTGGTCACATTCAGGAAGCTAAAATGTGCCCAATTAATTTCTCCATCAAGCTCAGAACCGTAAATTTATAGACTTTGTAAAATTTACAAGAAATGGTATATTAGGATAATTTATTCAGCCAAAGTAACTTACACGAGTAATAGTCCAAATCCAAGTCTCCCTTGTCATCTTCAAAGACGCCTTTGAAGTCAATAACAAACTCTGGAAACTGGGAGAATGTGACGTAGGCCGTGGCTTCTTGCCTTGTGAAATTTGACGGCACCGAAAACGGAAGTTTTATCCGTGACTCTTCAACTTTATTTGACTCACTACCAGAGAGAGCGAAGTTTATAGTCTCGACGGTTTTCCCTTTTATTTTATAAGGAATCGTTACGACCGCAGAGCCATTGTTTCCAAATCCGACGGACGACAATAATTTCGATTCGAATAGACGCGAGTCGAAGTAGAGGTTTACATTCATGTTTTTGTCTTGCCCTTTCTTCGATTCAGCTGAAAAAAAATATACGAGTTAAACTCATGAGTTCATAATCAGTATTCTATTTGCTCCTGAAACTGAGAATTTTTCACTTAGAAAGGATAACCGATGCAAATTGGACCCAAATATAGTTTAAACAAAAAATGGGCTTTTGATCTATTTCAAATTATTCTCTTGAATAAATTCATAAGATTTAAAATTTTTGGCACAAAAACATTCGTTTGTAACCAAAATTAAATACGCACCGATTAGAGTGAACGGTGCCTCGTCATCGTTACATCTCAATGTTCCGGACATGTTAAGAGCTTGACCGAAATGTTCAAATCCTGCAACTTTTGGCTTGTAAATTCCAGAACCGTTGAGAGCAAAGAAAGGCGTCTCCAGTTTAATGTTGAGGAACTCGGCCAAATCGTATACCTGAACTCGCCAGGAGGAATCAGGGCAACCCATGACTTCGTACGCCACGTCAACGAAAGTGCTATCAAAACGGCCAGATATGTTATAGCCTTGAACCTTCTCCTGCTTATCGTATATTAGATTGTACTTGAAGTTATAAATAGGCCACCATGATGTCTTGGGGCAATATTCTATGCACACGGTCGACCCTGATATGTTTTGTAGACCTGGTATGCAAATTGTCTCGAGAAGCGATTCATTATTGGAAAATCTTGGCGTCAATTTGTCGTTCTCGATGTTATAAACTCCCATCTCTATATTGGCAATGGAATTTTTCAAGTGTGGCAACTTAATTATAAGCTGATAACGGTCAAAGTGCTTTGAAACATTCAAGCCAGGCAGGAGATCAAAGCGCGTGATCATCTTGGAGCCAACATTGGTGTGGTGCGCATCAATATACATGGCCGCATCGAACTGCTTCCCATACGCTGGTGCGAGATTCTCCACGTGGTATCCTTTGGTCTTGTTCAATTTTAGGTGGAAAGGAAGACCAAGGGAGGTTGGAAAGTACAGATCTATGTCAAGATGTTTGAAGTATTCGACATCAAAACTGTTAATCTGGAATAGCCGTGCGAGGAATGAAAAAGAAAATATATCAAACATTCTTGTCCCGTACTCAACAACAGTTCCAACCAGATAATCGCTTGAAAGCCCAAATGATGCATCTTCGAAACTCTTCTCCTTGGAGTAGACGTTGTTTCCCAGAATTCTCATGTCAATAGCGCATACAGTCGATGTTTCAGTTTTACGTACCTCATCATAGTAATCCCTTGTCTCCACGGTCTGATTTACTTCTCTTAATTCCAATCCCCAAATTTCACTGGGAGTGAAATCATCAGAGAAAATCTGGAATGATAAGTACTGAGGACGTAGCGAAAACCCGGAGAAAATTGTATTAAACTCAAAATCATACGTCTTCTTTTTCACGAAAAAACTTTTTCTTACATTTCGAGAGAATTTCAACGACTTTTCTCTAAATTTAGACACGAGGGCTGCATTTTTGACCAGTTCTGTAGCCCAACCCTCGTTTTTCAGGTTGGTGAGATGGGTCCACATGTACGAAGTAACTTGATTCACTTCGTCTTTCGTCAGCCGCTTTAAAATGTACGACTTGAATTCAACACTTGGGCATCGGACCAGAGTGCGGTAGATCATGATTTGACGGAAAGAATCTTCTCTATTCTCTTCAGCGATAGATAGTAATGAATTATAATCAAAATCTGCGCATCTTGCACTTCTTTGAGCTTCTAAGGCGCCGTACCATTCTCTTTGGTGAACACTTTGAGAACAATTAAGTAGCGCATTGTCCGAACTTTCGTTCCATCGACCCAAGCTGGCGAAATTTTCTAATTTTTCAACATTAAGTTGGTTTAAATACCCGAATCCTGGGGACTGTGAACTATCATAGCCATCTGAAGCTACTTCGCTGGTGTCGGTTTCATTGTCCAATTTACATTCAGGAGTGGAGTTTTCTTCAATGCTCTTGCTGAAAAGTTTGCCAATTCGTTCATCTTGTTCGCATTCTGCATTCTTAAGGCAATAGTTCTTCAATTTGTTGGAAACAAATTGTTTGTCGAGGGACGACGATTCAATGAATTTCTGCAGTGAGATAACGAAAATTAGAAAAAGTAATAGTTCACATATTGCTAACAAATCCCCTCAACTTTGTAAAGAGTATCTGATAAATAATGAAGTATATATGTGTTACTCAAGGCTTGAGTTAAAGAACAGAAGCCAGTATTATTTAGAATGTCTCACAACCAAAGTTAAAAAAAAAAACAGTAAATCTTCTGCTCAAGACAAAACATTAAACCATTCTACCAAAAGTTCTACGCAAAATAAACTAGCTGAGGTTTAGTTACCAGCAAAATGTTGATCATTTCTGAGGTCAACCCAAAGTTCTCCAACAAATTGTAGATGGTATCCCCGCGGATGTTCCAAGGAAGTCCACCGCTGACAATGAAATCCTGCAGCAGCTTCATGGAGGCCTCAGTGCCGAGGTTGATGAAGCCAACCGTCGCCATCTCCCAGGTCTCGGGCTCAATGCTAAGGAATAGTTCACGTAGCCTGTCGTAGTCAAGAGTCTTGAGTAGTTCGGTGAGGCGGTAAAAAGCCACAGGGTCAGGAGCGTAATTTTTCAGCCTTGTGATAATTTCGCTCGCGATCGACAGCCATTGAGGAGGAGGATCCCCAGGCTCCCCGCTCTCCCATTCCATTGCTAACGTCGACCTGCGTGCTTCAGAATCTGAAAAATTTCACCTAAACATCAAAATGTTTGACTAATGAACAAGATCCCTGCTTTTTCCTAATCATTTTATAGCTCATTGCTCACCTATAGGGGCTACGGGGTTACTGAGCCAAGAAAACTGTATAAGTCGCTGAAATTGGCCGATGTAAATACATCCCGAGGAAATTAAATGGGAAATATTATTCCATAGTATACGGTACCCTATATCTCAGAAGAGAGTATACATTTTGTGTTGCCACATTTTACGCTCATCAGAATGCAAACAAATATGACGTGTTGACTGACTGGGCACCACGACGAAGTCTGCCTTGAACTGGTATGATAGTTTGAGTCTGGTCGTCAGGCTGGCAATTGGTTGGTCGTCGTCTCCCCCAAAGAATCTCGGGTACCTAATGTTCTCTCTGCAGATGGCTTCTTTCAGAGAGCCGCTGGAAATTATCTGCAAGAAAATTGTTCATCCAATGTAATGACAGTAAAAATCTCCAATCATAAAAATTTAGAATAATCCTACGATTATTAAATAGGATTTACATGTGTGAAGTTCTAATCAATTTACAAACGTTCCATAGCTTCGACTCGCAGGCGCACGCGCGTGAGAAATTCCCCATAATTAATCTCTCGATTTTTAATTATGTTATTCAACTAGAGTAAGATTTTCGTGGTAAGATCTAGTCCAGTTTAAATATGATGTCAAATATTTGGGTAGTTTGGTCGAAAATGAGCTTCAGACTAAAAAGAGTTTGCATTAACACAGGTCGCGATCACACCTGCTCATGGGAGGTTGAGGGTTGCGCGGATAATTTCATGCCGTCTGCCGCCGCAGCTTCCTCAGCAAAAATCAATCATTAGCCAAAATTTGAACTACATTCGATGAAAATTAAATAGTTTCTTTCCCTTGCTTTGGGTGTTGAATTTCCTTTGGTTTTGTTCCGTATGCTAACAGCTATCCAGTGTGATCGTGCGCGATGATCAGAATAGAATCCTCGTTAGCCTTTAGTCTCGAAGTTTAAACGGAATCAGAATTTGTACTTTTTTCCAAAAAAATCTACCAATCAAAACAATCCAATACTAATCCAATAAATCTAATTCAAGCAACAACATGAAAGTTCAATTCCAACTGAAGTTGCTGAACTTTTATTTTAACTCACTTAAAGACAATTTTATTTGTATAATTCAATCACAATAATACTTTATTCTAACTTTTCCACCTGAAAGATCATTGACTGCTATTCCAAAGTACAGCACATTTTAAATGGGACTTGAGGTTTGCATTCTAATTTTAAAAGGACCAATTGCCTGTTTTGCGCGCTAATCAGACTTTTCAAAGATTATACTGGCCCGAACAACATTTTGGCTCTGGTTGATAATTCCATGATTAAATTAAAACTACTTTGTAAAAATGAATGAAATTTTACCACTGGAATCGATGACAGCAGTGTAGTTACTGACGCATTTGCCGCTCACGTCAATCTCCTCGGATATCACGGGCTACGAACAGAAAACTCATTAGTAAATTCTCACGCAAGCGAAATTTCAGTCCGGGTCAATCTTTTCAGTGTCACACAAAAGTTAGTGTCACACAAAGTCATTTTGTAAACTAAACTACGAAAACTTTTTGTGTCACATAATTGAATGATTGTTGCCACAAGCTCGGTTTATCACCTACTCATGGTTCACACCTATAATATTAGACCTATATTCACAAAGAGTTCACTCCTCTAATATTCATCACCCTATCAGGGTTTACCCCTTAAATATTCATCACCAACTCGGGGTTCATTCCTTAAATATTCATCACTCTTTCAGGGTTTACCCCAAAATATTCATTACCAACTTCTCAAATATTCATCGGGGTTCACTTCTCAAATATTCAGCACTCTATCAGGGTTTACCCCCTTGATATTCATCACCAACTCGGGGTTCATTCCTCAAATATTCACCACTCTCTCACGGTTCACTCCCTAAATATTCATCCCTCACTCTAGTTTTTTCGAAGTCCTTCATGGAGTTCTGGAAGGTGGAGAGCAGCGCGCGCTTGAAGTTGAGCACCCAGAGCGGCTCGTCGGTGGCGGGACACACGGCCGAGACTCGGCCGTCGTCGAAGCCGAAGCGCAGGGGCTTGTCGGTGAGCGCCGCCGCGAACTCGGGGTGCGGCTCCGACGAGTCCGTCAGTCGCACGTGACTCAGCTGCAGGGATCACGTATGGCGTCATGAGGATGTTGGTAAACTTGAGAGAGAATACAATGAACTATGCGGTTAGTTGAGGGCGTAAAGCGTCAAGAATGTGTCGACAAAGTTTAAAAGGAGTACACTGAATTGTGTGTCTGATCAAATGCAAAAAACATCATGGGGATATCGATAGAAATTAGAGGGGATATAATCAACTATGCGATTGGTCAAATGCGTAAAGCGCCATGGCCCATTTTTCAATTAATCGTCGCACAAGATGCGTTCGTACCTTTAAAAAATCGAACACTGTCGCTACAAAATGGACTAGAGGTATTGGCCGTAATATCTGTACAATATATCAAACCCAGTGTGTCTATAAATAGCACTGAATGAAGGGCCTTATGAGTAAAAGAGATAAAAATTATGTCATGCTTTAAGAAATGAAAAGTAACTTCTCGACATCTACATGAATCAATAACAGCTTGAATTGAATTGTGCAACCAATGCAGTTACAGAAAATATCAGTAATAGAAAATGCACGACTTGAGAGATCATTCGTTACAGAAGGATATCATAACACAACACTGGAACAAAGTTCCAGGCAATTGGTCTGACCGCGAGAATCATCTCACAGGGTCCGGCTATTGTGATGTGTGCCCGCGCGGACACCCCGAGCTGCGGCTCCCGGCCGTTGCTCAGGAACTTGGCAGACGCGTGGTAGTCGAATACGTGAACCATGCCTGTGTGGGGGTCATAGAAAAATGTCGAGTTTGCTGTAAATTATCTATGCAATAGAAGAAAGTATAAATAAACATTTTAGTTTGATACTATATCGCACTCTAGTCAAAGTAAAAAACTCATGTCTTTCTATTTGATCCTATAGCGTATTCTATGCATTGCAAAAAATATTATGTGTTACGACATAATCTAATACAGTAATTTTTACGGTACAACTTTAAATTTAATACCTGTTTCGATGGAATAATTTTTTTTTCTCCAATAAATGAATTGGCAAAAGGATTAAAATACTTATGTATAGAAAATAACAACTCGTCTTCGCACGGGAAAGGCAACAAAGTTGGCAAAACTCAAATAATCTCTTCGAATTTACGAATTAAAATCGATACGGGTATGAACACTTGAACAAAAGTTGGTCGACTATATGGAGACAATTTGTGTTTGTGATTTGAATGTGTTGGGGAATGAACAAAAAAGGCGGAAAACGAGTTTACCGACAGGTTAATAAATCTTACTAATGAAGAACTTTAGTGTGCCCTGGATTCAGTTCCCACCAACGAGCGACCCAATTGTCTCTCTTGTGAAAGTTCTCTCACCTTTCGTGTATTGGAAAGTCGAGGGCGCGGAGCAGTGCAAGGCACAGGCTGTTGATCGACCGAAGATTTCTGAAAGTCGTCACAAGGATCCGGTGAAATACTGTTAAAAGTTATATGTTCGTCTTGCTATATTTGTACAGGAACTTATTAAGGAATTATTGTAAAGTTATTTCTGACTCAAATTAAAATAATTGTTAAAATATTATTATATTAAGGGCTCAGAAATATGGTCTCCAGAACATTTCATGAAATATCAGTAAAATTATATGCTGCCGCTATTATGATCTTCCATGAAAACTTAGTTTACAATAAATCATCGGAATTCAAGTTAAAAAATAAATTTAACACAGTTCAACGTTCACGCATCGCAGCTCAAAATTCGACGCGTTCGCCCAGCCTGCGTTGGTGAAACCAAAGCTCGCTCAGTGGCCCGGTTTTTGTTATAAATGGATTTAACACAGGGCAAAAACACTAATAAGCCACCTAACGTCAGTAATATTGTACATTGGAAACTTTCTAGAAACGTCCATCGCCGCATATACATAGGAGAAATCAAATGATAGGTGACGGCGAAATAGAAATCAATAATGACTGCCTGCAAGTTCTTCCAAGCTCCGCTTGATTGATGTGTAAAGGAAGAGAGAGCAATGCATCACACAAGGAAAATAAGCAGTAAGAATATGCGGCTTCGCAGAAGGCATGAATATGTACCGCTTTCTACACGCTTTTTTACGAGCGGGTTGAGCCGGGTGCACGGATTGGGTTAGGGCAGGGTATTGTCGTACTGTATACGGAGCCAGTTGTGAAGTTTTATCTGTAATTAGCTTTACATTGGTAAATGAAAAGAGAATTTGACTACTGACTAGATCGATGTCAAAAGCGGTATTGTTAATTTTGAAATTAGTAGCCCTCCAGAAATTAAAATTCTGAGAATGTGTAACACCTCGAACAGTTTGCCGCTGAAAAGAATCTCATGTAATTCGCGCGGATGTTATTCATTGTGACTCGAAACACGTTGCGGGGGTCATATATTACTAGCCATCTTTATACACGTAAAATCTGCGGAAGGAAATGCATCTGTTAGTTAGACTAAAAGGAAGATTGCATGGGGTATTGCTCGCAAGAACAATATTCCGTTAAAACTTTTCTTTTTAATGAATATAAACTTGGATCGGTGATGATTTTAGTTTTGAGCACCAAAATATCTTTACATACAATACGACTAGAATGAAGATAATTTAATATACAACAGATCAAATTCAAAACAGATAGAACAGAACAATGATTGTTTGGATTTTGAAGGATTTATTTAAAGACAACTCATTACTTTCAAGTACCGTGAGTCGAAAGTTTATAACTTCATTTACCTGCTGTAGATTCTGCTGCCGCCGGCCGCATCACAGCCAGACTCAGCAGTGCCGCGACGACAGCGGCGTTCATTCCCATCTTATGAATAAAAGAGACCAAGCCTCTACTAAATTCTATATTCTGAAGAACGTAAGAAAAAACATGATGAACGGTGATTTCTTTCTTTTATGTTCGAATTATGAACAAACGCATGCACAGCTAAGACCATGATTGAATGAGCTCGGTGTGTTTGCCCACCATGCCAAAGATTTTGGTAAAATGTTGAAATAAAGCTTAGAGAATAAGCTCAGATAATTAGCAATTCATTTCCACGAATATAAATACTAAAATTCTAACTAATTAAATCTTGATCATTGACTTTGTCCAATTGATGGAGTATAACTTTCCGTTTACATCATATCATGTAAACTTTGTCGTCCGGTAGTAAAACGTTCGGAGACAAATTTCGGATATACCCTCCTTATACACAGACACCTACTGCTCATAGATGGGAAAAATCCTGATCGAGCATCATTCCCCTATTTTGTAGGTCAAGGCCACGAAAAAACCAACGACAGGCTTTAAATCCTAAAATAATAAACAGAAGATTCTTATTCAATAATTACAATACAGAACTCATCGTCGTATTCATTCAATCAGCAAACGAAAACAATAGACTACATGACAAAGAAATGACAACTTATACAATAATTAGGAAATGTCTACAACCGACAGCTTGTACATTGTACAACAGCACGCGCGACTACCACTTCGCTCGAGCGTCGCTCGCCCAATGACCCAGAAGCTGCGCTAGCAGTCGCACCGTTCTCGGAACGCCGGCTAACCGCACATGTTGTCGTCCTGCGTGTCGGAGGATCGCTCTGGTACCCACGGAGGAACAGGCAGGTCTGATTTAGCCGTCGAAAAATCTATATTGTATGTGAGTCAACTGCTATTGCTTGCTACTAAATAATTATTATGTCTTCGGAGTAATAGCTCAAATCTTTCGCTCAAAGCGAGACGTTGACAGCCGCACGCTCTGATATTTTTCATATTGCACTATTGACATGATGCACTGTCAAGCTACATAAATGTGCTCAAACTTGTTTGCATCCTATTGATTTAGGTTATTGATGGAAGAAGGTTTACTCTGCACAAGTAGCATTTGGACACAGGAATAAAACGGTTCTGTTCAAATGTGTCTTTAAAACGAGTATTCGAATTAAATTGTTCTTTCTTCACTGGCATAATATTAGATGAGATGCTATAACAATTGTAGTTTATTTGAATAAATCGGCAAATTCGCACAGAAAGAAAGGCAACAAAATCATTTTCGTGTCAAGTTAATGGCATTAATTCGTCATCTTTTTATGTACTCTCCACAAATTATGCATTACAGGATGTTGTCAGTAAAGCTGGTTATTGGGAGGTGCACGACCTTATAAGCTGATTTGAAGGTCACTTTGATCACATTTACTTCATGCGTCGAATGAGGATGAATTTCTTTGTGGTTATTTGGAGGTGCATGACCTTTAAAGCTGATTTGAAGGTCACTTTGATTACACTGACTCCTTGCGTTGAATGATAATTAATGAACCGAATGAACCTTGAATACTTTAAGCTTCATCGAAAACAGCACTAGAAGCCGCGAATACAACAGGTTGAGGCCTGACGAGGTTTCAATCAAATTTATGAATTCCTTCAATGCGTTCATGCAGCAGAGGTCGTGAGAGCACAGCTTACACTTGTCATTTCCTTTCTGAGGTCACCACAACGGGACTGGCGTATTGAGGATCACGCTGCAAAATGATGGAGCATTTCAAGATGATATTACAACGGAAAGCTTTGCCCGTTAACATAGACATGAACAGTGAACTCGGCATAGACCTTTAAGCGTTTGAGCACGTAGAAAAATTAAAGGTTGATTCCCAGTGAGTTTGATATATGTACGCTTGAATGACGTTTTCAGCCGTCATTTGTAGACGATAAAAAGAAAGCGTACAGGAAGTTTTCAAAATACCAATTTTAAAATTATAAATTTCATATGAGACAGTGAGATTTACGAATATTATAACATAATATTACAACAGAATTTCTTCTAAATTATTCCTCATTTAATAACAACGATCCCGTAATGTAAGTAATTTCCCTGTACGGATACAGAGCCATTGTTCGCATGGCGTGGGCGGAGCTGCAACGGAGACTAGGCCGCGCAATAAACCTTGTTGTTAGTCTTGTGTCACCAAGACGACACCCTGTGAGCTACCGAATGCAGGAGACCTTACGAAGGAGGAAAAGTGCACAGTTTGCTTAATCATAACTGGTTAAACTTAAAAAGTTTTGCCCTTTGATGGACATAGTTTTAGTAAAACGACGGTAGCCACTCCTCGTCAACAATGAATCTGATCCCTCGACGCATCTTGACCTTTCCCCGATATGCAAATGACATCATTTTGAACATGAAATTTTCATGGCTGTGGACGAGGCACGCGATGCTACTCTTTTTAGTCACGTACAGCACAGCAGGCAAACGAACGCAGTACTTGTCGACGTGCTTGAAATTTATTTGAGCACAACCAGGAATAAGATTTTTGACTTCTGTGTTGTTGGAACTTTCCTAATGCCGCTTAAGCCGCGTGGTGATATTCTCGATGATAGATAGAGATGGAAAAACTATATAGACTTGAAAAAGAAAACAACTGCGCCTGGCGAGAGCGACATCAAAATTAATCGAGAGCTAGCGAGGCTGACTTCGTAGCAATTTCATGTCCTCGTGTGTGAATTAATTTGTTCCTAAGGAACAAGGTACTAGTAGGTAGAATAATCAACACGCTTTCTCTGACTACCTACATATATACCCTTTATCTTCGATGTGAATTTAGTTTTCTAATTGATTCTGGTTTTCTTATAGTTTATGAACTTTTGAACTGACGATTGAGCTGGACTCCGATACGTTTTCATTCTTAAGAAATGGTTAATATTCTGGCTGTTTTCTTTGCTTTTAAATTCCTGGTAAACTTGCGACTTAAGCAATCTAGTAATTTTAATACCCTAGCTGACGTTGCCTTTTTTTTAGCGGAAAAGAATTTAGTCGCCACAGCTCACTGGTCAAAAACTACGAGTTTCGTCACCAGCGCATGGAGTCATAATTGCAAATTTCTGCTCCAGGTGTGAGTGAAGGAGTAAATGTGATGAAATCTTTTATCAAATGAACCAGTATAAGAATCGAAAAAACAAAGTGTGAAGATAAATACAAACAATTCCAACAAAAAAGTTTCACGTGGCGGAGGAGCATTACCGAAGTAGCAAGTCTTACAATGATTGCGCTCTGTGCAGTATCATCCAGTACTATGTATATCAGTATATGTAAAGTTTTTGAACAATTACGTAACTGAACGTCCAGCACCCAGCAAATTTATAACTCTTACATTAAAAGTTGAGGAATGATTTCAAGTCCCGCCTCTCCAAGTTTACGACTAACAGGATTTATAATTTCCATGTCGAGATTTACATGATTAGTGATTAGATTAAAAAGTCATGATTGAGAAGGGATATAAAAATCTGTTTAAATAAAGCGCTTCTATTGAACATCTAAAAACGCAGACTGAAATTTTTTCATCATAACTAAGGCACAGAATTTTGAAAAATCAACAATACTCTACTATCCCTATAGTTTATAGGTATTTTCTTTCAAGTTCCAGACTCCAACTTCAAGTCAGTCAGTGATAAGGTGTGGCACAAGATACATAAAAAAATAAGATACACAATAAGATACACAAGATACATAAAAATAAAAACCTTTAAAAAAATTTATGTAAAAGAGAAGGCTAAAAAATAGGTATGAAACACTGACCTAAATATTGAATCCTTTAAATGGCACATCGTTTTAACTTTCAAATGACATAAGATAGCTTTAAACATAGACCACATATTTGACAACTGCAAATGGGATGAAAGCGAAGTAAAGTTTTATCTTTACTGAACTCTAAGCAGTATAAAGGTATACATTGACCTAAACAGTAGTCGATGGTTCATAAAGAGCCTCTAACTGCAGCCGCAGAACCTCTAGCCCAAGGCTGTGCCAGCCCGGCACGAGGCAGCGCGCGAAAAGCTCTAAGCAAGCGTCTTCTTCGTCCGCAAACCCAAACTCGCGGACAAGATCTGCGAGAGACATAACAATGGTTAAACTAATGTTAATTTATTAATAAAACATAATATGGATGAAATAACTAATAAAATGATAACTAATATTAGTTCAATAGTAAGTATTTAGTTGCTTTATTAAAAGAATTGTGATGAGAAATATTAATATTAAATTATACATATGAAAAAACTTGGGCGTCAAATGCTGAAAAATTCTAGACGTGTATCATTTACTTTTTTCAACTATGGCAAGATGAAAAGGATTACAGTCTTATGGAACTCGATGAGAGATAATGAAAATATTTCCTATTAAAAACAAATTTCAACAAAATTATTAACGTAATAACAGGTTTCTGAATATTTTAAACAATGGAACACCCCATTAGTATCTCCAACAGAAGCACATAAAGGTAATAAGTCCAATGGGTGAACAGAAACCTAACCACATATCTCAATTATGATATTACCATTAAGAGGTGGTTTGTGGGAGTGCAGTGCTGAGGGGACCGAGACTAGTAACATTTTCTTGTTTTTCTCCAACTTTACGACAGTTGACTTTTTTTGTACTTCACTGCAAACAGTGATATTATCTTCATCCCCTTCTTGTGCAGTATCAAGCATTTCATTCGACGATGAAGACTGCTGATTTTGATTTGATTCGTCACGGCATGAATTTAAAGAAGTCTCTTTCTCAGTAGCTTCAACATTCTGTACAACGTCGAGGAATTTTTCCCCAAACGAAAAATTACGATCTTGTCTTATACTTAATTGATAGTAGTTTGTATTTTGTTCGTGCTGCTCGTTCGTACAGGTTTCTCTCCAGCGTGTGTCGTCTGGTCTCGGAAATGGCAGTCTTTTTGGCAACTCAGATGGGTGTTTTTGTGGCAGATCTGATGGGTGTCTTTTTGGCAAATCAGATGGTAGTCTTTGTGGGAGCTCTGATGGGTGTCTTGGTGGTAACTCAGATGGGTGTCTTGGTGGCAATTCAGGTGGCAGTCTTTGAAAAGAAGTTGCGACGATGAGCCTCTCGTACGGCAGCTTCCCGTGACAGCCTTCGTCAGGAGAGGTGACCGGACAACCGCCCTGGGTCACCTGCAGGTAACATGTACATTCGTAACGTAACCTTTATTGGCAAGAAGTGTCGACTCATTTCTTTTATTCACACACACAGATGTGCTTGTTTGACGCATCACAGAGTGAATTTATTCGATAGTGTAGTTTTTTTTTATACGATACCGATGAAAATATATGCGGCTTTTGCATGTATCCGAAATAAATATAACAGTATGCAGGTATATGATCAGCTGAACTGCATAAAAAACTGTAGTCTATTGTGGTCAAAATACCCTATACAATCAGAATTGATTACTAAATGAGGAACTCGAGTAATGAGGTTAATTTCCGCAATGTAAGACTAGATAAAAAATACAAGGAAACCCTATGATGGATGCAATATATTTCAATATTCAGCCTTTTGACATTTTTTAATCATATAAGTAACCTATCATAACAATGAGTCAAAAGAAAGAATCACCTTCATCCAAAATAAAGTGTCGTGGATCGTAAGGTTCCATTGTGATTCAATCTGCTGAGTGAATTGCTTCAAACACGCTCGGTTGTTCGTAGCCCACACCAAGACCACAGAGTCTGGCTGTAAGATAGACCTCAGTGGGAGGTCTAATAAATCAGACACAGACATCATGTCGTACCTGCAATAAAAAATGGCATCACGCCGGGCAAAATGTCAATTTCAATATCACAACAAAGATAAAAATCAACATCATTCCAAGCGCAATTGAACGCGGGATTTATTTGCAACAGTGGAACCGCTTTTAAAAACTCGAACGCCACACGAGGCATCACAAGCTACAGATAATTAAACCTACATCAGACATACAATAGGAAACTCTTGAATATAACTCAGCCTGAACAACATAATTTCAAACACTGCTAAGTGTTTGTAATTATGAAAATTATGAAGCTGAAATTATGAAAATAAAATGGTAGAAATTATGTCATGAGTTTTCACCGAAACGATCGCCCTTTGCGAGCTCCTAAAATCATCTTACCCGTGGTGATGGCCTCGAGATTTTTTGGCGCGCTTGACATGCTTGTTCCACCACGGGGGATCCATAACGACAACCTGACATGGAATTTTTTCCCGTTAGATTGGGAATCTTTGGGCTTTCAATTGGGCTAAACGTTGTCGTATTCCGTAGATATTCTTATAATTAATGTCATTCAAGACGAATATGAAACGAGCTTCACTTTAATAATGGACAGTGTGACATGGATTCGTTATAATCCAAGTTCGACGAAAAAAGTATGGCAAGAAAGACTAAATTGTTCTCTAAAAGCAACATAAAGAAAGTTTACTATTACATATAATTCACGGTGCCAAAGTACGCATAATAATCATGAATAATTTCATACATCTTCAGAAAAGGACAACCACAACACTTAAATCCAATATACGAGTATAAGTTTTTACAAATTTCCCAATGTTTTTCGTAGAATAATCTATTAAGAATCAGACCTTATACCTCTGGTGCCGGGGCAAGACTCTGGTCATGGTGCGCACGTCTGCCTGCCAGTACGAACACCGCGGAGGAAGCAGGAAGCTCGACCCGTCGTGGGCAACCGTCGCGACTTCGCGCGCCTCGTTGCTGCCATGCGCACCCAACTCTTTGTGGCCTTCAGCTGCGCCAGTGCAATCTAATACCCTGAAAATTAAATCATACAATCATACCAGCAGCGCCAGTTCAGTTTAATGATATAATGCTTGAAACCACTATAAAAGTGTATCGTTTTAGACAGACTACGCTGCTACTATATACCACAAATTCTATCCAAACGTCATTGGATAGAATTTTCAAGATAGAATTTTACTATCTTGGTTCCCGATGATATTTAGATTTTGATAAAAGTCATGGCGCGAAAAAAAAATAAAGTAATGTAAGGATTATTGAAACAGACTACGCTGCTAGTTCTGGTATTGTACACTCCAAACGTCATTGGATAGAACTTTTAAGATAGAATTTTACTATCTTGGTTCTCGATGATATTTAGATTTTCAAAAAAGTAATGGCAGGAAAAAAAATAAAGTAATGTAAGTATTATTGAAACGCTATCTAAACCAACGTTGAAACGAGCAAAAAAAATCAAGCTTAGAATATCATTCAGAATGACTGAATATCTCTCGTTGCATATATTCCAAGCCATATTGCATCAAACACTAAAAAGATATCGGTAATAAGACAATATGCTAACCTGGAAGCAGCTTCACGCGCTGATTTGTTGTTCTGCCTGAAGTCGGACGAAGATGGCGTGAATTCAAATATTCTTCTGTACTCAGGTAGGTTGGCCATGTCTTGAAAGCGAGCCATTACTGACGCCGCTTCTTGAGAGAGTTCATCGTCCACTGCGAGCAGAGAAACGGCATTCAGGCAGAGCAGCTTGTTTTGTAAAACATATTACTAAGTTATTACACTACGAGAAATGAGGAAGTCCTTTCTGAAAATATTAAAAGACTTTTTGTTCTTTATTGAATCATCCTGACCAATTTGAGCGAAAAAAATGCGTTTCGATCATTGTTGTACGAGCATTAAAATGTCAGCATTTGTCTAATATGGCCCATTCATTCTCGGAGCGCATGAGTATACTGTTGATAAAAAACAGCCAATAGTACTTAGGAATAAGTTTTGAAATTACCGTAAAGCACCATTGGTGAGACGATTCTTAGTGAATGACAGGAATAAAGTCATAAAAGCTTGAAGTAAATGATCACTAAACCGGCAGGTGATGGCACTCATGAAGTGAATTCGTCTTTATTAGCTGTTGAAAAAAATCGTCGTTGATCCTATAACTCATTTCGATTGGGTTCGTTTACGATAACAACATCGCTCCGAAACCAACCTATTATGATAGTGCAAGTTGTGCGCGAAAGTTGGCTGACTAATTAGAAAGATAGGTAGGTAAGCGGATGCGAAAGAAGGAGAGAAAACATATATATAATTAGTAGAATTTCAATCACAGAAATAATGAATATAGCTGAAAAACTGGATAAAAAATATAACTCAGTACTCACTGCAGTGAGTGACAGAGAGCGCATTTTCTCGTCGACGAAAACATGAGGTCACGGACAGACGAACGGACAGACGGACGGACAGACGGACATGGCGAGCACAATAGTGCATTTTTTCCATAAATGAGAAAATGCGCTAAAAAGCAGGTATAAGAACATCTTTAAGATACATTACACAAAAGCCACGCAGCCTAAAAAACCTCCCAACGCACATTGGCTCACGTGTTTTCGTTTCCTCTTTCGATTTTTGCGTAGCACTTGAACTGCATTATCGGGCCCAAGTCGTTGAAGTTCATCAAGAGATGTCGAGCCCACTTTAGGTTCATCATCAAGGTCGTTTAGCTTCTCTTGGCTGGACAAATGTTCTGTAACTTGTCGCTGTTGTTCAGGGTTAGAATCTTGACGCGTTTCATGAGTCAAGGTTTGCGTCTCAAAATGTTCGTGAAGCTCGAGCATTTTGGCGCGCTTCTCGGCCGCCCCGTCCTGGCGACAACACGATCAAGTAAACAAAACGGTAGATGTAATATATACATAATTAAACTAATACACTGCACAGTTTTGAGACCGAGACAGAAATGGCGAAATGTCGTGTACGAGAAGATAGATTTCAGAAATGGTTTCCACTCAGTTTCAGCGACGCGTTTCAATCGAGATAATTCTGAAAATTTTAAATTGACCAACAATAACACAATAAAGTAAGTTAATTTGAGAGTATCTAAATCGTACAGTTACCAATATGAAACACAAATTCCCTTTTATTAGTGGAAGCTGTCTCAGAAAAAGGCCGCACCTACATACTACTTATAAAAAATGTAACTCAGTACTCACCTTCAGTGAGTAATAGAGAGCGCACAAAAACGTGAAGTCACGTACGGACAGACGGACGGACAGACAGACAGACAGACGGACGGACGGACATGGCGAGCACAATAGGGAATTTTTTCCATAAATGAGAAAATGCGCTAATAAGGTTTTGATTTCATTTATAATTTTTTTAAAATAAAATTTCTATTTATTTGTGCACGACTCAAAACAGTCCGTAACTTATTTAAATATTATTCTACCAGCAAAAACATTAAGTGATTTAATAGCAGTTTCACAGAGAAAAAATTACCTCTCATTTAATTACCATCATAAAAGGCGTACGTATTCGGAAAAGCTGCAGCATCAATGGAAACGATTTCCCGTCATCGCCATCCAATGCTATTGTTGTGGGCCCGTTACCGGCCGTACAGCCTCCCGATATTGTAGGTGGGGATTCGATTGTAGGAATTCTACAATCGTCTTTATTTATAACATCCCCTGTGTCGTACTTAGATGGAAAATAAAGCTTTCGTATCCATGAATAGTGATCCAAAATGAGGCCCATCGACGATCGGTGGAGAATTGACATGATTGAAGGGTACCTGCAACAATCATTAAATGAAAAGAATCAATAAATAAAACATTAATAAATATTTCAACAACTAAAGAGTGCGGAATAATTACTTGTGTTTGAGGGCACATATAAGTTGATGCAAATACGTTTACAAAGTGCGGACGATTGAAACATAGAACATTTATAGCTTTTTATTAACATATAACCAATTTTTGCTATTATTATTATTCATTGGACCTAACGAATACTGCAATAAAAAAAAAAACAAATTCAATGAATATAGGTTGTGAGAAAATATGGTGTTATATCCGACATATATTTAAACAAATTGATAAGGTCGATTAAAGGGATTTTAATTGCGATGCAATATAAAACCAATGAAAGCTGCTGCAACTGGACCCTTCACCTGGTAAACGCACATAATTCTAAATCTAAATTATTTGCATAAAATAAAATATTAAATGGAGGCATTTATTACTTTACATGAACGTCAACTATCTACTCTAATCCAATACACAAAGTAATTCTGCGCGATAATGTACAATAATTATATTTTTATGCCACAACATTCATACGTCGCAGTCTCATTCGTTCAGTCAATCACGCACCGGTAATTCGACATTCATCTTTAATCTAGAGAGTGCGCTGGGGTGATAACTTCTAAATAATTATAATTAATTTATTACCAGTATTTAAAATTGCAATTTTTCTTTTGATGATTGACATTTCAAATAAATATTAAATAGTGCATGAAATAAATTGAGCCCAGCACTGTCAGCACACACATAAGTTGAATCCCTAGAAAAGCAGACGAACAAAACTCAAATTCTATCATAAATAAATACGATTAATTATTTTAAAATCACACAATATTTTTTAGTTTAAAAAAAAGTGTAAAAAAGGTTTTCATTTGGTATTAGTAGTTAGTTCTTATAATCTACGCCAAACAATGGCTCCTATCGCTACAGATGAAAGGCTATTAGGGTCAGAATTCAATCCGCAGATTCACAAGATTAATCAATACGACTAGCAAGGCTTCGAATCCCTATCGGACAAGAACTTCTTCAGAAAGCCAAATCTCCCCCATTCTCCTCCCAGAGTTCCGATCATGCGCACAGTTACCAAAGACGTCACTGTTGAACTCCGCCCACATCTCCTATCCATTGGTCCACCGCTAGCACTTGGTCTACGTACAGGATGTTTCTCTACGAAAGCCATCCCCTTCACAACGTGAACCAAACGTTGTACGGAATCAGACTCATTCAGAAGATAGTTATACAACATCCATTCACTTGAAGTATCTAGATAATACAAGACTGCAAAAGAATTTTAGCCACCAACTGAGGCCACAGCACATTTACAGTTCAGCAGCTGGTTGCAAGGTCGACCTCGCACTTATCCCGACTCGTTATACTGACTTATACATTCAGGTTATTTGAGTTTTTTGAGGACAGTCACAGTCTCACAGAGTCAGTGGATTGTTATGATGTGCCCAAGGTATCAGGGCAAACCAATATGAATACATCAATTGTCAGGTATTTTCAAAGCCTTCACCTAATTATTTTCAGGTACAAATAATTAATAGTAATAAGATGAACATCATGCTTACAAAATGAATCCAGAAACGAAAAGTTAACGTGAAGGTTATCAACTGGTATATGTTGGCACACATTAGCACAAAGAAAACTTCAGAAGAACCTTAGGCTAAGTTTAAAGTTGCTGGGTTAGGGTATCGTACTCCTAGTCTTAAATACGATGTGTCTGCTATGTTTACCTTATGACTACTGACTAGTGTCTACTAACAAGATGCCTGAGCGCAATGAACATTATAAGCTAATAACGAATAAAAATTATCAGCGAGACTAATCATAAGTACAAACTGGAGAAGGTAGCTAAATTGAATCGTGCTTTAATTTTACGTTACCAGTAGATCATAAACGACCTGTAAACTTGATCTTGGGAGACATCTTTTTAGCATGATGAAAATACGTAGTTTTTACTTATGTTACGTCAGGCTTTGTAAGGCTGCCAACTTAAGTTTCCTAAACATTAGTTCATTCAAAAATTTACTACGTAGGCAAATGCTTTTAGAGCGCAGACTGAAACACGTGCAGTCATCTGAAAATTTTCAAAGTATTGGTACGCGTCTGCCCTGCAACCATTGGCCAACGGTGACGTCATCATAGAAGATTCGCGTTAATTTTCATAATTATCACTTCAACTTACCTCTGATGAAGATATTTTGATGCTAAGTATTTGTATGACCTATGGTCACACTATCACGAGGCACAGTCACGAACGTTTGTGATGAGTGCATAAAGCTAAGAGAACCTAATAACATCGATGGGCGGGGTTACAGTAATGACGTAATTTTACAGGGGCTGCATGTTGTTGTCAACTACTACCAGAAAATGCTAGAGGATTTATTTGTATTTTTAAAATGTTAATTAGGTATCTAAAAGTATGAAATCTAATTTATATTAATGAATTGAATCGTTTTAGTGCAAATAAGTAGTTTCGAAATTCAAATGAGCAAACTTTTAGTGGAGGAAATATGTAAACCGAAATCCTAGTTGGGTCCATGCTCCGTGCGTTGTTCAATGTAGACCCCGTGGAGCATCAGAACGTTGAGACGAGCTGTTTGTGATCGCCAGTATTTTACAAATAAAAATATTTATGTGAGAAACATTGCCAATTGAACAGTCAGACCTGTGATGTATGTGTGCGAGTTAGTGAAAACTTTGTTTTTGAGGCTATGGAAGCTACATTTAAACAGGGAAGCGTGCGTAAATCAAAAATATTGTTAGTGTGACCTCGTGTCAATAAGATCATTGACGATCAGACACAAAGATTTGCCTAATCTAATGTGCCCACACATTGCAGTGCTGATTTGAGTGATACATCATACAGAGAGGGCCTGTGTTTGTGATTTGAAAATTTGTTTTCTCCGGATGAAGTGTAATGGAAGCTTACGTAGTCGTTTTGGATAATTATTATTCTGCGGCATTTCATTGCATTCTTCAATAGTGTTGGCTCCGCCAAGGTAAGAATTTTGTCAAGTTATTCCTCGTTTTTGCGCTTCGTTTTTTTGAAATTGTTGAGGTGTTGTTGTTCAACATTAGAATTCTATTGTGTAACTGCACTGTGTGCTGTATGATCTATCTACCTAGTTATTCAGAAATTTTTTTTCTTTAACTTCACATATATTATAAAAAAAATTTGTGTAGTCTGGAAAGTGGAAATACAATGGTCTTAGCCTAAACTCCTAATCTCAAGTTAGCTAGGCCCTGCTAGTGCTACCTAGCCTACTCTCAACATGTCAACGGTCATTAGTCAACACACGAGTATAATCTCCATATTCATATATCTTACTGGGCAGGGATTGAACAGTTGAACTAAAATATGGTTATTTTTCCAAGCCATGACACAAGTTTACTGACCAGTTCTGGTCCTGCAAAATCTCTGTTACTCAAATTCTTAATGTCCAATTCTTCAAGACTCATGGGGTTAAACCCAAGATTTTTCAGAATCAGTTCATTTTTAATCTCCTCATTTATTCAAGATTTAAATTAATATATTATGTAGGTATGAAAATGCTGACATCCACGATACTTTACTGAAGTTCACTGACTTCACTCATCTACTAATAGGCTCAACAATAAACTTGAGGTATATTCTAAAAATATAACTCAGTACTCACTGCAGTTAGTGACATAGAGCACATTTTCTTGTCAGTTGTCAACGAAAACGTGAAATCACACCCACGGATGGACAGACTGATAGACAGACGGACATGATGAGCACGGCACAATAGGGCATTTTTTACATAAATATGATAACGTGCTAAAAAAACTATGGGCTCATCTTCTTTGACATTATGCTTTAAAGTTCAGTGTATGGTGAAGTGTGCAACTGCAATGGATCATGAATGTGGAGCTGCATTCCTGCATAATCTAAAACTTTGACATAGTGTCACTGTCAAAGCAGAGACTTAGACTTAATTGGGTTTAATTTTGAGTCCTGTAAGCAGACCAGTAGTCAGTAGAGCATCATGGATACCAGCATTATCATACGACATACATAAGATATTGCTTTAAACATTAAGTAGATGAGAAAATTCAAAATGAACTGATTTTGAATATCTCTTGTTAGTCATTATGCCTGCTATTTACCTTCTATCTTTCTTTCATAAAAGTGCACAATCAGATGGTAGGATTCCAAGTATTGAAAATTTTTTAATTTGGAGTTGCAAGATTTTAGTAATAAGTAGGAAAATTTTAATCCTGGTTGTAGCTTTGCAGGTCCAATCAGATAAAATAAAATCCATATCATCATATAAGTTCCAAGAAAAAATATCAATTAGCAGCAACATAAAGCCTGCGGCATTTCATTGGCAGAAAAAATTATGTCATAAACAATAAAAATATCAATAAATATGTCATTATGTCATTATTCATAACTTGTTCTAAAATAATGATATCAAAATGTCCATAATTTCCATTATTTTGTCAACTCCTGTGTATATGTATGCAAAGTCTATATCAATCACTTCCCATTTTCCACATTGATCCTAATTGTCGTTAACCCTTAACTGCCAAATCAGACTTTCAAGTCGCTTTTAAAAAACACCGGTTTTCTAAGAATTTCACGTTTACTTTGAGTTTTTTTTTTTAAATTCACACAAACAAAAAAGTCTTAGATTTTTTTTACATATATGTACCAAGTTCCAAAGTTATCTGTCTGTAAATAACTTAAATAAAATTTCCAATTTACAATGGCAATTTCCAATTTCTTGTGGAAATTTTATTTCGTTTATTTACAGACAGATCACGTTGAAACTTGGTACACATATGTTAAAAATAAATCTAGGACTTTTTCCTTTGTGTGAATTTTTTGAAAAAAATGAAAGAAAACGTGAAATTCTTAGAAAACAGCCAAAAAGGAGGTACTGTAAAAATCTATCTCCTCCTAGGATTTTCAAGCTATAACATTGAGACGCATATAATTCGATGCGTACAGACCATATCTATCAATTGGTCCTTGCTGTTTTGAAATTCTAATTTGGTGGGTGGGGTGGTCATTTTTCAGAAAAATTTTGATTTCTTCCCCCACCCTTTTGAATTTCCCCCCTCCCTTTTTTCAAAATATTTTCAAAACTATGACAAAATTGGAAAAAAAACTCCAACCAATCTCTAGATCTTTTATTTGCAAATCGAACGGTATAACTCTCTTTGCGATACTTTAAAAACTCTTGGAGATAGGTTTGCAGTGACAATAAGTGTGAATGTTCAGTAGAGCATGACAAAGTCCAGAGCGCCTCAAAATAGGCATTCAAGGTGGCATGGATACAAGACTAGACGTTACTGGAGCTTAAATTCAGTCATTGATGGTAGGAACAACTGCATGAGCACCATCCCACATGACAGCAGCTGGGTAACCAAAGATCAGCGTCTTCAGACTGTCTATTTATGTGCCCGGCTGGTAATTTTTGCCCATCTTAAATGTGAAAGAACTCCCCCACCCCTAACCCTTTTGCAAACTTGTCAAGGCATAAATCAACATATAGAGATGATTTTGGTACTGTTGGATAGAGCATAATGTCAGCTTTAAGATGAGACTAGAAACCGGAAAAGTGGAAATTGCGATTTTTGACCCAGAAAATCGGGTGGTAAAGGGTTAATGAAAAAGCATCTTTATCCTGCTTTGGCACCACCTTTGGGGCAATGAATTTCACATTGTTGATCTAGGTTGTGACTTGCTTAACAGACTGCAGTATGGAGCCATGTAATTCCTTTAACAACTATGTTAGCTAAAATTCTTGCTCCTGTACATTATGATTGGAATTTTTATACTCATTACTGAGATATTGAGGCTCAGGAGTCACAAGTTTTTTAATACATTTGGAATCTTGTGGCCCAATTGTGCACTTTTGTCACTTTTGAAATCTTCCAGCTGCAAAAATAGTGGGAACAAGCATTCTTTTGTACAAAGAATGTGCAATCTGGCCAAGGATCCTGTTCCAAACTTCCTACTTTACTAGGAAGCATGGACCTTATATTGGGAATTGTGGCTTCTATTTTAATTCAACATTTGATTAGGAGTAGTTACATACCTATTTCTAATCCATATGCCATGTGCACCTGTTCATAAATTCCAAATTTCACTGATACCAGTGGAATATGAACAGCAGAAAATGGATAACAATGAATGTGGATACCATGAACAATACAATGCAAGACCTGCTATTTCACATGAACATTCAGTCAAGGTGAAGATAGCTGATGGCAAAATTTGTAATGTTTTTAATATTTTTACACAGGAGGCCATACACTACGTACGGAGAATTGAGGTGTTAATATTTTCTGAACATTACTAGTAACGACAGGCTGATGGATCTGTTATACTTGTTAGCTTTAATATTTCAAGGGAGTTTAAGGTTCCTGGTTACTGATAACTGCTGTCTACATTGACCAATATTCATTGCAAATAAATTAGTAAAGTTCGTACTGATCATTTGTTAGTGGTGACATCAATCATAAATTCACAAATGTTTAGAAGTTAAACTGGTGATAGTCATCCTTGCCTATTCTTCTTAGCCCCTTGGCACCATGTTGTATTGATGAGAAGACCTTAAGTAAGAGGTTGTAGGTTTAGAAGTAGGCATGAAGAAAAATTGCCACTAACTTAACCAAATGTAAGATATATTTATCTTGAAATTAATGGTTAAATGCCTCATTTCCATTCCCTCCTGGCTTTAATGACAGTTGCTGAGTGGCAACCAATAGACTTGTTATTTGCTGTTCTTTCTTCTTCCTTGAGCTGATGGAACACAATTCAACACAATAATGGACTGAAATGCATAAATATACTGGAAAACTGATTTTGATCACATACGAAAATCAGTTTTTTTATGAAAACTGATATTGATAAGAACTAAGAAATTCTATATTGATCTAAAGACCTAAAACTAAATCATGTCCTTTTGCCATCATACCATCCACTCAAAGCAATAATAACCTACTTGTGCAATAGCATTTCACCAGTCCTAGTATGACAAAACTTCAAGTAATTCTCAGCTGCCTTTAGCATCCTAGAATTTTACCTTGTCATGTGCCAATAAAGTTATGTAGCTAACTTATAATCCAGTAATATGACTGAAAGCTTGCATGCCAATATATCCCAAATCTGTCCATGGCAATGGCCATTATGGAAGCATTATACTTGCTGGGTGAGAGTACTTAGTAGCCACTAAATTGTTATTTTTTGCTGCTGAAATTGATATTTTTGCTGCTGAAATTGATATTTTTGGCTGCTGCAATCAATATTTTATCTGTGAATTAGTGTGCACTCTATTGAGGCTTATCTCTCAGCAAAATGAATTTGAATCCTAAGTTAACCTTCATTTAAAGTTCTTATGTTAATTGCTCTAACAAATTACTTTGAAATTGCTACTGTTCAAAAAAAAAATTATTGACCTTGGTAGAAAAATTATTAATTTCAACTTGAAATAATTATAATCTGATGCTTGAATATATTTCCACAGCCTAGTGGATAGTGGAACTTTTCAAAAAATATTGCAGTAATATTCTTTCAAGATAATGACCGTTTGTGATATCTTTTAAAGACAGTGACATTCCTGCTAATGGATGCTAATATCTGCACAATTGCTAACATTTGAATGTCAGACTGTGTACGGACTATGGATGCTGGCTGCATATATATATATATATATATATATAAACTGCAAGCATCCAAAATGTTGTTAATTTGATCTCTACCTACTAAAGTTTAACTTGATGGTCAAAGCAATAGGAAAAATATTTAGCTATATTTCATTGTGTTGCATATCTTATTTGTAATTTTTTTCTGCAGTCATGTCTACATTGCAATGGATGATGGCGGACAGAGACTGTTGGATGTTATTGAGTGAGTATTATTGAATTTAGTGCTAAACAAACAAGATATATATATGCAAAAGATGGTATTGAAGCCTACATGGAAATATGTTTGCAAAATTTATATTTGATGCAGCCAAATGATTCACTCTTTGGGATGTTCAAGTAGGTACATTATTAGCTAAATTATTAGAGGCTCACATGAATCTTTGGTGAGATGTATATATGATAAACAACCCTTTTTCTTTGCAGTGACAATCATGCCTTGGAGTCATTTCTGCGGGAAAATTTTCCTAGCTCGGTAAGTTTCTTTGCTGATGTACAAGCAATTATTTCTGGAAGTGGGAAGCAGTATTTTTATGTGAAGTACAAGTTCAAGGTACATAAAAAATTGGAATACATTCTCCTCTCTAATATGTGTACATAAGTATTTTGCCATGTGACTCAATAGCTTGACAATTTATAGCTAATTATTAAATGTATTTTTCTTCTCTTATTTATTTAGTATTTGACATGTCATCTAAAGGCCAATGAAATTGATTTATATTTTTTTATCATTTTATAGTGATATACCTATTTATATGTTGAAATATTCATTTTACTCTTAATGTGCTGCACTTGCACATGTCTTGCTCTTTGAATAGTAGTTTTCATCATTCTTTTCTGAAAATAACTATTCCCAAAAATTTGTATCATAATATAACATAGTGATGTTAGCGCTTAAGAATAGGCCTGATGTGGCCTGTTGCTGATTCTTGGAATTTTTGTGACTTGTCTACAGGAGATCTAAAAACAGGTCCTCCAACTATCTTTTCCAAACTGACAATACTGTAGTTTGAAATGGCTACTAGAATAGCACTGGGTCCAATATGGTGCTAGGCATTTCAAGTCTGAACACGTATTTCAGCATAGCTTTATCTAGTCCATTCTTGAATGCTTTTATACTCGGAGCATCAACATTGTAATTGGGGAGGCTTTGCCACATGTTGGTTGCTTTTAGGAATATATTTTAGTCTCTTCCATTTGATAGCCATCTAATTTTTAGTTGAAACTGTGTGATTGGCTAGTGATAACTCACTTGAGTAATGCCATTTCATACCATTGGCAAAAGAAGAATGACATTAAGGTAGCCAGAAGCTGTAGGAAATTTGCAGAAGATGGGAAAAAACTTACCTCTAACTCAGAAGTTTTCACAATTGAACTTATTTTTTACCTATGAAAATTTCCTCATTGATGATTATTTTTGCAGGGTCTTGAAAGCCCACATCTGGAAAGCATTGTGAGCAGCAGCAGCTCCTCAGCAGCTGGCAACAATGCTGGAGGATCAGAGACGTGCCTGGACAGTCTTGTGTTTGATGGCAATCACCTGGTGGTGTCAGCTACTGCAGCAGCTGCTGCTGCAGCTGCAGCACACAAAAATAATGTCACCACTGGCAGCTCGCAGAACTGCAATATGGCATCTTCTGCTTCCACAATCCATGTTACTGATGCTCAGAATTCACTGTTACAGCATCAAAACAACACAACATCTATACATGGGCATCAACAACACCATCACTTACGCACAATGTCTCCTGCAGTGCAGCAGTTACAGCAGCACCTTGCGGGCCCCATTAGTGGCATATCATTGGAACATCAGCAGCAGCCATCCATACTGCTACCTCAATCAGCTCTGACTGCTGCTGACCTAGGGAACAGTCTGAGTGGTTCTGCATTAGACGACAAGAATAAGATGCTCCTCATCACCAGTGATGGAATGTCTGCAGAACAATCTTCATTGCAGCAGTTTCTTTCTTCGTCCTGTATAGTTTCTCAGCATCAGACATTGCAACAAAATCAACAACAGCAGCATCAAATTCAAACATCTCATAGTTTTCACAACTCATCTTTACCATCTTTTATTATTGAGTCTGGAAGCAAAACAGAGACGCTTGCTCCTAGCTTTGCAAGCTCTCAAAATGTGGATCAGAACCAAAATAATGGAATGTCTTCAATGTTGGTATCATCATCTTCAGCGCAAACTAAACATCAAATAAATCTGGCAGTTCCTGCTTCTTCGGATTTGAATAGTCAACACAGCATCACATTTGGCAGTACTCTTCGAGGCTCTCTTGAGTCTCTTGGTGCTGTTGCTTGTGCCAGCAATGGTAGCACACTACATTCATTTACTTCATCATCTGTAAGATCACAGGCAAGCCCAAAAGGAGTTTCTCCAAACAGTCGCAATTTGAATTCCAAAACATCTAATTTTACTTCATTGCAATCAAACAAATCAAAGAATGCTGCTCTAGGTGCAACCACTCTGTCTGGACTCACGAATATTCTGACTGGAGAAGCCTCTACTGTATCCAATTTAACTACCTTGTCAAACATGAGTCCTTTCACTGCCACGGTTTCTTCATCATCTATAGCATCATATTCCAATCTAAGTTTATCGAATTTTTCTAATTTAAGCAATCTGTCGGGTATTCAGCTAGTCAATAATAACGGGCAAGTGATAAAAGCAACATCATCTGAGTGTGGAGGCTTGCTGAGCAACAGCTCACAGACCCAACTGCAGTCGACCATGTGTCTGCCCACCATGAGCAGCTCTTCTTCAGGACAACAGATGGCACCTCAGGCCTCTGTAGTACAAGGCTCCCAGATCATTGGTTCTCAAGTGCTGGGCACATCCACTCTTCTCAGCCAAACAAACTCCGTCTTGAATGGCAGTAATAACTCCAGCAACGCCGTTGGTTCATTGTTTGTTACCCCAAATTCTTCTATTCTGAATGGTCAAGCTCAGCTTTCTTCGTCTTCCTTTTCCCTCCAATCTCTAGCAGTTGCCAATCAGCCGCAGGTAATATTCACTACAGCATCTAATCTAAAGAATAATGGTGGCTTCACCCTCGCCTCAACCTCAGGGTCTCCGTGTGTGTCACAAATATCTAGCAGTAGTAATTCATCTTTTGGTGGTAGATCTACAGCGCAGGCTATCCGTTCTTCAGCCCCTGCTGCTCAAGTATTAGCTTCTTCTAATAATAGTAGTGGCATGAAGCTCCAGTCGGTCGGTGGGGGAGTCATGCTGGCAGCTGCTTCTCAGTCCAACACATTGAAGCCTTTAGTTCCTGGCACTGGACAGCTAATACAGCTTCTCACCAACAACAGAGTAGTCACTTCTGCTAACAAGCTCATTCAGCCCAAGCAACCTCAGTTGTTACCAAAGCCCGTTGTTTGCGCTCCAGTTAATACCCAGTCAGGACCTCAAGTGGTGCCTGGAAAGACTCTAATAAGTGGAACTCCATCGCGATCAGTTGCCACCACTCCGCCTTGCTCAACAAATTTACCATCGCCCGTCTCTACTTCACTTAGCTTATCACAGGCAGCACCAGCCCTCGTTGCCCTTACTGGATCTAACCAGACGATGCTCACAGGTACCTCAGTGTCAGGTGCTCCTAACTCAGGTTCTGGGGCTGGGACAGGACTTTTGCTCAATGGCAGTCTATTGCAAAATAGTATACAAGGTCTACAGGCAGGTCTGCAGCAGCCAATTTTAATTCAACATGCTAATGGTATGCAGTTTTTGATAAGACCTGCGGGCAACGCGGGAACAACGCCGTTGTTTTTAAATTCGTCTCCACAGTTTCTTTTAAACACTTCGGGGGGCCAATCGGCAGCTGCTGGAAACAAAACCCCTGCTTCTGTCACACCTCAAGCCATCATGATTCCTGGTGCTAACGGGCAAGCACCAACTTTTGTTGTGCCACAAGGTCTTGCTCAGAGCTTTGCGGCAAATCAAAACTTATCTGCACAGACTACTAACCTCATGAGCACGGCTAGCGCTCGGCAAGTCAGCCCTGCCCAAACTCCTTTTTATAGGTTTGTGACCCAGCAAGCTGGACCCACTCTGCAGCTGCAGCAGATCAACATTCCTAACGGGCCGTCATACATCGCAGTTCCCAGCAATGCTACACTGAACTTACCTGCAAGTGCAATGTTGGGTGGCACTGTTCGTCCCCTGACGCCATCTTTGCAAACTCCCACCATCCAACTGGCCCCATCTCCGCAGCTGGGTGGACAGCAGACCCTCCAATTGGCTCCTACTGTTCTAGCTCAACAAAATGCCATTACGATTCCGTCATCCATGATGCCCGCCACGAGCACCAAAGAAGACGTGCACAGTTCAGCCAACAACTCTGTGGACACATCGCTGCCGTCAAGTTCATCTATGTTTACATCACAGCTTCAGCCCCAGAACTGTCAACCGCAGCCACAGCAAATTTCTCAAGCACCACCCGCAGTGCAAGCGTCCCAACAAGTACAAAAGAAGAAAAAAACCAAGAAGAAGAAGAAAGAAAAAGAACAAAAAGAACCTAAAGTTAAAAATTCAATTAATCTCAATGATATAATGAAAGAAACTGGTATATTCGGCGACCTTTATTTTGACGAAAATGATTTTGGTCCTATCTCAGCCGAAGATGAAGCTCAAATGAATGGTGGTAGTAACTTGAGCTCTAGTTACGGCAATGCAGTCGAGCATGCAAGCAGTTCTGGTTGCATTATATCAGTTTCTCCGTCTGTCACTAATGTTGTATCATCAAACACTACTTCGACTTCAGCGACCTCTCCAGCCGTCAGCAGATCTGTGGTACTTGCCAGCACTCCAGGTGCTCAGGCCCAGTATTCCTCAGTGGTAGCTTCTTTGCCGACTCCTCTGTCTGGCTTGATGTCCTCAAACATGACTGCCAACATCACTGCCACTCCAAACCTCATCTGTGTCAACAGTGGACCGGGATCCTCCTCTGCTGCAACCTTAACCCTCACCTCGAACTCCCTGAACACACCGATTTTCACTTCGACACCATCGCCTGCTACCAACTCGTCTCTCAACGCCAGCATTTTCCCAACAAATTTTGTAAACATTCCTGGCAATTCACTGGCACCTCAGTTTTTGACTGGAAAAGTGGGCGGCATGGGACTTCCACAGTCTGGAATGGTGGCCACCGTCGACGCTACAGGCAAACTTATACTCGGTTCTCTTTCTGCTCTGAGACCTCAACTCGTGCAGGGATGCAATACATCGGCTGCTTCCACATTTTTATCTACGGTAAAATTTGCTTAAAGTACTCATTGTTGTTTAAATATTGAAACTCCACTATTCTATATCAAAGTACTTGTATATGGATATTTATATACTAACGGTGGCACTAAAAATTTATCAAAACTTAAAATGGTTGTCAAATTTTTTTCTTTGTTTTTTCTTACTTTATACAGAGATGAAATTTGCTGTATAAAAATATTCCGCACTTCAAAAGCTGGTAAATATAATTAATTGTGACCTAGAACTGCAAGTTTTGTGATGTACCACGTTGCTAATTATACTCTGTTTTTCAGGCCAATGGTTTAGTGATGGCCCTGCCTTCGGTGCCTCTGGCAACAGATGACCTCCCTACTAGTAGCGGCTCAAGAGTGGTCACTAGCCAGACATTCTTGAATACCATTACAGGTGGCGGCGGCAACGTGTTGTCTAATACGGTTGGCGGACCTACTATGGTGCTAAGTAATTTCTCTGGTGCTAATGCTCTGAACATTACCACGTCATCCTCGCCCTCAATCTTAACTTCACTTCCGGTATCTTTGCAAGCCTCTGTTGTGCCATCAAATTACGTTACCGCTGGTACGGCTACAATCTCACCTGTGTTGCAGAGAAAAACGCCTGTAGGGAACGATATAACAAAAGTTGCACAAAATACTCAGCTTTTCAAAGCATTGCAGCCTGAAAATGGCAGTGCTTCTCTGAGCATGGGTTCCCTCAGCTCACTCACTGATGATGGGAGCATCATCATTGGCTGCCAGAGCTTCAAGCCTACCTCCACTGGCTATGGTGTCAACAAGACACAAATAGTCCCACTCAATGTTATTGCTGGGAACTCTACCAGCCACAATAATGGCATCAATACAAGCAGAATAACTTCTTCTGTATCAACAAATACATCATCATCAAACATTCCTTTCATCACGTCTTACACCGGCACAGTGAAGTCTCCAGGCTCCCAGACGCTTGTTCTCCCATCCCCCACAATAAAAATATCTATAGCCTCTGAAAGTTCCTGTAATGACCAGCTTTTCAAGAATTATGGGTCAAGCAGTTCGACTTCAAAAGTATCAGTTCCAGCTTTCAGCGTCACCTCAAAAAATAATAAACGTCCTTCACGTTCTAAGAAAAGAAAATCTCTGGATGATGAAATGAGCATTAACTGCCCAACCAGCTCCGCTGAATCGAGTATCATGAATCACCTCCAAGACCAAAAATCCCCCACTGGATGTAAGCCCATCTTGTTGCCTTTATCCTCACCTATAAGCAACATTAAAACAACTACCACTTTGAGCAACGGCTTCGCGCTCTCAATCCAGAAACCTTCACTGGAATCCCCTACGAATAATATGAGTTTGAGTCCAAAGAGTGGCTCGCTTCGTAACATGCCCACTATTATTGAACTCAGTGGAGCTGTTTGCAATGGGAATGTTAGCAGCACTTGCAACACTGTCGGCAATAGTTCAACAAACTCTGTTGTGTCATCCCTGCCGGTACTACATGTGGCATCCACTGGTATCGTTGCTACCAACAACAACTCGAAGCCTACGATCAAGCAAGTCTTCATTTCACCGGCAAATCAAGAGGTAAATTCTGAACCGGTAAATCCTATTTCAAATTAATTTTCCGGACAAGATGGTTTCAATGTGATTAAGCTGATATGTTCTAAAGTATGTGAAACATTGATGTTAAGCTGCTAAGCTATAGGAACTATTGATGCATTTTATGTTTAGTTTAAATGCTTGTTTTGTGATATATGTCTCTCTGTCTTATTTGCAGAACTTCAAACGAGTTGTAGCTGAGTTGCAGGCGCTCAGCAACAAGGATAATATCAGTAATGAGGACAAGGCCAACCAAGCTCGCCTCTACAATGAATACAACCGCATCATTGACAGCAGTAAACCAGTCGATGTCACGGCCAAGCCAACTCCCGTGGCTGTATCAGTAAGTGTAAATAAGGCTTTAAACATCTTGAGATATGGTCTTTGAACTTTTTTGAATGTGTAATTCCGGTAATGTGGCGTCTATAGTTTTTATAACTACCTATGGAATCGTGATAGTTCATAAATTTGTTGCTCATCTCTCTATGAGTTTGTATCAAACATTGATTCTTATTCTAACTAATTCATAGAGAATTGACGCGAAAATTTCGTTTGTGTGCAACCTCACCTATGTTAGTTTTGAAAGTTACAAAATTTAAAGTTAAATTCCTTTCTTCATATCGTATATATAAAATTTTCATTGTTTTAATCATATTTAGTATCTTTTAATTTCTCTTCTCGTTCTGCAGAGTTCCTGCAGTGTTGCCTCAGCAACGAGTCCCACAATAAGATACTCTCATCCTGTTGGTCACAAATTCATCACGCTCTCACCCAAAACCAAAGTGCCTTCTTCTTCTCTCAAACAGACTGTGAGTTCTTGATCAAATTAGGCGTTCAGCCCTTGTCTTAAATCTATTTTGTTCAGTGCCAAATGTGATTAGACATTATAGTAACTTGATTATGGAAAAAAAATCTGAAAAAAGGACACACTTTTTTTGTAAATTTGTATATTTAGAATCAATTTTCCAACTTTGATTTGCGGTAACAGTTTCCATCGCAGTCGATGTATTTTCAGGAAGTAAATTTAACATTTTATTTTCTATTTTTATTGGCATTTGTTTTCTCCATTGCAGGTAAACAAAGAACCTCGTGCCATTCTTCCTAATAGAAGCATCAATAGCTGTAGTTTAAGCAGCAACAGCCAGCTCTTCTCAAGCTCCGGTGCCAATTGTTTGGTTCCCAGCTCTGTCGTCTCAAACGTTTCTCTGGGCTCAAAAAGCAAGAGTAGCCCCTGCTTATTTGATTCATCAGCCTCTGGGAACGACGCCAGCAAACGATGCAGCATGAGCAACACCAGTTCTAACACAATCAAACTTTTTGAAGAGACTCATTGCGTTGTATCTGACATGCCAGCTTTGACCACATCGAACAATAACTTTAACTCTGGCGTCACACAAGCAACTACGGATGTGGGATGTGCGGGAACCTCCTCACGGAGTTTCCCGACGTCGTGTGGGAGCACTGCAGTAACTCCTCCTTACACTCCGTCACCCAATGCGCCTGTGCTACCTGCCGCAAACAACGGACCATCGGGCAGCTTAGCACGTTACAGCAACAGCTCAACTCCCGTCACTCTCCTCCTGCACTCGGGGGCAACTGTAACGTCGGTGTCATGTGCAAACTTCGTCACCACCACCAGCACGGCTAACCAACTTATTGGCTCGGTTTGTTGTTGAACCTTATTCTCAAATCAATGTTGCTGCATGAATGTCAGTCAAAAGATACCATTTACTCTAACTCGTAATGAATTTTAATAATTTGGTATTTTAACTATTTCGTGGATTACAGAATGACAACATTATTTTATATAGGTATTTTTCATAACAATTTGAATACAAAATTTGAAGTCTTAACTTATTTAAAGGTAGTGTGTAATGTTCTTCTTTATCAAGACATTGCTAGTGAATTTTGTCTTTGAATTGCAGAGTGTGGAGCTGAACGATCAGTACAAGAGTAAGAACAGTGGACAATGTATGGATGAGGTATCTTCACCAGGCGCCTCCATGCCCCTCTTGTCTCCTGGATCGTCCATGGGAAGCTCATCGGTAAAAAGCAGCGGCAGCTATTCAGATTGTTCTCTGAGATTCATCACTCCCCCGCCATCCAATAGTCCTGTGGTCTCTACTTGCCCTTCATCTTCTGTACGTGACCGAACTTCAGTTGCATACTCTAACATCTCTACGGTTAACACTACCTCGCCTTATGACTCCAACGTCCCGACAAGCTGCAACACCAGTTCATCCTCTGCCACACGAAGCTCTAATCCTCCAAATTCGTCTCCGCGATTGAACAGTAATAATAATCCTGGCTATTCACCTCAGCCCGTTTGTCTTCCGCAAACTTCACCCATCACTCCCACGGCTTCACCTAATCCGTCATGTATGCAAGCTTCTGAATATGGACATTACCTGCCTAAGCTATTACCAGTTTCTTCTGCTCCTGCACAATTCAATTCAATGGTGTCTCAGAATAATTGTGAGCCCACTGCATGCGCTTTTGCTGGCTCCACTGCCTCGATAGTGTATGGAGAAAACACTGTCCCCATGAACTCTGTAGTGGGAGATCAGAGTCACCTCATCAGCAATGCTGCTACTCCCATTGATCCTTATTATCATGCCGTCTATCAGGCTGCACCAGAGTACAGTGCAAATTTTACTCCAGTGAAGAACTGCTCCAACATTCCGTGCACACAGGATAAGTTGTTTGAGCACCAATTAAAGACTGATCAGAGAGGAGCTTTAAATCCTGATTATAAAACTCCTTTCAAGAGTAAGCTGGACGCTTGCAAACGTTTGATTCGGTACCATGTATTTAGTGACACTGGTCCAACAGCTCAGGATCTTGCTGAAAAAGATGCTGCGTTTGAAGTGCATTCGGAGAACATAGTCAAGAAAATTCAACAGATGAAGTACAAGTATCAGTCATTGCTGTTGAAAGATAGCCAGCGTCGTCACCCCACTGCTGAGACTGTGATGCTCTACAGACTTTTTCTGCAAGAGGAGCGAGCGAGACAAGAGCGCGATCGGAACTTACGAGATGCTGGAGTATTGCTGGATGTACCTGCTCTACCTGCTGTTAAAAAGACGGAGCCCTCTACTTCGTCTCTCTACCCTTGGGAAGAAGAATGGAAAAATGAACAAATTTATACGTTTTCTCCTCAGCGTTTTGAAGATAATGCAGGTGCTGATGATGACTTCCAGGCTGACCTTAAAGACGATCAAAATGACCACAACTTTCTCTTAAAAGGAAACAGTCGTGCAGAAGAGAGCTCAGTTGTAAATTTCCCCTCGAGAGAAGAATTAAATACTCCAAATAGCAGCAGTTTATTATTACGAGACGAAAATAACGGCAGTTGTTCTAGAGAAGATCTTCATACCCCTCACATGAGAGCTTTCAGCCGCGATGGAACCGACAGTCCGTGCGAAAATTCTCACATTGATATTCCTGAACAAAAGAAAACAGAGCTTTCATTTACAGAAAGATGTAAAAAAACACAAAAAGTGCAAGAAGATTTGTACGACAAACTCTTTGCTGGTGCTAACCATGATCCGCCAAATTCCTCAATCAAAATTGATGCTGAGAAAAATAAAGTTTCCTCTGGTACCAGTATTAAGTCCACCAAGCTTGACAGTCCTCAGAAAGAATCTGATACCTGGGATGAAGATGAAGAAGAAGCTCTTGACGAACCAGCGCTCCAGATAATGGAAGAATCGGAACCCGAGTTAGAGCCTCTGGCTGACCGTGAAGATAATAAGGAAGAAGAATTATGCGCGAGTCCAGATCTCTCTCCTGAACGTCTGCAGGATGAGCGCGGCTTTGCCAGACGAGATTCAATTGTCTACCGGCGGCCGACCAGCTGTGACAGCCTCGACTCGCGAGGCAGTGGCTCCCCTGAGCTTTGCGTTATCACAAACACAAGCAACGCAAGCTCACCTACACCATTGGTCACTCAGCCTGACTGCGGCCCGCTTAAAAACTCCGTCCCTAAAATTGAATCATTCTCCAAAAGCGTTGGTGCCCTCTTGTCGTTTTCTAACTCTTCTGTGAATTCTACGTGTGTTAGCGAGAAAAGAAATTCACTAGACGAAAGATTCAATCATTTGTGCCAATATTCTAAACCTAATGGAGCAGAACTCGTTAGTCCTGAAGGTCCCATTGCTGCACACGTTAAGGAAGATCTTAGAAAGACTGTGGAAAGTAACGTGTCGTCCGATTTCTCAAAAAGCCATTTATTGGTTCAGCAAACCCAGTCTTACCCTGGTAGAGTAGCAGAACACGAAAAATCAAAAAATGATAAAACAACCAAAGAGAAAAACAAAGAAAAGGATTCCAAAAAATTGAAAATAAAATTGAAGTGTGGTAAGAAATCTCCTTGTGTGCCTCCTATCAAATTAAGAACAGAAGAAAAGGGTGGAGGAGGCCTGAAACTGATTTTCAAGAAACAGGGTACAGGAGATTACTACCGTGTTGGTGACGAAGGCTCCAAAGAGTACCGAGTTGAGAAAAAGAGAGACGAGGTCAACATGAGCAATGGTATATCAGAAGGAAGTCTTTCCCGGACTGCCCCAATTGCAGAGGCTGTTCCTGACGCTGTTGAATCCGTGAGAGTTGGTGGTGGAGGTGAAGATCGTAAAAGACGTGAACATTTCTCTGATGATCGAGAGAAGAAGCGTTGCAAAAAAGACCGCTCTAAGGGCGATCGAATCAACAGCCGTCCATGCCTTGAAGCGCCAACGGGCCGCTTTCCTCTGCATGCAGGCTTTGAAAGCCCCGAATGGTATGGTGCACCTGGACATTTCTCCCATGCTGGACCACAGCTCCTGCGACATTCACTATACCCGGCACCATCATTGCATACAGGGGCTTCAGTGGCGGCCATGAGTCACTATACACCAGTTCATCATCATCCCCACGCTGCACCTTCCCACCCAGGTATGCTTGGTGCTGCCCCAACTCGGCCCCTGCCTGACACAAGACCTTTCGGTGCTCCTCTGCCTCCTCACTATCATCCGCAGCCTACGCTCGACCTTTATAGAGCCAGAAATACGCACCCCAGCTACTTCTAACTTCAGCTTTTGATCGTTCTAGGCAGCCATAGAGACGTTTACTTCCTTTGACTAGCTGATTTCAATATGATTATGTAGTTAAATTTCTCAATTCAGCCTTCTATATTTATTAAGTAGCCGATCTCATCATGTATAGAGCTATTATTGACACCTGTGTTTGCGAGGCTAAAATCTGACATTTCAATTCTGCCGTTTTCATTAGTCAAACCTTCGAATGTGCTGCTCCTCATAGAAAAAAATTTTAGTTTCCTGATCCAGCTTCACGAATTTATACGAGATTTCTAGTTAACTTGTTATCAGCACGGCCATTAATTTTAACGATGCTGTCATTGCGCTACTTGATTTTGCATTATAGACCCTTATTTTTCATCGCTTTCTATTCACAATCACTCTCACAATTTGCCAAACTGGCTTAAGAATTCTTTGCTCTGCAGAACTTTAATGCTAGAAGACGTATAAGAAGATTTAATTTTCTTGTGTATGGGCTAACCCCAGTGGTCCATGTTACCAATAAGAATCATTTGTGTTCATGATGAAATGCATTAGTGGTTGCTACGAGCAGCCAGCCATGTGTTGTGATTTGAGGGCATAAACCGTGCGTTGTTTAAGATGTCGTTCCATTTCCCTTATGTGCCCTATTTGCCTCTTACCGTGTTGACTTCCGCCTCTTCCTTTGTCCTTATTTTGGCCTGGGATTGATATGATTTTTTCTATAACCCATCTGAACCGATGTCTGAAATTCTCTGATCGTGCGCTTTTAAAACATTTTGTTGATAACATTCGTATTTATCAGTAAAATAACATTTTTTTTCACCGCCGCTTCCAGTTGCATGTTTTTCGGTTGATAAGTTTTTAGAAACATGGCTTTTATCATAATGCTCCTAAGATTTTAAATGTCATGATGTGTTAATTTTACCATAATTAAAACGCTTCTATAAGAGTTTGATTTTAATTGACTGTTTAATAATTCAATCATCAATGGTTCACAATTCTATATTTACTTGAAAAACTTTTGCGAGGGTTTTACGCAAAAATTTTTATAACAGCTGCTAGTTCAGATGTTGTATGATCTTGGGCTAGAAGTTTCTTGATAGTTTTTTTACATGCTCTTGTTGTCATAATTGATTGGTTATTAACCCCATCACAAAGTTTGACGAGCCCTGATGAATGCCACAGTACATATCCGTCAAAAACATTTCCTTATGATCTTGTTTTTCATGTGGTACTCTGCTTCAATTGTTCATAGCATTTCATTTGACTGCTTGCTCACAGAGCCTCCAAGCTCTGGTGAATTTTTGTGCCTCTTAAGTTATTTGTTATTTTATAATGAGGATTTGGTGTTGATGATGAATTAACTAGTGACTTTTCTTACCTCTTAATCAGGTTCAATGTTAGAATTTCGATTCTTACGTTTTTTGACATGAAACTTTGCGGCGGATTTTGTCTTCTATCTTGGATCTAACGATTTGTATCCCTTCTTCGTGATACTCATTCAATTTTAATACTACTGTGTTCTGCTCTGTTTCTTGGCTCTCGAATTTGCTCTCATTTAGAGGATATTCATATTTCTTTTTAACTTAATTTATTCATATCAATTTCATTCTATGTTGACTTGCGGGGCCTTTTGTATTTATCATGTACGAATGATGTTTGTCGCCGTTATTTGTAAATTAGGCATGTTCTTCTTGCGGTAATTTCCAATAAACTTAGGAGATATTTCTTTATCCATTAATACAACTTTATGTGAAGTCATTCCAAGATTTATGTAATCCTCCAGTTCCATATTTCTCGTACGGCACTTGAGCCTCACTATGACGGTGGTGTTATTTTCTTCTCATTAATTACAATCCATGTTGATAATTATTGTAAACATAATCTCTCCTATTTTGATTTCATCTCCTGTAAGTTTTCTGTTATTACCCAGTTTCTTTAGCGATGTTTTCTCATATCAACAGTAGGAGTTAAACACAGGACGTTATCTGTAAGACTGTAACTGACGATTTTCATTGAAATCAACACTGCATAATGTGAGAAAGCGAGCTTGACGATCTAAAGGTTTTAGAAACCAATGTGAATTTAAGATGGGAATGAAAACTTTTTTAATTGAAAAGAGGTGTTCAATTCTTATTTTAGGTCAATTTTTTAGCACTGCGTGTATCTATAATGTAATTCTCTGCAACGTCTCGTCTCATTCATTTTCGGTTAGATTCGTTGTTATCTAATTTATTTATTTATAGAATTTTGTTTGTTGCTGGTATGTACAAATTGAATGTAAACTTGAAAAAATTTGTTACGTTTTTTAGGTAGTATTTGCGCTGGCTGCTGTTGTACATAGTCCATGCGTTTGGTGCATGCGTTGTTATTTGTGATATTGAAGATAAGTGCGTTTGTACAGGCTGTTGCTGAGACGTTTCCCTCCCAAATCCAGCTCTGTAGCGCTGTGTGTTTTTGCCCCCACATCTCATCTGTTTCCTGCTCTACGAAGCCATATCCATTGCCGGTACTTTTGGTTGTATGTTATCTTAGAAGTGCCTCATAAATGTTGGACGGACTTTGACACTCACCGGTTCATTAGCACTCAAGTTTCAACTCCTTTAAAAGTTCCATATTTCTCGTACGGCACTTGAGCCTCACTATGACGGTGGTGTTATTTTCTTCTCATTAATTACAATCCATGTTGATAATTATTGTAAACATAATCTCTCCTATTTTGATTTCATCTCCTGTAAGTTTTCTGTTATTACCCAGTTTCTTTAGCGATGTTTTCTCATATCAACAGTAGGAGTTAAACACAGGACGTTATCTGTAAGACTGTAACTGACGATTTTCATTGAAATCAACACTGCATAATGTGAGAAAGCGAGCTTGACGATCTAAAGGTTTTAGAAACCAATGTGAATTTAAGATGGGAATGAAAACTTTTTTAATTGAAAAGAGGTGTTCAATTCTTATTTTAGGTCAATTTTTTAGCACTGCGTGTATCTATAATGTAATTCTCTGCAGCGTCTCTTCTCATTCATTTTCGGTTAGATTCGTTGTTATCTAATTTATTTATTTATAGAATTTTGTTTGTTGCTGGTATGTACAAATTGAATGTAAACTTGAAAAAATTTGTTACGTTTTTTAGGTAGTATTTGCGCTGGCTGCTGTTGTACATAGTCCATGCGTTTGGTGCATGCGTTGTTATTTGTGATATTGAAGATAAGTGCGTTTGTACAGGCTGTTGCTGAGACGTTTCCCTCCCAAATCCAGCTCTGTAGCGCTGTGTGTTTTTGCCCCCACATCTCATCTGTTTCCTGCTCTACGAAGCCATATCCATTGCCGGTACTTTTGGTTGTATGTTATCTTAGAAGTGCCTCATAAATGTTGGACGGACTTTGACACTCACCGGTTCATTAGCACTCAAGTTTCAACTCCTTTAAATTAGCAGGTACGCCGCTGATCTTTTATCAGGGAAAACTTGTAATATTTAATCGATGTCGAAATTCAAAGGCAACTGGCCCTATTGATTACTCATGGAGCGTGCGAAAACCAAGCAATACAGCGCATTTTAAATCAAACTTTTTGTTAGTTTTCTCTCTTAGAGTTATCGTGAAATAATTGGAAAGGAAACCTAGCTTGTGTACGTATAATTGTCGTCTTTGCAGCGATATAGGTGGTAATTTGTTAAGATTTGTCCAGTATATTTACTCATGTTGCCAAGTACAAATTTCTGTATATATTGTAATGAGTGAATGAGGGAAGTTCCATCATAAACTTATATTTTCCACGATCATCTTGTCTTTTTTTCCTCGTAACTAGCAGTGTCAGTGTTAGGAATTCTGTTCATTTTTAAACTGTGGCAGTTAACGCAAGCCTCATGGTTTGAACTCGCTGCTTCTGCGTCAAGCGCTATGGGCGTAAATTGTACTTCCTATCCGTCTCGAAATGCCTCTTATTCAGAAAGGCAGGATGGACGTTGCAAACTCTTAGTGAATTCCCGGTTGTCATACGTTTATTACTCCACCCGTTACCTATATGTGTGCCTATGTGATTTACTTATGTACTCCCATTCTATTATGGTACAGTTTGAGGCAAATAGTAGAAGCTATTATTCATAAAAGATTTCCACAACCGTAAAGAAACTTCTACAGTACACCACTCTCAACAACGCTAGAAAATAATTCATTGTGAGAGTAGGACGTTATTAAAAGTGATCTTTTTGGATAAATATTGAGTTGAAAAAAATTCGATTACTTCACTAGGACGGGCGTAACACTGATTATCCTTTTATTCCCAAGAATTATAGCCTAGTCATTATCTTTGTGCCTAATAGTGGTGTTAACGTTCATTGCCCAAATATATCCTGTCGCTGATTCTTGACTTGCAGAATTGTCGCAGCTTACTCGGCTTTGGAGTTAGGACATGATATAAACAATATATAATAATATAGTGGTTTCAGCGTTTATTAGGCCGTAGCCGGGAGCCCGTATGCCTGCCGCCGGTTATTAACATTGTAAAATATTCACAGCTTGTTGCGTGCTTGAACTCGCAACTCACTGCTTTAAGTTTGCTTTGCTTACCCGCCCGGCCTCCTTGCCGATTCTGACCAGAAACTGACGCACAGAGCTGGGATCGAACCCGCGCCTCTCTGCTCCAATTTTGGTACTCTGAACTGTAACCACTGGGCCACCCTGCGGCCTGTAATAAAATGAAACTCACGGCTAAAATCTTGCTATACAGTATTCTAAATCACCTGACCATTTCGCCAATTTTGATGAATTCTGAATTGATTTTTAACATTAATTTACAAATTCATAATTTATTGTTCGATTGCAATATTAATTATATTATTCCTAGGTCGCGAATTCCAGGGCGGATATCAGGTGCCTCATACCTAATTTTTCCGTTTTTTCGAAAAAGCCTATGGTCATCCGGAATGTCGGACAAAAGCTTGCACCGGTGCGTGTTCGTAATTAACTGAGTAGGTTGTTGGGGCCTCCAATTTATCGAAGATAGGCTAGGTATTTACTACAAAGCACACTTTGTAGATCCTTCTCATACTGTTGGACGCTTTGTTTAAAATGTATTCGTAATTCTTGTGTATAGTTCTTTCAGATTGTTCCTCGAAGTTGAATTTTCTCTATGTTAGATTCTTGAACATGTAGTAGAGTAAAGTAGACTAGTATTATGTACGTACTAGTATAGATTATAGAACTAGGCTATAGAAGCATAATGGCAAACCTGTAATTTTTAGAATCGGTTCATTTTTTTTCTCGTTTACTCAAGATTTAAACCAATATCTTATGTATGCTGATAATGGTATCCCTGATACTTTGCTGGTCTACTTACAGGACTTAGAATTAAACTTGAATAAATAGAAGTGCTTAGTGCTAGACTGCTAGTAGTAGTGCGCTTTGTGACTTACTGACAGCAGACTTTGGTTAATAATTTAATTAGAGATAAATTATTCATCTAGCAAGAATCTTGCTGCTCCAAAACAGCAAAAAATCTTTATTTGGGTCTTGGAAAGTTAATATATTCTGTGCCTGTTTCTAAAATAATCAGTTGTTTAAACAGTATGCACTTAGTTCTTAGTAACACATCAAAATCCATGTATTCCATTCAAATTTTGCTTAAAAAGTTGAAATTGCTGCTTTCTGCTCTTATGCTTTTTACTTGTATTTTTGGCTAAAAATCCTAAATATTTAGGTTATTTTGGCTACACAGTTGACAATGACAGTTGTCTAAATCTAGCACATATCATTCAAGCTATGATGCTAGTGAATAATGATTATAGTTCAGAGTAACAATATTAGGGCAGAAAGGTGCAGTTTTGATCCCAGCTCTGTGCACCAGTTTCTGATAAGAATTGGCAAGGAGGTTAGCTGGCCAGGCAGACGCAGTTGCCACAGTTAAGCAAAGCAGAATTGGAGCAGTAAGTTGGAAGTTGTGAGTTAAAGACGGCAACAGCCAACAAGTTGTAAATGTTTTGTAATGTTCAGATTTGGCAACAGGCATTGTGAGCCTGTGAGGCATATGGCCTAATGAATGCTGAAACTGCTATTATTATTATTATGACTATGTTTGGTATGTTGCCAACTTGCAATAAGAATAATCAATTTTAGTAAACAGCTGATTCACAACATTCAAATTATAGTTCTAACTAGTAGGTATTGTATATACCTATAATTCAAAAAAAATTTTCAGTTTTTTTCTTTCAACTTTTAAAGATAGACTTTGCACTGGAAAATTTTTACCAACACTCAAGTTTTTCACTATTGCATGTGCAAAATAATTTTCAGGCTTCAGGTTTGTATTGCTAACTATTTTTTAACCAAAAAAAAGCAAAATTATGTAGAATTGAAAAAAATATAATGTTATCACAAAAACAATCCATGGGGTTATTTTCAAATAACCAAATCAAAAGAAAAATATTGTTTTATATTGCTACTAAAATTGATTTTTTGAATAATATAAAATGAATCCACATTAAAGAATTCTCTATGTTTAACAACAAAAACTTTGTTTAACGGTTTGATTTTTTTATTAACAGTCTATTTGTCCTTATTCTAGTAGTTAAAATCCTAGAAGAGCTTCCTCCCTTTCACCTTGTAGCTTCCCTTACATATACCGGTATGCATTGTCACAACAAGGCTTCAAACCATGACACTCAATTGTCACCAGTCACCACTTTCTTCCCCTTGTTTATTGGACCACAATAAAATTGTGAGTTTTTGCATTGCAGCACCACCACCTCAGATGAACCCTGGCTTTTCTGACCTAAGAGCTCAGCACTGGACCAGATCAGCTGTTCCCTGTCACCCTACACCTTCAGAGTTGCAGGCACTCCTAACCCTGTCTGCCTTGAGTGAGGATCCACTTCAGTCCACACTATCTCTTTGTCTACCCATTCTTTCTCATGACCCTTGGTGTCTCCTCACTTTATAGTGTATGACAGTCCCATGGAGGCACCATCCTTTTTGGCAACTCTACCTTTGTGCCTTTAATTCCTCTTCTGATTGGGTGCACGTTGATTGCAAGGAAAAGAGTTGATTGCAGTATCAGCTAAATAGGGATTCATGGTTTTTTTATGTTAACCATTACTTAACAGTGTATGTTTTTTCATTTTATGAATAGATTTTATTCCATTAGGGGCTAAAATTCTGAAATGTCCAATCTCTTTAATGATTTAAAATAAGCCTAATTTATATAATTTATTCTTAATTTTATCCTTTTATAGATGAACTTTTGATTCTAAAAGTAGTACTTTTTGAACATTTAAAAATTAAAATCTATTTGTTATAACAAGAGTTTTTTTAATAGAGCCAAAAGACCTTTCAATAAGTCAAGAATTTAAAAGTTCAAATCCATTGTATCTCATTTCACATTTTCAATAGAGCTATGGCTGAAGAAGCAAAGGTAAATATTGTTTTACATTAATATGATATATAACTATAAGTAGCACTATGCAGGAAGAGAACAAATATACTAGCATCTCTTGCATTGTACTAGCACTGCAATTTATGTCAAGAGACCCTATCAACACACATATTTATGGTTTACATCTTTTTCTAAATTTTATTAGCAATAAATCTTCCAGGCAATGTAGTTCTGGTGACCATGATTAGAAAATCCTACTTTCTGCTAGAAATCTTGTTCTGCAATCTTACAGTTTATTCACAATAAATAAAAGATAATTGATCTAGCAGGAATCTGGCACCTCCAAAAATGGCTAAAAAGCTCTAGTTGTAGCTTGGCAAGTAGACATTTTCTAGTACTGTTGATGGAAACTACACATTACCTAAAGCAAGGCTTTTGGCCTAAAAAAACCCAATATTGGCAATGAATAAACTCTGCATAGTGGATTAAATATAAGTAGGGTAGGTTGTAGCATTGGTTTTATTTTATAATTAAAACTTTTGTAAATGTGTTCCTCATACAGCTTGGAAAAATTAAACTCTTCATTTAAATCTCATGACTCAAAAAAATGTATTTGATCATATTTAAAATCTCTCATTATAAATCATATATTTTTATGATCAAAAAGATGGATTATAATTTGGCTGAACCAGATTTTAAAATACCTATCTACTTACAACTGGTTAATGCATTCAAATTATTGAAAAAGTTTGGCAGGTGCCAGCATTCAATTTTATGCCTTCAGATCTTCACTATGTACCTACATAATTGTGGTTTATTTATTGTTTTCCCTCAAAGGCACTGCATTCCTAGGAATTATGAAATGCCTTCCTCTGAAATAAATCCTGCATTGTTACTGTTTTAGAGGTTTTTTGATCATTTTCAATATAAGTCTGATAGTGACATGCTTTTTAAAATTTTTGAATCTTATACCTACATCACCAATGTATATATATATATATATATATTTGAACTGTATTAGCTCTATGTTCTTCCATATAATATCAGTGAAGGTCATGTGAAATTATCACAAACTCATTTAGCAAAATATATTAGTTGCAAGGGAATGCAACTATTGCAAGGAAAATAAGTAGCAATGGTCCAACATTCTAGCATTGTTCATCCATTATACCCTCCTTAGAGTGGATTATTGGGAAACTCATCACTATTTCTACATTTACCTGAATATTCTTAATTGTAGATCAATAAATATTTGACAGTGCAGTTTTCTGATAAAATGTTTCAGCAGTATCTTCTAAAGATGCATAGTAGATCTTTTCATGCTAGTGTGTCTTCAGAGATCTTGTAACATTAACTCAAATTAGACCAAAACCAGTTACTTAAGCCTCAATATCTCAAAAGCCAGTTTGACTGTTATGCCTTTGCAGTATATGCAGCAGGGTTGATTTTTTTTTAAATAAAAAATCTTTATTTTTTATAAAATAATCAAATGATTTAATCACATGATTTAATCAATTTGATTTGATCAATGCCAACCCTGATATGCAGAATGTTGATTATTTCTCACCATCAGAATAATGATGTTTGGCCAAGAGTTCTGATATTTAGCATGCTTTAGCTGTGGAGAAAACAGCACTTCTCTCTGCAATCTGCCAATTGTCATATCTTTTCTATCACTGATTACATTTTATATTGATAACTCTATGCATGATAAACAATGTTAACTAAGATATGCAGAAATTTTTCTGGGGAAAAAAATTAAAAAGATCAAGTTTAGAAAAATCTTTTGAAATTATTTGTTTTCATGTAAATTTTTAGAAAATCTCAATAACTTTTTTCTGTGTCAATCATTGTATCGTCACTAACATAATATCATTATTATATTCTTAATGCTTGCTTTGCAGGAAATGAATCTTTATGTCTTGTACATTAACAATGTCTTATTTCTCATAACCCTGTATTTTTCAGAAAGAAAACACAGATCACATAAATCTAAAGGTTTTGGGTCAAGATGGTCAAGTCGTCCACTTCAAGATCAAGCAGCACACCTCCCTCAAGAAGCTCATGAGTGCTTACTGTGCCAGGTCAAAGCTTGCTCAATCTACAGTGCGATTCAGGTTTGATGGGCAACCTATATCAGAAAATGATACACCAAGAGGATTGGACATGGAAGATGGTGACACCATTGAAGTGTTTCAGCAGCAAACTGGAGGACATGCTTGCGTCAGACCACAAAATGAGAATCTGTATGCCGCTGATATTTCCAACATAAATTCTATTTTGAACTCAGCAAAATCTTTGGATGCAATGAAGCTAAATTTTAACCCTGATAAAGTTTTCTCCAGCACTCCTCACTCCTTGGGTCAAGTTGACTGCTTGATGACTGCTACTGACAAAGTTTGTCTTTGTTCTGGCAGTGTTTCAAATCATATCCTGCCATATAACCTTGATACTCAGTGTTGGAGATAATGAATTACTATATCCATCCCTCCAATACTGTTATTGCGTTCTTGATTAAAATCTTCTTTCACAGTACCTAGGTTAGTGAAAATGTGCACATTATCAGTCGTTTTGTCTTATAGTTTTTTCTAAAACGAATGTACCCATGGCTCAAATGAAAATACTTTAATGTAGTAATTGAAGTCGGTTGTTGTACTGGCTTTCTCAGCACTAACTCTCATCCCACTAAGAGTGCTAAAATACCACTGTCATTTAAACTGATACAATCTAACATATTGAAAACCTTTGCTATCAATTCTTTGAGAAAAGTATGAAGTACATATTGCTTTTCCTGACTTGAATGTCTTTCCCTCTGCAACATCATGTCTAAGCTAGTTTTATCTAGTTGAGTTTTAAAAAAAGGGTTATTGTTGCTGTCTCAAAATGTACCAGTATGCGTTACGAGATATTTAAAAATTGTAGTAATACTTTTTTAATTGCAAATCATTGTTTTCAAAGTAAAACTAGTGAGAGACTTTAAATTTTATTTGATTGAACTAAAGGTGTCATGATAGACAAATATTTTTTATTTTACTGCCCTCTGCATTTTATATCATGGTTTAATAGTGCATAATGTGCATTACATTTTTTTACAGGAACTTAAATAATTTGAAGCCAACAAGCGTTAATGAGTAATGGAGCCACTTACTTATACTAACTCATTAACTCCCACGCTTCGCTTAAGAACAGGAAATTTTTTTAATTTTCTATTTTTTCGCCTATTGAAAGATAATTTTTGTTTCAAGGGAATGAGTTCTCATTTAAATCTCATTCAAGTCTTGAATTGAAATTACTTAACAAAAAGTTAGGTTCTTATTAAATAAGGGTAGCTGTAAGTTAATCATGGTTCTGTTAAGTTAGATTTGCTGATAGTCAAATACAATTTTCTAAAACTCATGTATTGCAAAGATTTTTGAATGACTGCTAAATTGTTTCTGGTTTATCAAGCATTGGACAGAAGTAAATAGAATAAATTATGAATTTTTCATCCTCTATTATAATCATGTTAAATGAGAGACATTTAGATATACTTGAAAAAGTGCATACACAGAAAAATGTGTGCAAAAGGCCCTAACTAACAAAAGGCCATTGCTAGAGTTACAGTATTCAAAAGAGATTTTACAAATTCTAAATATTTTGCTTCGCAGATAAAACTGTAGAACTTGATGTGTAATTAAAACTACATTACTTAAGAAACTATACATCATTCCATTCTCAAAAAAGGTATGGTCAAAATTAACCATTGCGATAAGAAGGCTGTAATACATTCGTGAATTTATCATAGGCAAGTAATATATTGGACGAATTTAATTATTTTCATTTTGTAAATGTACATATTGTCTTATTCCGAGAACCAGCAGTCAATAATGTAAATACTCAGGGGTAAAGCATCTCTGAAACCATTCATTTTTATTTAATATGATTCAAATTTACACACATTTCCTAAAATACTATTGAATTGACAACATTCAGGTTTTCCAAAGATGAGAGTATTTGCTGGCCATGTCAAGTTCATGCAATTCTTCTTCAATCACAACCTGCACACAGAAAAGCAACAAATTATCATGTATGAATAATATCTTCCATTCGTTATATTCATTAATGTTCTCAACACCATATGCAGATACTGTAATTCTCCACATTAGGAACTCTTGCAATAAATTGTAAACAACGATAATATCTTGAGTAAGAGGTACACATTCATTTTGTTATCTCTCGATTACTTTAGCTCAACAAGTAATGTCAATTTCTTCTTTTTGTCAAATGGCTCTCCTAAATCTTCTGTAACTTAAATTTAATCCAAGCTAATTACATTCTGGCTTAACAAACAAGACTTCCAATATAAATTTAAGTAAGGTGGTGGTACAATACATATATTGAAGTGTGGTACTATCAAAGTTGTATGCATGCAGCAGCTTGGTTCTGAAACCTATACGATGAGCTATGCATGACCTAATTTTTAGCAATTTTATTTTCGGCAAGTTCTTACTGGTTTTTTTGTTCTTGACCAAATTTCAGTCTTTAAGGTGTGAATTAAATGGGAGTAAATTGAATCCTGATATGCAACAGTGCAGCTCATTACATAGAGTCTGACACAGCTAACAATAAACTAATGACCAATACCAAGACTTATCCCTTTAACAAAACTTCCTTCATACACCCAGTATAAACCTTAAGACCTTATCATCAGAGCTAGTTGATTTGATGACTCTATTCATATCCTGCCATTATACACTCTCAATGTATATATAAATGCTGCCATCATACATTCTCAATGTATATTCAGATTAAGTGATTTTAAACAGAAAAATTAGATTACTCGGAATCACATCTAATTCATTCAGAAGTGATGAATTGAGACCTTATTGCTTCCAAGTTAAGAAAGCCTTGCAATACATCACCTTAGATTTTGGCTTCCTTTGATCCAAGCGAGCAAGCCTTTCTTCTTCCGTTAGAGTTGAGACATCAACTGGCAGCTGTAAAAAATTAAAATTCAAAATGGATCTCAACTAAAGACCTTAATGAACAATCTCAATCCTATTGGATAAAATTTCATACAACAGATGCAAATCAGCTCTAAATTTAGGTAAAACATATCTAGAAGTTGGAATTTCATCATTAAATGTGTGTTGAGACCTATGAAATACAATGAATATAAACTTCAACTCAAAAGAATCTTTTGCCAAAATGGAGTTATGGTCAATACCTACCACACAAGTTGCCACTGAGCCGAAACTTCACATACTTTGCTGCTTGTCATAAAAACCCATATTATAATGGTCAGAATTGCGATTTATGGGGTCTAATTGCCACATAACTAAAAAACTATGCCGATCACATTAGAAAGATGTGGTTCAGTTTTGTTCATAAAATAGAACGTTTCTATTGAAGGCCAGCAACTTTAGGGGGCTGCTGTCAGAGTTATTGGCATTGATAGTAGCTTTCATGTGTTATACGATCGGTCCATAAAGAAGTGTTGATCGGTTCAAAATGACATAAGAACAGGTTCTTTTGAATAACCTATGGATTGGCACCATGGTTACAGGAGAACAGGACTTGAAATTGAACTTGAATAAATAGAAGTGCCTAGTGCTAGACAGTCTAGACTGCTAGTAGGTGCGCTTTGTGACTTAGCGCCTACTGACAGCAGAGTGCAGACTTTGGGTAATAATTTAATGAGAGATAAATTATTCATCTAGCAAAATTCTTGCTGCTCCAAAATAGCAAAAAATCTTTATTTGTGGCTTGGAAAGTTATTATATTCTGTACCTGTCTCTAAAATAATTAGTTGTTTAAATAGTATGCACTTAGTAACACATCAAAATCCATGTAGGGTAAACGCGATATATTCCGACACATTAAGGACGCATCGAGAAATGAAAAACTATAAAAAAATATGTATGCGTTACGTAAGTTCTGTTGCCTTCACATGACTCTCAAAACACTTCACTACGGGTCAGCATAGTGGCAAACCAGAGCTTCTTTAGAATCAGTTCATTTTTAGTTTCCTCATTTACTCAAGATTTAAACCAATTTCTTAAGTATGATGATGCTGGTATCCAGGATACTTTACTGGTCTACTTATAAGACTCAGAAATGAACTTGAGGGAGAGTCTAAAAAACTCTCTGCTTTGCCACTATGCGCGTCAGCAACAATGAAACGTCACAAAATGTTGCCATATTTATTAAAAAGCCTTTAGAATGGAAACCTACCAAATCCCTATATTCCGTCACAATTTAATCCAAGCTAATTACATTCTGGCTTAACAAACAAGACTTCCAATATAAATTTAAGTAAGGTGGTGGTACAATACATATATTGAAGTGTGGTACTATCAAAGTTGTATGCATGCAGCAGCTTGGTTCTGAAACCTATACGATGAGCTATGCATGACCTAATTTTTAGCAATTTTATTTTCGGCAAGTTCTTACTGGTTTTTTTGTTCTTGACCAAATTTCAGTCTTTAAGGTGTGAATTAAATGGGAGTAAATTGAATCCTGATATGCAACAGTGCAGCTCATTACATAGAGTCTGACACAGCTAACAATAAACTAATGACCAATACCAAGACTTATCCCTTTAACAAAACTTCCTTCATACACCCAGTATAAACCTTAAGACCTTATCATCAGAGCTAGTTGATTTGATGACTCTATTCATATCCTGCCATTATACACTCTCAATGTATATATAAATGCTGCCATCATACATTCTCAATGTATATTCAGATTAAGTGATTTTAAACAGAAAAATTAGATTACTCGGAATCACATCTAATTCATTCAGAAGTGATGAATTGAGACCTTATTGCTTCCAAGTTAAGAAAGCCTTGCAATACATCACCTTAGATTTTGGCTTCCTTTGATCCAAGCGAGCAAGCCTTTCTTCTTCCGTTAGAGTTGAGACATCAACTGGCAGCTGTAAAAAATTAAAATTCAAAATGGATCTCAACTGAAGACCTTAATGAACAATCTCAATCCTATTGGATAAAATTTCATGCAACAGATGCAAATCAGCTCTAAATTTAGGTAAAACATATCTAGAAGTTGGAATTTCATCATTAAATGTGTGTTGAGACCTATGAAATACAATGAATATAAACTTCAACTCAAAAGAATCTTTTGCCAAAATGGAGTTATGGTCAATACCTACCACACAAGTTGCCACTGAGCCGAAACTTCACATACTTTGCTGCTTGTCATAAAAACCCATATTATAATGGTCAGAATTGCGATTTATGGGGTCTAATTGCCACATAACTAAAAAACTATGCCGATCACATTAGAAAGATGTGGTTCAGTTTTGTTCATAAAATAGAACGTTTCTATTGAAGGCCAGCAACTTTAGGGGGCTGCTGTCAGAGTTATTGGCATTGATAGTAGCTTTCACAGGCAAGTTTTAGGCCATTGACATAATTTAAGATTGTAGCCATGAATCTACTGAATTGGAATAATTGCAACAAGCCAAAATATTATGAGTTAGAGGAAGAAAGTTCTATTTGTTGAAGGAAATATAAAACTCACCCGGATTATTTTTCTAGGTTTTTCATATCTGACTTTGATAGTGGAGCCATCACTGTTGACTAGTAAGCAAGGATACATCCTACAATAGGCAGGACTCTTGATGCGTGTTATGCTTGCTCGGTGACAGTTGATTGATCGAGTGCAGCTGGTGCTCAAGAAAATCCGGGGATGACATATGAATGACCAAGCATTAATCTGGAAAGAAAAACTTATGAAACACCCAAAAGTATCTAGACATGGAAACATGAACCAGTTTCATCATATTTACTGCTATTGGTATCTATCATGAATTGAAGCCATTGAAAAATTCATAAGTAAATGGATACACCTAATTAATGTTGGCTTTTAACCATGTTTTTTAAACAAAAACTGTATTACCAAGATGATATAATTTTGTATTATTTTTACAAATGTAAATAAATTAGACTATTTACAAGTATATACCTATATAATATGGTATCCTCCCTACAAAAATGGTTTTACAAGGTATTGACTATAATCAAACAAATTTTGCATGAATTGAAAAAAGATTACAGATAAAATTTTTTATATCTTGCACTACTTGCCATAAACTTTTAGATAAGCAAGTGTTAGTGACTAGTAGGCTTCAACATTGATTTTACACATCATTGGAAACAACCTTACTCCCACTGATCACAATGTTCCTTCAAATTATCTAACATACCTATATTTGAACAATAGAAACAAAAAACTGTTAACTACTTGACAAAAAAAATACTCCATCCTATATTTTGAACTCACAAATTTCCATTGTTTGATAATTCTCAAGGAGCTCAAGAAATAGGAAACATTTGTTTAAGTATATCAATATGATACCTTTACTTGGCATATAAATTAAAGCAATCATCATACCTTTGGGAAGCATTTTAGAGCAAAGTTAACAGATGTCATAATACCAACTTAATTTCTTTCAAGACTTACAAATAATTCTTGAATGATAAGTTACAAAATCTGAAAATAAAAATCTCATTAGATGACAGAAATCATTCATAACTTTTGCAAGGTCATGAAATTATATGACTTTACTTTAAACCTTTCTCGGGAGATTCATCACATTGCCTCTTATTCAAAAGTAAAAATATGAGGAATGCATAATAAAATGAAATTCTATGAAATTGTAAAAAAATTCAAGAAGATATATGTTTGCTTTATATTGTACTGTAGCAGAATTAGCTGTGTAAGTGGTTTATAGGAGCTTTAATGTCACTTGAGTTGAGTCAGCACTCATGTCACCAGCCATCAATGGAAACAATGTATATACTTAAGATAATAAAGCTATCTCACATCACTGGCAACTGCAACAATGCAACCATTATCAACAATGTTTTGACTGGCAAAGCTTTGGGCAAGGGAGTGAAACTAAACTGCAGAACATCTCATTTTATTGGAATTGTGAATTTTGAAACTTAAAATTTTCAATCGAATCAAAATACATGACTTTGGAACCACATAGATTCTGATTCAATGAGAAAAGTATAGCTTCTAAATCTATGCTGCTTGATTTTAGAGGAAAAGCAGGATTATTTCAATATTTGATACATGTGGATAAGTGGCTCTACCAAATATTAGCAGGTCAATCAATCTATGTGGCTCCTTTAGTGCAAAACTAAAAAAATTTATAACCTTGTGCTTATTACAGAAATCTTATAAATTTTACAGCTTCAAAGTGACAGGCTTTTAGATGAATTTGGATTTTGGGATTGTTCAGCTCAATCATGAACTTTCACTGACAATTTCATAAGAGATGATCCATCTAGCCCCAGAAGTTTTATAAAATGGTAGGTAAAAAAATATTTAATATAATATAAACAATAGTTAAAAGTAGTCATTGATACTTTTAAAAAATAATAGGTAAAAATAGGCTGTTTGTTTTGTTGTTATTTTTCACCCCCCCTGTCCCGCAACAAATGCGGGACGGGGCCTACAACCATTCCTGAGCCAGCCCAACCTCCCCCCAGCATACCAACAGCCAACAGCCTTGCCGCCTCGATGGGAGAGCTCCACAAAAGCAGGGGCAAAATGGGCATGACCAGCTCCAAGCAGCCAAACAGGTGGTTGGTGTTGTGTACATGTTTGTGACAGAGTGGACAAAGGGGGGATGGATGTGTGACTGTATTTATCTTTTGTCGGTATTGGTGTAGTAAAGGGGACTTGTTTATATGGAGTGGTGCTAGTGCTTCGCGCAAGGTGAAATTCTAGGGGGTTTTAAATGACCAATGGAACGGCCATTGCTTAGCCAATCACAGCCTGGATAACATGACATCATGATCCCATAACCAGTCATAACCTGGATAGCATGAGATCATGATCCTATCAGCCAATCACAGTCTTGAGAGGATGATATCATGATCCTATTGACCAATCACAGTGTAGAAAGTATGACCCTCTCAACCAATCACAGATGGGAGATGACATGACTCAGCCCACTCACAGATGAGAGATGACATGACTCCGCCCACAAGTACCTTTGAGCACTATATGTTAGAATTCCACCATGGCTTCGCGTGTGTCTGGGTAATTGGGTTTCTGAAATCTATGGCTGGTGCTGGTGCAGAAAATAATCATTTTTTGGTAGATTGTCTATGTAGTTAGTTGTGATTGTAGTGTGTATTTGTTTCTTGTGTCTGTTCAGTGTTTCTGTTGTGGCTTGATCTGGTTCTATGGATGTTAGTAGTGTAGTTTCTGTTTGTGAAAACTATTTGTTTCAAAAGTCTGGGTGGGTTGTAAGGTTGAGTATGAGTGTTAAGTGGGTGGGTTAGTGCTTGAGCTTTTAGTCTGAGTTGGGATGCATGGAGTTTGAGGTGCTGGTCTATTGGAAGCGTTTTTGTTTCTTTGTGTAGGTGGCTTTAGTTAGTATCAGCTGTACAACTTGTTGCAATGCAGAGTGCTGTGTTTTGGATTGTTTGTAGTTTATTTGTGTGAGTTTGTGCTAGGCTGGGGACCAGATGGTGCTGCCATATTCTATTATAGGTCGTGTTATAGTTTTGTAGGTTGTGAGGACTTCTTTTTGTTTTCCCCAGTTTGTTGATGTGAGAGATTTTAGAATTTTTATTGTTTTAGCTGCTTTGACAATTTCTGTTTAACTGCGGTAGTTGCGGGTCTGTGAGATTAGCAGTTCTGATTTGATTTCTTTGAGTTATGAGAGCTCTTATGTTATCTGGAAGAGGTGGTTGTTTTGTTTTTATTTTGCCTTTAAAAATGTTGTGTTTGTCTGCTTGGATTATGATGTTTGTCATAGTGGCAAAGCAGAGAGTTTTTTAGACTCTCCCTCAAGTTCATTTTTGAGTCCCATAAGTAGACCAGTAAAGTATCCTGGATACCAGCATTATCATACTGGATATTTTTACTGAATACCAGCATTATTAAATCTTGAGTAAATAAGGAAATTAAGAATGAACTGATTCTAAAAAAGCTCTGGTTTGCCACTATGATGTTTGTAAAGGTTTTGTTTGCAACATGTATGTCAGTTGGGTCTGTTATGTTTTTCTTTTATGTGCTGTTTTTATTTCAGTTGTAAAGGAGGCCCAGTCAGCTTTGTGGTAGTTAGTGTATGTTTTTGTTTGGTGTTGTAGTCGGAAGTTTGTTTTTGTTCTGTAGTCTAGTACCTAGTTTAGGTAGGTGGTCAGATTAAAGTTCTGTCAGAGTAGTCCAGGTAATGTTGTTTGCTATAATGTCAGAGGCTGTAGAAATGTCAGGAGAGGTAGGTTGTTGATTGTTTGTAGTGGGTAGATGAGTAGGTGAATTTTGGTTTAGGATAATGTGGTTTGAATTCTGTATAATGTCTTTTATTAGTATGCCTCTGTGGTTATTTTAAGGTGAGTGCCAAATTTTGTTAATGTTAATGTAATGTTGTAATGTTAATGTTGTTGTTAATGTCTCCTTTTATGATTGTACTTGGTTTATTGGCAATGTGGATTAGGCATTCAGTGATGAGTTGATATGTTTGGTTGTGTAATGGATGATTGGTGTCTCTATGAGGGATGTATAGGTTGGCTATGTAAATTGACTTATTATTGTATTAAAATCACTTGTTTGCTTGAATCGCAAGTTAGCCAGGAATTTAAAAGCAAAAAAAATACCACAAAAATTCACCATATCTTTATAAGAGAAAACGTTTTGGAGTCCAGCTCCATCGTCAGTTCAAAACACCAAATTCTGTTCAGAAAAAGTTCAGTCCCAGAAACGCAAATAAATCAATTAGTAAAGTAAAATGCACTAAAAATAAATAGATAAGACATGAAAATGATCTAGTGTTAGTGATCTACAAATTCTAGAATCCCTGTATATTTTCAAACAGAAGCCTAGTCTGAATGCCGCTTTTAGCTCCTTTCCTCTTGAAATAGTGAATAGATAGGCCGTTTACGTTTACTAGCATTATTTTCATGTCTTATCTATTTATTTTTAGTGCAAATTTTTCTATGTCAAATAGTTTTTGAGTTGTGGGGGTTTTTGTAAAAAAAACGAAAAGTGGTCTAAGTTACCCCGCCGGTCTAAGTTACCCCATTTTATGGTACTACCTCTTCTTGGTGAGTAGTAGTTGCCAAAATATACTTTTAAATCACTGCTCATATATTCATTGATGAAGATTTAATGTTGTGTTTTTTGAGAATACCGTTATAGATGAGAAATATATTTATGTGTTATCCTGCGTGATAGTTTATTGTGTATATATGTTTTGAAGTTTGTATTGATGTTGTGTTTAATAATAGTGTGTTCAGGTGTTGATAATGTAAATATTTTACAGAAGCATCTTCAAGTACTTCACATAAGCGACCCATGCCCTGTTTGCCCGGTAGTCCGTTTGTACGGTTGTACAGTTTCCCGTTTGCCTGTTTGTACGGTTGTACCGTTTGCCCGGTTGTCCGGTAGTCAGTTTTTCCGGTTGTACAGTTGCCTGGTTGCTAGTTGTCCGGTAGCCCGTTTGCCTAGTTATACAGTTATCTGGTTACCCAGTTCCCCAGTTAATGGCTAAACAGTCATCCAGTAGTTGGTTAGGTTTTTGATTTAGAGTTCTCTCTTAGGTTTAAATTTTAAGTCCCTTTATAATGAAGTTTGTATTAGAATTAAATAAAGTTGAACAAAAAAGAGAAAAACACCTGGTAGACAGGGATGGCTATAAGGGAAGTTGGGAGGCCATCTTTTATTTAACCCTTTAGATTTTAAAGAACCTTGAATACCTTCCCTCACTTAACTAATAAAGACGACCCATTACAATGTAAATTGACTTATTATTGGATAAGTGAACTTGAGAGATTTGAAGTTTTGTAGCAGCTTGGTTTATGTTTGGTGGGATTTGAATGATGGAAAAGGTAATGTTATTTTTTTATGTAAGTTAGTAACTTAGTAGACCACTAGCATGTTTGTGTGTTCTGTCTTGTCTTATTGTTGTGAAACCTGCAATTGTTGGTGTTTGTGTTGTGGGCTTGAGTTTTGTTTCTTGTACAGTGATAGTGTTGATAGTCTTGTAGTGATCGCTGTTGTTTGGCGAGTAGGGCTAGTTCATCTATTTTGTTTGATAGTGTGTTTATGTTTATTTGGAGAATTTTGAGGGTGTTTTAGCTGTTTCCTCTATTTTTTGGTTGGTTTTGGACTTTTGGTTTGAAGGGTTTGTTGGAACTAGTGACTGTAGTTGTTAAGTAGGTTGTTGGGGAGGTTCTGCTGAGTTAATTTGCTGAGGTAGGTTTGGTTGAATATGTGGGCTGGCCCATCCAGGACTGGTGTGGGTGTGTTGGCTCTGCTGCCTCTGCAGCAGCCAAATCTCAAACCAACAGACGTCTTTCTTATGTAATTCACAATCATCACACTAGGTTCATAAAAAATGTACCACAATCAAAATTGCTGACTACAGCAACAACTGGTGGTAGCCTAATTGGAAGGACAAATCCACAAACCCACATTATGTAGGTAACAGTAGGTTTGTGGTAATTGGAAGTGTTGTGTGATGACTGCAGTCTGCAGGTCCAGTATGGCAGTACTAGTATTACATAGAATGATAGAATTAGGTACTGATTATTACTAATAGTTTTAGTAGTTAGTAGCCTAGTGATGTGAGAACGTGAGAGTGAGACCAGAACAAGTGCTCTCATTCTCTTAGATTTAGCCTCCATGAAAGCTAAGGGGATAAAAGACCCAATCAGGCATAAAAATTTTTAGCATTTAGCCATTTAGTACAGGAAAACTTTAGTCAGCAATGAACTGTCAGTGTCAACTGTCAATGACACTATGACAGTACTTTGGAAATTTTCTGTGCACTGCAAATTTTGGCAAGTTTCGTCATATAACTCACGAATGAAGGCAAAATTTAAAAAATTGTCCCGAGCTTGACATCACCGTTAGGCCATAATGAATACGTCTACCAAGTTTCATCGAGCATTCGAGCTACGTTGGGTACGTTCAGAACTTTGGTAGACTGGTAGATAGGTTCAATATGTACACTGAATCTGGAGTCTGGCCGCGAGACCGGCCGCGGGTCCGGTCGTAAATTTGTCCTAGATGTCCGATTTCCGAATAATGCGCCAAGCTCTTTTTTGCCTAGGTATATACGGTTAACCCACGAGAAGTTCCGTCTTTCAGTTCAGCTTTCTTGTTACGCCAGGTAGAATTCATGGTGGAGCTATATGGGTGGATAGGCAGGAATGATAGCTAGAGGTCACTGGTCAGCATAGCCCAAGTCCACAGTGCTATTCATAATTATTTCATATACCTTCCCGAGCGTAACGCAGCTGGCATCTTCACGGCTAACCTAACCTAACCTGCGCCGCCTGTTGCGGTAGGACCTGTTGCGCTCCGGCCAGTTGGCCTCCGGCTCTGTGAAGCAGTGGCCAGTGGCTGTGTAAGCCTGTGTTGTGCAAAGCGGATTTACTGTTAGCCGGAGTTACCCACAGCTCATTGATCTGAGGCTATGTGTAGATATTGCATGCTGATGTTTGGCGCTGGGCCCAGGTCCTGTTTACGAGTCAATTTTGTTACCCACGGCTGCGCTCCCGAACTATATAAGGTTGACCCACGAGAAATTCCGTCTTTCAGCTCACTGTGTTGTGCAAAGCGGATTTACTGTTAGCCGGAGTTACCCACAGCTCATTGATCTGAGGCTATGTGTAGATATTGCATGCTGATGTTTGGCGCCGGGCCCAGGTCCTGTTTACGAGTCAATTTTGTTACCCACGGCTGCGCTCCCGAACTATATAATATAAGGTTGACCCACGAGAAATTCCATCTTTCAGCTCTGTTACGTCACGTATATCGAGAAACGTAAACGAACCCGTCATTCCCATCACGGATTGGTTGACTAGTTTGATCGCATTTCGGTGGTTGGTTAATGCCTGTGACGTCACTGAGATCAGTGACGTCACAGGGAAACAACAAACTGCATCCGCAAAAATAGGCTTCTGATGGGTCAACCTTATACTAGTTCAACTATGACGTAGATCGAGAAACGTAAACAAACCCGTCATTCCCATGACGGATCGGTTGATTGGTTTGATCGCATTTCGGTGATTGGTTAATGTCCGTGACGTCACTGAGATCAGTAACGTCACAGGCGAACAACGAACTATATCCACAAAAATGGGCTTTTGATGGGTCAACCTTATACTATTTCAACCATGCTTTTTGCCTCCTACTATCGTTTCCGTTTCCTCCTCCTTCTTTCTGGCCACCCTAAGCCACACCTCTTGATCACACCTCTTGATCTCTCCTAGTGGCAACGTCGCCGCCGCCGCCGTCACCACCACCACCACGTGGCACCTGAGGGGCGTCGTGTGTCTCATTTATTTCACAGTACATTGACTACAGTCCAAGTATATATAGAAGACGAAATCATTATGTCCAGTTGTTTGTCATTAAATAAAAAAAACGCATTGGTTGTCCTTCATTGTCCAAAATTTGCAGCGTGTTATAAATATCCAAAATTTGCCGTTGTTCCTAAAGAGAAGCTTATTCATATGGTGTTATCTTCTAATCTACCCAGTCGGAAAATTCTTAAACCGTAACAATTACAGCACCGAATATTATACGTATAAGATAACTTACATTTTCATTTGAACTCATCATATTGGTTTTTGAAGACGGTAATATATATATTTTTTTAAGTCTAGCATTTGAAGCCTATGTTAATTTTTCATTTCTGCATTCAGTTTCACTAGCGTAGCGTTAGGCGCACTGCGTGAAGACGGAGTGGACAACAAATTCTAAAATGCTTGCAGGCGCGTATTGTAAGTAAATAACTTCGATATTAATTAGGTCAAGATCAATTTCGATTTGAAAAACCTATGTGTGGAAAACATCTTAAAATTCTGCATTTAGCATGCAAATTAAAACCAAAACGGACAAAAAATTGTGGCAGCGCTCAGACGAGTGCATCTTCGTTATAAACTTATTCAATATTGGCTTTTACTTGACACTTATGCTTGAAAAACCTGCTATGACAATTCGTCCGAAAATTTTGTTTCGAATATTCGTCGCAGAAGTGTCGAAGTGGTTAATGTCAGCCTCATGAACAATATTTTTTTTACCGCACCCTATTAAAAAAAGTAGCACATAAGTTGAAGCGCAAAAGTTTCCAACTAGATGAAATTCAAAATAAATGTTGCATTGCCTAAATCAAATATCCCAAATATATAAAAAAAACTAATTCAGAGTGAAGAATATGTTATTATACTGATATGACAGAGCATCTAATATGAATATTTAGATTGAGATCGCCAGGGATCACGATAGGCGTGTCGATTTGGGGGTTCATAACCTACTACAATCAAGTTGTTATATTTCGGCCGAAATTATGAAGGTATATATAATCAAAGGTCACATCACTACATTATTTGATTTTCTTTGAGAAAATAGGAGCAGCCCGTCCCCTTAGCTGTTCGTGTGTCGCTTCAACGAATATTTTTAACAAATTACTATTGTGCAAAATGGCTGGGAAGTTTTGCACTGCACTGCGTTTACCTTCTGATGAAAAAGTCGAATAAAGACACGAATTTTATTTACTACCATATTTTATTTATTATGAGGAAAAATTTAAGCCCTTTGTATGCAAATATCCTTTCGGCTTAAAATAAAAACTATTAATATTTGGTTATAAAAATTGTATCAGGACGGTCTGAAATAGGCAAAGCATGCATGTTGAATGGACTTTCCAGTCTCCCAAATATCTAAATCACAAACCTACAATTGACTTTCTGGGTATTTCCTGGTGCCAATTTTTCATTATATTACGTAAATTTTCATTCCGCTATCGAGGTATTATTAAAACACAACGTTGCAACGATTAACATAGGGCAAATACAAATAGTTTAAGGGTTTCTAAAAGAACCAAAAGATCTCATCCAATGTAACCCCAAACTATCATTCGAATTATGCATGGGTAAGGACTAAGTGTTTACAACGTCGTTAACGCAAGGTTCATTGCGCCAAAAATAAGTGTAGAAGGATATTTTGCTTTATTTAATTACTTAAGTAGGCAATTGCGATGCATTATTCGCAATGACTGTTCTCCAGACCGTCGATCGAACCCCCTGCTGTGTTCTTACGTCTTCTTCGGTAACTCACTTGAGACCTAAATAAAATTGAATTAAAATTTGATAATAAAATCGCAGTCACAATGAAGCAGACTCAGTTATTTTCCATACTTTTAAATTCTATATTCATGATAATTTTTAAATAGTCGAATCCCACATTTAGAACTACTTTGCGATTTAAAAAAAATCAAAGAAAATAAGACTTACATCTCGGTCTTTTCGGGTGTCCATACCAGACGTAGCTTTTCTTTACGGGTGATAGGAAGGAAGGCCGTAGGGCGACGTCGTACTTGCACTGAGCGGGTATGAACTCTGGGGGTACGTGGCCAGGCCTGAGGGATGGTATGTCATACCACCACGGATGGGATACGTCTCGGAGGCGCGGGGTCGGTACTCTTCGGATTGAACATCTGCCATCCGAATAAGATTCCAAGGGAGATAAACCTGTGCAGTGAACCAAAACCAGTCCACGAAGAGACAAAGTAAACGCATGCGTGTTTATTCAATATTGTTATTATTATGATTTTTTGAGACGCAATGTGATTTGAAGTTACAAGACTAACGGCTAGTGTAAAATGAAATAAAAAAAGTTTTATAATTAAAATTAGAATGTGTGCGAACCTTTTATATAAATAAAGTGTGTTTTTTTGGATTCAGGGAGAGCAAATTAATATAAATGTACACTTAGCTTCTGCATTCATGGTTTAATCGTAAGATGTTACTTAAGTTTACCACTCTATCTTACTTTACGGAAATATTCGGAGTCTCTGGTACCGACCTTTCAAGGATCTGTAGTAGTTACTCCAGAAGCGCGACCTCACATCCAGAGGGTATCCGTAGGTGTGTGCGGCGAGCAGTCGTGACGTGACCACCATCTTTGCGGCCTTGGTTTATTATCTTCAGAAAATCTGAAATTATTAAACTCCTTTTAAATAAATCAAGTTTATTTATTAGATTTGCTAAATATTTTCGAATGAGACTGTGGATGAAATGACTATTGTTTACTTGTGCTAGATATTACAAATTAAATTTAATTGTCAAATCTATGGTTAAAATAATAAATAATTCCGAAAATGAAGAGAACAGGTAGGGAAATGTTCTCTCATTGGAGCAATGCATGAGGCCGAGCCTCAGCGGCTGTGCGCCTGCTTACCACCTCTTCTAATAATAAACGACCTTTGCACGAACCGCCTTTGATGAGCTCAACATTTCAATTTTTCACAGAACGTGCGTTTCTACCTATATTCCCCCCAAAAAACAAATATTGTTCACTAAGAAACGCATACTCAACAAAACCTCTGCTGATATTACGGGATTCTGCAGTCAAAGCGAATTATCGAGAACGCTTCCGAAAATTAATGTTGTCATTAAAATGCTGAACACAACTGCAGTAAATAACTGCATTAAATAAGCACTAAGCAGTTTCCTTTGCAATCCGATGAGCTTTCAACAGATAATTTTAAGCATTTATTGGCCCGGCGTAAAATTATCCCCTTACATCACGTAAAGGAGGAAGTTCTTCGAGAAATAAACAGTTGTCAGCCTGAGAATAAGAAATAGACATGGGATCATCATTCTGCCAACATGACACCATGCAGACCAGATGACCAAATCACGTCTAATTTCGTGACAATTTTTTCAAGGTCACTTGCAGGATGAGCGTTTTAAACTTGCGTACTGAAAAAGCTTTGATTTATGACCAGTTTTTCAGCAGCGTTCGTGCGTGGACAGTCGGTGTCAGTGATGGACTCGTAAGCTGTAGATTTGTGAGTGAGAGTGAATGCAGTCGAGGGTGCAGGTTAAAAAAATACGTTTGTGACCTTTCGGCTCTGTTAAAAAAGTAAAAAAATAGGTTTTCATAATATAAAGAGAATATAATTTGTGTTAAATTTATTTATTATTAATATTGTGATGTGGAATATTTGCTTATAGATAAAAATGTTGTCCTGGAATATATGAACGGGCCGGTTTAATAGCGTCAGTTTTGAAAGTCAAACCAAGTTTGGATTGCTATCGGTTTTAAAAACAGCAGAATTTTAACACATAGCTGAGCTCGAACCATCAATTCCCTGCACTAATGGTATTGCGTATTGGCCTTAACCACTCGGCTCCTTGGACCCAGATTTTTGGGAATTAAATACGTATTTTGGATGTAGTTTAAATTAACTGGCGTTGTCATCGAAAACTCACGACAGTTAATTAATGAAAACATGATAGGTCTCCATCGAAAGCTGGCTAACACTTCGATCATGTTTCAAACACAGTAATCCATTTAAGGATTTATTAGCCTGCGTTTTATATGGGTATGAAACTTCATGATAAAATCGAAACTATATCTATTTGTCTGATCATTTAATTTGAACATTGATTTGTATCGTTGATATTCTGTATTTTTTATCTAAAAAATCGAAAGAGTTTACTGAATCTTAGCTTTCTGTTTCATGGTACAAAGTATTCTGTGTATAATTAAATCCTACAAAATAATAATCAATAGTGAATAATTCAAATATTTGCCGAATGATCCTTTTCGTTGAATATAAGTGATCGTTTCAATAAGTGCGAATTAGAATAGGAAAGCATAATTTGTTCGTTTGGCTAAGCTGTATTGAAGGCTTAATTTTAACGATAATTTTCACGTTTGTTTGTCAATGTATTGAAAAATATTGAACGACAAATTGAAAAAATACAAATCAGAAAAGTATTAATAAAATAAATTTTCTGATATTCAATCATACTTGTGTCCAATTTTTTTAGGTGTATATGTTGATTACGTAGCTCGCCTCTACGTACCTGCAGTAAAGATCCTTCTCGCGCGGCTACGACAGAGCTTCTGCCCCCGGAACCGCAGCGCCGCGCCAGGTTCAGCACAAACTGGCCCAGCGCCAGCCAATGAGGTGCGATAAGTTCATAAACACGCGTTTTTTGCGTCTTGACATGCAGCGCTGCCCACTCATATCCATGCATACAATCCATCATATTCATCATCATATTTCACAATAATGCGTTCATCATTGCGCGTTTACATTTGCGTATCTACTTGAATTTGGCAATACGACACACTTTCACTTATAATATTTTCATTGTAACCCATATCTGAATCGCAAGTTACCTTGTTTTGTTATAAAAATGTCATTAGTTTACAGATAAAACCACTACCAAGACTTTTTAGTATTACTATTATTTAAAATAAATCATCAATATGAGCTCCCCACGCAGAGCATGTGTATAGGTGGTTAAAAGCAAGACTTCTGTCATCCTCTCGTCGAATGAGTGGGCCGAGGTCGGAGGCTCGCAGCGCAGGTGCTATTCGGAGCTGCCGCACTTATCACTGAACAAACCCTACGCAGAAGTTGGGCAGCTTACCAAAATCCCAAGCACAAACAACATGACTAATTATAAGCATAGCATTCGCATGAGACAGTCCAACTTCTTGACTAGGCCATAGAAAAATGTTCTCTTGAAATGGCTTTATACTTCAGTTACAGACGTGGCCGCGCGTAATTGCATTATAAAGGACAAGTTAAGTAATTTTCATTAAATAACATGCCCCGTGCTGACATATGATAAGGTGCTGCGTTTGTCCTAAACTTAAGTTTCTCTACGTATAAAATGTAAATAAAATCTATTGATTATCAAAAAAAATCATCATAGGAACGAATGGAAAATTCATTGGTCCCGCATAGCTTAATTTTAATCAGTCTTAGGATAAATGGTACGTTGCAAAAGTACATATTTCATTAGAGAACGTTCGTAGAGAGCAATACATACATGTTTAGTATATATATTTTCATTTACGAGTAAATCGATGGCTGATGTACAGTTTTAGCCATCACCAGTACAGGAAATTAAAAATCGACAGGAATTTAAGATTTACAGGGACATTGTGGATATAAGGCAAAGAAATGGTTGATTTAATTTGTACAAATTTAAAATATCTATGTTATAAACCGAAATGATTTTTTTACTGAATGGAAGGTCATAAAAACTACAACAACATGAAAATATTTATTGATTCTACTCATCACTTTCCGCACGTAGCAGAGCACCAAAGACACATTGTAATGCAAAAAGTGCAAGATCAACCAAACGAATTTTATCTGATGCAATAATGATTAGTGTAAACCAAATTGAAATTTAATTAGAATGCAGTGGAAGTAGAAGTGGTTAGAGACTATGAAAATATGCAAATTTAAAGGTAAAATATCAAACAAAAAGTAATTCAAATCATTTGAGGCAAAACGAGTAATCTTTTGCTTCTAATAAATACTCGAAAAGTTATTAAAAAAACTCTGGAAGTTCGTGATATTTTAATATCTAGGTATATATATTTTTTGGATAGTGATAATTTTCCTAATTTCTTAGTAAGCGCCTGTGTCTGGTATTTATTCGATTTGTATTGAACAAGTTGCTAATTGAATGAGATAATTTCGACTGGTCTTCGAAAGCTTTCATTTAAATCCTCATAATAAAAGCTTAGTCGTTATGGCTTCCTCGAAGATGAAGGTAATCATTGAATACCGTTTCGGACGCGTGAGAACGACATGACATACAATAATGTAATTATTTGTACTGTTACGGATGTATTTATTGCGAAACAAGTATTTATTACTTTAATTTATAACTTGTACATTATTTATTACTTGCCAATGTATGTATTTATTACTTAAATATGGCAATTAACATTCTATTCGAAGTGACGAAGAGCGAATTCATGCCATCTCGAACGTCAAGGTTAAGCTCATGCCAAATAATGTCTTCTAAGCGAAAAAAGCCGAGTGTAAAAAATTAATTATTGATTTTCACTAGTTCCTACATTAGTAACTTGTTAAATAACATCAATACAAAAATCATTCAAAATACATGTGTCTAATGTTAACTTTAATAGGGAAAACTAGTGTGAAAATGATACACTGTTATTATTGAATTCTTGATGACAATTTGTAGACAAGCATAATGATAATGGGATCTAACTGCAAATAAAAGTATCAATCATGAAGGTAATGAAGCAAAATGCTAATTACCATATCACCTGGTTGGCAGCTAGTGATTTTAAATACGTTAAAAGTACAGACATAAATCCTGCCATAATTAACGTTCAAATATATGAGCCGTTGTCTCTTTAGGCATTATCACAAAAATTAAAGGAATAAAATGACGATAAAAATCATGACAGTATTTTACAGTGAAATAAAATTTAATCAATGACATGTAAATGGAAAATTGTCTAAAGAATAACAAAATTTCGACATTTCCATTAAAATTGCGTGAATTTTTTTGTCGTTTTTTTCAAAATTCATGGTTAATCTGAAGTAGAAGAAAGCAAATAGTGTAAATAAAAATAAAAGTTGAACTCCCTGGCTGAGACAAGGTTCCTACTTCCTGTAGTAGCCTTCGACAGGTAGGAAGACAGAGTAGCTGTACAACCTCTTGCCGCCGTAGCCGTAGAGCAGCTCGCCATTACCTTCAGCGTCGTAGTAGGGATACCGGTAACGGGGCCTGGAAAGTACGCAACTGTTAGTTACCGTTTGTTAGTTACCGTCTGTTAGTTACCGTCTGTTAGTTACCGTCTGTTAGTTACCGTCTGTTAGTTACCGTCTGTTAGATACCGTCTGTTAGTTACCGTCTGTTAGTTACCGTCTGTTAGTTACCGTTAGCGTCGTAGTAGTCACCGGTAACGGGGCCTTCAAGTTACGCAACTGTTCAAGATGCTCAAATGTGCCTGCACAGTCATTTAATCATGAAAAATGAAGGAGTGCTGATTTGATGATATCTACGCATCTCTACAATTTATTTTACAACATGACTACATTTGTCATAGTTCCCTAAATTTTCTAAGATCGTTACACATAATTGATTCGAAGTGCACTGGCGAAAATGAGAGATAAACGATATTGAAACGTGGCAAATTAGAACGGTCCCGCGGCCGACGTCGTGTCGGCACTCTGCAAGGTCACCGGAATACCAGCACGTCACGATCCATAGACGAAGAATGACGTTAAGTGTTGCAGTGCAATAATTAAACGAGCACTTAGCTGCAAGGACGTTACATCACGCAAGTCACGTCACTTGCCGTGCTTCACGAGATCCGCTAAATATCAAAAGAAATTAGTTTATTGCTCTTTGCACAACAACTGAAGAATAACGTGTAAATAGTGAGTGCGAAACCATCATCACTTAGACTTATGCACTAAAATTTTTGAGAGATATTCGTTTTAGCCTGTTGAACACATGCTATTATATATACAAGTAAGAAAAAAATATAACTCAGTACTCACTGCAGTGAGTGATAGAGAGCGCATTTTCTCGTCGACGAAAACTTGAGGTCACGGACAGACGGACAGACAGACGGACAGACAGACAGACGGACGGACGGACATGGCGAGCACAATAGTGCATTTTTTCCATAAATGAGAAAATGCGCTAAAAATTAGTTGAGAGGGAAAGTGGGCTCACACAACAAGCGCCTCGTGAGGGACCCATATGGTCTAAGAACTTTCCCTGATCGTGTTTGCTGAACAGACGAAATGTTCTTATGAGTAAACAACAGTTGTTATATGGCCAGCGTGTAGAAAGATTACCTAACTCCTTAACACTGGGAACTTGTTCTCTGAACTCCATCGCTGCTTTCTATGATAGGAGCTATAATCTCCATTGAATATATCAATTAAGAAAATAGCCTTATATACCACTTGATTATATATGTATGAACTGCAATCGACTTGCTAGCAGCCGACAACGGTCATAAGTGCATACACCGAAATTTCAGTAGATGAAAATGTGATATTCTGCATTTCGTGGACCTCGATCTAATATTTGAATTGCCGCAGTGGAGACGATTAGAGTTCCGTCCATTGTTTCATAAGACCGGCAGAGCGTGACGCAATTCGGTCATGCTGTAAGAAGTCCACCGGCGAACGCCGAAGTGTAGCCGAAGATGAAAAACGCAAAGAAAAACCTCAATAAATGTTGTTGTGGATTTGGAACTTCAATAATCAGATATTTTCTATTCAGCATGAATCTTGTCTAGAATAAACTTACAGAAGAAAGTAATTAATGAAAGGCGTGAAAAATCTGTTTCATAAAATCTTTCAAGAAGAATGCGGGAGAATGTACCGGCTAAGAAAAATGCTATTGTACTATGTAATTGCAATAGTCAAAAAAGCATTCAATTGGACTGCCTGCTATAATAGCGACATTTCAAAGGCTTCTGCAATGAATGGTAGTTTCCCCGACTTTATACCACGTCACATACTTGTATTCTGACAATATTGCTGGGAATGAAAACGTGCGCACTTGGAAGCGCACATTCAAAAACGTACGTACAATAAATCGTACTCATCTCATTGCGTTGGAGCTAACATGAAAACTTTTGGTGAAAGTTACCAGAATTTTCAGAATAACTCACTAGTATTTATGATTTGCTGTACCAGCGAGAACTTTGGGGATGATGTCACTGTGTGTGAAGCAAATATGCAAATATTTCTTTTCAAACATAAGGCTGAACAGACGTCAGTCTGACCGCGCATAAAGCAGACATGGTGAGCTGTCACTCAAGCATTGTATAAGGGAGCCATAATTCTCACCGATCGTAGAACGGGTATAATTTTTTGTACAGAGGAGACAGGAGGCTCTTCTTCAGCTTGGGAGGGCGCTTCTCGTAGGGGTCGTTCGCCACCGCGGGTAGGTGGTTGTCCTCCGGGACGGGCGCTGAGGAGGCAGGGGAGATATGAAGGAGAAGTACCATCATCCCCAGCAGCAGCAGCAGTGAAAGTATCCGCAAACCTGGCCGCACTTCCTGCAGATGTAAGAATGTCGAAGAATGTGCTATGAATAAAAATCTAAAAATATAAAGTCAAGAATTTTAATAAAACTATTGCATGTGCCGATGGAATGCTAGCTTTTTGGTGAATAAGTTATAAAATATAAGATACACTGCTTCTGGATTGTAAATATTTACTCTCCCAGAAATCTTCCACTGGTGGAAGTTACAAATGAAAAACATATGGATTTTGGAAAGACGGTGAGTCATTACTCGAGCTACTTATACTGGAAGCTCATATTCTAATTTCTCAAAAATTTTAATCGCACAGCGATGTTTCATAATTAACGCTTTCTCGTCCCGCTTTAAGTTAATCAGCATGTTTTTAATTGAATAGAGTTCATGTTGACACAACAAACATCATGACGAGCGTCTGGAGGCTGCGTCCGCGCGCGTCCTTCCCCAAGTGAAAGTTGATGCAGCACCGGTAGGGTCCAAGGCCGCGAGACTTTGCCATCTAAAACGTACGGGCGCTGGCTGACCCCACATTAAAATTAATCTTTGAAAAAATCCTAATTTAGGGTATGATGACTGAATGATTTAAGCATCACAGGATATGTAAGATCATTGCTACAGTTGCTTCGATTAAACTTCTTGTGAAAAGGATTATTAGTATGTATAGTATAGTTGTGTAGTATATTAGAGTAGGCGCTGAATCTTGGCCTGTCGCCGATTCATGTAATTTTCGTAACTTGTTTACAAGTGATCTAAAAAGTGGCCTTTTGAGTAGATATTTTCGAATCTGACGTTGAATTAAAAAACTGAATAGTTACCTCACTTTTACCGGGTCCGTGAAGTGAAACTGATGGTCACTTTAAGTCGGAACTTATATAACTGCATAACTTTGTCTAGTCTGGTATTAAAAGCGTTCATACTCGTCAACGATATCATCAGGAAAGCTCTTCCACATGTCGGTGACTCAAACAAAGAATTGTTTTCCCACAGACGAGTTTTTTTGCCGCAGTTTTTCAAGTTTATATGCGTGCATGGTTGCTGCATTGGTTCCTGTTTCATATTCCATTGATCCTTCCGGAATCATTTATTAACCATGAGTTTATTTGTGTATTTCGATGTGGTCGCCACGCAGATTCCGAAAACAAGTAACTAGAAGCTGTGTGATATCTAATCTTTCTTCGTAAGATTTACCTTTAGGCCTGGAATTATCATCCATAATTAAATTAAAGTGTTTACCCATTTACTCGTGATCGATTCGCTCATCTACAAATAAATACATTAATTTTGTGAAAATTTTCACTCAACCTTATATTCTTTATTTAGGGCAGACGCTAACATCTTATCTTCGCCTTAATTAATCTAAAACTCACCTTGGACACTTGCATCATTTACTGGAGTTTATTGATGCGATCCCGAGTATGTTTATATATATTGATACTTGAAAAAAAGTAAGAAAATCTTACTTTACTTGTTGTCCTCATGAATTAAGTGTGCCCTACGTAGCTAGCTTCCATCGAAAGTATAGGATGGAATTATCGAATTTCTGGTCAAAGGGAAAATTTTAAGTCATAGTCAACATGCAGTTTTTTGGCAACAGCCAAAACTGAAACTTTAAGTGTTTCAGACCTTCAAGGAAAGAACGGCCACTTGGCCTCTCCTCCAATCAACTTATGATGGCACGATGAGATGCTTTCCAAAACGCAAAGGATTCGTTGAAAATGAAGCTCTTAGCAAACCGTAAAACAATATCAAATGACAATGTATCAAATTGCAGTGTTTGCAGAAAAATTAATGTTGCTTACATGCACGAAAAGCATATAGCATTGCGAGAACAGCTATAATAATAAGTAGAAATTCAGAAGAAACAATCGCGTAGTAGGTAGAAGTATTACTATTACTATTAGTATGTTTAAGTTGACTCTGAAAATCTGTTTGTTTCAACGAAATAGTTTACTCCTTCTTCTACTAAGCATTCAATGAAAATATTTTATTTTTTATTTATTCACAAGACCATTACAATACACATTATTTGTTGAGTCTAAAATGTTATACGGATATTTGCATGAAACTTTTATGCTGGAATCGCACTCTTCACATTATCTTCATAGAAACGCATCATAAATTTATAAGGCCTTATTTGGAAATTTTATATGGCCAGCTTAGTCCATGTAGACAGTATTATATCAATGCAAGCCCTTTTCTATTAATTGTTTCTGAATCTAAACTACGACGAATTTTTCAAATAACTCCTACAAATTTTACGCTGGGCAGTGGACACCGGTAACTTCTCACAACCACACTTAGAGACGTTCCTCAACTGACTGGAGTCTGGAATAACCTGACGCACGCTGCATGGATCATCGAAATTTCCAAGGACTTACTTCGCCAGGTTTGCGCACGTAGGCAGGAGCTTTCGACAGCTTTGTAAACAATTTTTTATATTAAAAAAACATAGGATCCAAAATTGAGTGATATCAAGGAACTTTGTTTGTTGATTCAAATTCATGACGAAATCTTTTTGGATCTATATACAAACTTCATACAATAAGTAACCCTACAAAAACAAATTAGTAGGCTTCTATAATATTTCAAAATTAGTATAAGAATAGTCATTCTGATAAAGAATCTAGTTCAAACACGAAATTAAAAATACCTACGTTTTTCTCCGCGTCCGCGATTTATGTGAATCTGGACAGAAAGAAGAGCACCGTATGGAAATGTTGGGAGGAGTGACAGCGCACGGCCGCTGACAAATCAGTTATTTCGCGATGGGATCACCTTTTCCCACAAACGCGAAGGAATACATACAATGGGTATTTTCACCTCACATAGGTGTATTTTGTGACGAAGATTCTGAAAGTTCTTGTCTCCGTAATAATCTCAAATTCGTTGATCTTATCCAACCTTTTTGCCAGTTACCCGATGAAGGTGAGACAAATTTCAGATCCGTGGACGGACCAATATTACATACCTAATACATGTGCAGTAAGAAGTGCTAACCAAGAGGCTTATACCGAACTATTTTGCTTTATTTATTGTATAAACACTATGTATATATTTAGCTAGGTACCTATAAAAGTAAATTTGTTTCTTGGTACAAAAAAAAATCATACAAATAAATTGGCATCCTCTTGTGTTCTATGTTGAAAAATATTTTCAGAATAGTTTGGAATTTACTAAAATATTGTGTCTACATTGGTCACTTCTACGCCATTTGCCCAATTTTTTAGTAAAGCTCAAGGACAGATGCATTTCCTTTCCTTCTATAATATTAAGCCTAATGATTTACTACAATTAAAAATTTAAAATGTTTTCAGAATCCTGCAATTTTTGGAAAATCTTTCCTAGGCTAAATGCTAAAGCAAGATTTGCTATCAAGTTATAATTAAATGTTTTCAACAAGATTTATATAAATTATAAATTTTGTTAGATACGTACTAAAATAATATTTAATTTCCGAGCTTCAAGTGTTTTCTAGAGCAATTTTTAAATCAGTTTTGCAAATTTTTTAATTTTCTTAACCCACAGGCCACAAGTTTATTTTTCAAGCCATGAATTGATTTTCTGTACCATAAAATGGCCAATGGGATAACTTTGACCACTTTTTTTTCATAATGATGCCATTTTTTTACTAGATAAGTTAAACTTAAATTGAAACATGCAAAATACAGGTCTATACTTTACCATTGCTCACCATAAATTGCTAGCTCCTGCCTCTCATAGTTTTGATGTAATTTCAAAAAAAGTGATGGTCTTTGTTACCCCAGCTCTTGGGGTTTCTTTGACCAGGTGGTAAAATCAATTTTATTTTTTGGTAAAACAACTCCAAATAACTCCAGGTTGTAGTGCATTGTAGATTTGTAGTAGAACTCTTCTAGTTACATATGCAAAAGACAAATTTTAGGAAAGTGTCATAGTTTGCAAATGGAAACTGGAAGTGGGTGAAATGTGACCACCTACCACACTCAGGATGATGTATGTTTTCGGTGAATTTTCCCGTGCATTTTCACTTTTTTCAAGCTATTGCTGTGCTCAGTTGGCGCAATGTAATGAAAGTTGATTCTCTTTGCGCACGTGTTCGCGCAATCTTGGCCATCAATTCTACGTCGCGCTGCCGCGCACGAGCAGTATGTGGAGGAACAGACGTAATACTCACATTACTCAGTACAGTATGCCTTTAATTATCTTTCAATAATATATGATTTTTCTTGATACGGAAATTTGGTGAATGAGAAATCTAGAACTTTATTTTAGAAGAAATTTTCTCCACAATCATATGGCAACACTGAACACCGTCTGTTTACATTTCGTATGTATAATAGCCGCAGTTTACGATTACCGTACGTTCCGTATCCGACAAGGCGGACAAGCGGAAGAGTCAGAAGTAACCCGGACATGTCTTACATTTTATTATTGTTCGTTCGACTCGCGTAGTCAATATACTCGCGTATATTGTCGACTAAAATAGTAGAACTATTTTAGCTTTCTAAAGTACGGCGCACGGCGCATTTTTTTACCAGCATAGTACGGTGCACCGCGCAGGTCGTTAAAATGACAAAATAAATTCCCGCGCACCTGGCACATCTTCCTGACCATGGACCACCTAATGGCACTATGGCAGCTGTGATGGGGTAACATTGACCGGTTTGGAAATTAAGTTAAAATTACCATATATAACACTCTGTAGAGTCTGAAACATAAAGAAAAACATTAGTAGGTGTATCAAACATAAAATATGTTATATAGGTACCTATGGTAATTTTAACTTAATTTCCAAGCCAGTCAATGTTACCCCGTCACGGCTGCCTTTAGGTGGTCAAAGTTAGGTGCCCCCCATTTGCAAACTATGACAATTTCCTAAAATTTGTCTTCGGCATATGTAACTAGAAGAGTTCTACTACAATGCATCAAAACCTGGAGTTATTTTACCAAAAAAAAATGAAAAAATTGCAGGGGGTACTCTGACAGGCTTTAAATAATAGCTCTTTTTTGTGGGTCCTATTATTAATTTTTTAACCCATTAGATATGCAAACTTTTTAAATCTTTCTATTGTGTTACGTAGCCTTTGATGGCCACTGACAAAATTTTTCTATGTCAAATCATTTTTGAGTTTTGGGGGTTTTTGTTAAAAAAACGAAAAGTGGTCAAAGTTACCCTGCCGGTCAAAGTAACCCCATTTTATGGTATGTCTTAATTAAGGAATGTTAGTTCTTCAACAAGTTTTCCATTACCAATTTTATCATGTATCAGTAAACAAATTCTTACTTATTTGAAAAAATTATCATACAAACTTATGAAGAATAGATCATAGATGAACCCTGTCAGTCTGTCAGATGTTAACAAAAACTTGAAAAATTTTGCTAGGATAGAGTTCAGAAAATGTTTTGAGATATATGAAATTAATTTAGGTATTATGTTCTAAAATCTAATAAATTTATTTTTCACAGTTGGCATCAGTGACCCTAACCGCACCTTGATCACACTACAAAATTTACGGCTGGTTTTACAAGACATCAATGTGAAACCACCTGCACCTGCTGTTGCCAAAAAGATACTGAGTCATGTTGTTAGTGTAAATGCTACTCCTCCAAGTGAAGGTGAGGTTAGACATAGTGTATGTAAGAGTTTAGTTGGCATAAAGCTAATGCTTGAATCATCTGTTTAATATTTAAAAAATAATTGACCACTTTCCATTTTGTAGGTGCATTTTTGAAAAATCTATGTCATTGAGGCTTAGAACTAATGTGACATTTAGTTTCATAATCTAAAACAATAATGGGACATCTTATATGTATCACAGAATATTTCCATTCACAAATATCTAATAGTTTGTTTGTTTTTTAAATGTATGATATGGTTTCTGCATGATTTTCTTCTTAATTCACAGAAGCTTCATTTTCTGATCTGAGTTGTCCCTGGTATGAGAAGTGGAGAGAGACATTTCATCAGCTTCAACATCCCTTTGATCATGAGTTTACCAAGCATCTACTAGCCTGCATTTTTGTGAGTTGAACTGGGTTTATTGAGGTCTATTACAGTTATTTTGTAGTTATGGTGTGAAATGATCTGTCAGATAATTGAAATGATTTATCCTTGATTAAAACTTGAATTACAGTATATTTCAAGAAATACATAGTTCACTTCTCTCGTTTTTGATAATTTTCATTGAATAAAAATTTTGACATGAATAAAAAATGATTTTTCACAGGAGTCTTTGCCCTGAATACAATTGATTTAATTTGTTGTCCTGCTGATCAGGTGGTGTCTTCCAGTCATGGCAGCAATGCTAGTGAAGAGGTGCAGAAATTAACACAGCAACAACACCAACAACAACATCAACCTCACCAACATGGTGCCAGCAAATTTCCCAAATGGTTCTCTCCGAACATCTTGAAGTATTATCTGGTACTGCATGATGTCTCCACCACAACTAAAGAGATGTAAGCATATTTTCTTTGTCAAATTGCACGTTGATTGACTGCACACTTGAGATCCAGTTTATAGTGCTAATCAATAACAGATACAATGGTATCATTTTATTTCTTTCCAACTTAATATTGCTGAGCATAAACTAATCTGATTCATACAAACTATTAAATAGCATTATACCCTGTTCTATTCCAGTGGAGATGCAGCCTATCAATCAGTAAACGCTCTATGTGGCAACTCAGGCTGTCACATTCTGAGTATCAACAGTGGTCGACCACCAGACTGCTCTAATCTCCCTGCTTTCTGGACGCCCCACACACTTATTCACACAAGCCTGCCAGGCAACAACAGGTTTTTTTCATTAACCAAAACCAATCTGTATCAAATTAATCATATATATATAACATTTTCTCCTCACTCTGTTGTGCTGTGTAATGGTTCAAGTTTAAATATTGTTTCTAATTTGTCTTGTTATCCATCATTAATTATTTTAAAATTCTATTAATATTTTAATTCCTCCCACTTGAACTTTTTATTTTTTTTTACACTGGAAAGGTGTAAATGAGTTTTTTAAGATATTCCTTGTATTCCTAGCAGTGTCACTGGGTCAGAGTGCAGCTCCAGCCCTGCAAGTCCCTGTGATGACTATTCCTTGGGTTCACCATCTTCTGTGGAGGGTGCAAACTCTCCCCCACAGGGCAGCACTCCTCCTCCCAGCGACTCAGATTACCTCACCAGCAATCTTGTTCAGTCACTGCCCTCACCAGACCATCCCCTTTCACCTACTCTTCCAAACATTGCGGACAATGAAGGGGCTGAAGAACTTGTGGTCAATGTTGGGGATCTTTTTCCTACGGCTGGTCGAGGAGTAGAGTGGGGCTGCTGCCTCACTGTTGGGGACGTGGACAACATCAGACAGTTTATAGGGAGCTTCGTGAGAGGAGCTCTGGTTCCTTATGTTGAGCGCCAGGTGAAGAAAAGTATTTATGTTTTTCTCAGTATTAAGCTGTTAAGTTTTGAGAATGTTTTTAATGCTATTATTCAGCATATGTGTCCTAGTATTATGTTGATGCATTGTCTTGAAAGGGAAAGTGCCTGGGTATTTAGATGAAGTATTGGTGATAAAGCATAAGTGTTTTGCACATAAAATACATAAGCCCTTTTAAAAGGTTATACCAAGTAGTGATGGCTCACGTCTTTTTGTGTTTACAGTCTTTAACAGAAAATTAATTTTAAAGCTTCATAAGTGACTTTTTTTTTATATCAAATTATTTAGAAAAATGTGCTATCTTTACTTTGTTGCCTATTGTTCAGGTTCGGCATTTAACAGAGGTTGTCACGAACCGTTCGCGCAGCAAAAGTTTGCTCAGCGCCACGCGCCGTTGGCTTGGCGGTTCCAAAAACCCAAACGCCAGCACCGGTACCAACGTGCTCTATTCTAGTGAGGCATCAGAACTGCAGACACGCAGACTAGCAGACCTTGCCTTCATGTTTCGCATGTACGACATAGCCTACAACAATTATCACACGGCCAAGAATGACTTCAAGAATGATCAAGCTTGGCTTTACTTTGCCGGGGCTCAGGAAATGGCTGCACTCTCGCTCTTCTTGCAGAATGGAAGCGAATTTCCAAAACGATATTTAGAGACTACGTGGGAGACGCTGTCCACCGCGTGTAAAGTGAGTTGTCTAATTGATCAGGTTCTGACTTTAAGATTAACCATTGCATTTTGGCCTATGCATATTCCGTCTTGGATTTGGATTCAAGAGAAGGTTTTTAGTCAATTATAAGAGCATGGTTATTGAATAATGGCTTTTCTATTAGATTTGTGACCTTAATTTTATATGTGAGCAGACTCCACATAGTATATTTATTTACTGACAAATAAAGTGCGTCTCCGACTATCATAACAATAAATGCGAGTTTCAAATTCTATAACTTTTTTCAGGCCACCAACCTTGGTATACGCCTACTGCTGGTAGCATGCGAGGTTCTGAAGCACAACAGACAGTACAGCGAGGCCGCCATGTATTACATAAAGCTCACTTCGGAAGACAGTGATCTGCTGTCAGCATTGATGCTTGAGCAAGCAGCTTCCTGCTTCCTCAAGTCTGGCCTCGTCAACAAGCCTGGGCACCGACGCAAATTTGCCTTCCACATGACGCTTGCTGGCCATCGCTACAGCAAGGCTGGGCAGAAGCTCCTCTCTCTCAGGGCTAACGTGCTTGCCAGCAAGGTAACTATCATCAAGATTTCCCAACTTTCCCTTTCGTTTTCAATGGCAATTATTTGTTTACTTCTTTCTTAGATTTAGTTAATATTTTTCAATTCTTTAGAGAATTTGTTGTGAATGATCTGCATGGCAGTCCTGCACCTCCGAGGTTGGATCAGGTTTGCTTACTTCAGAGTAAGCAATCTTTGCTCTAACTCTTAGACTTGCCATGATAGACACGCGTCTCAAGGCAGTCTTTACAGAATCTTCGTTGAGCAGGTATATGGCGTGAATGGCTTGGTGCTGGCAGAAGACCACATCCTGTACAGCGTTGGCAAATTCAGCACACAACTCAAGAGTTACGGCCCTGCACTTGCTGCCTACACTCAACTCATTGATGCTCGCAGCCGCCTCAATGCTCCTAGCAAGCAATCTGTAAATCAGCAACTGGCTTACTTAAGAGAGTTCCTTTCTCTTTACAGACTTGTTGAAAGTAATCGCGATGGTAATCAACTCTCACGGCCAGAATCTGTGTCGGTATCAGCTGACGAACCGCTAAAAAATAATTCCTTGCCTGAGCTACCAGACCTGCCTGTGCCTTGGTTGTGTGCACAAGAGTCGACGCTTTTAATGGACTCATCTGTACCTTTCAATCTCGCGCAAAATGATCCTGCTGTTAGTCATGCATCAGGTATCACCTTCGCAAACTATAACCGAGAACATTCTCACAAATGGGCTGGTTTGGAAAGAATCACTTTGGAAAAGACTCAAGGCATGATGTTCCGTCCTCCTCCTCCCCAGTTCTTAAATGAACACACTGACAACACACGGACTCCCCTATTATCTTTGAATGAACCGTGTTGGCTGCAACTGCCCGTGAGAAATCCTCTCCTTGTAAGCTTTGCTATACGCGATACGAAACTTTTGTACAAATTCTTACCTGATGACCAAGACTCTAGTGGTTTTGACTCTAAGCTGTCTGTAGTCCAGTCCTCGTCTGAAGAGAACATCGTTCTAGGTCCTGGTGAAAGCCGTAACCTCGTTTTCCAGATCACATCTTCGCAGTTGGGTCGAATCGTAATAGAAGGACTCGAGTACAAATTGAGCCTCACTTCTGAAAATACTTACAGTGACGACAATTCGTCGTCACTGACTGCTATTACAGGGAAACAATGTTTTTCTGTCAAAGGACCGAGGCTCAATAATACCTTGAAGAATCGCAGCAGCGTCCTATATGCTTCAGACCATCGACTAGAGATCAGCGTAGTGTCGCCCTTGCCTAAAGTTCGAGTGCAATTCAGAGGTCTTCCCGAGAGATTAATGTGTGGCCAATTAACTCGAGCAGATATTTCTTTAGAAAATATCGGAAGTTTGCCTATCACAGGTTTGTACATAGCTTCATCTGACCCTCAACACTCATTCTCAGTGTTTCGAAAGTCTCATGAGCAACCAGCGCATGATTCTTCAGACAAAACGGCCTCCAGTGAGTCTTCCATTGCAAGAAAACAAATTAAAGACAGTTTTACCTGTTCTAGAGTGCAGGAAATTAATTTAAACGATGCTAGTCCTCCAGAGTTGCCAGTTAACGGTGTCGTGAAAGGCACTTTGTGGATCCGAGGTCAGATGTCACCTGGCACTCAGGATTTGATGTTGCTGTTCTACTGCCACTCGCCCAACGCCGACGCCAAAGTCAAGTGAGTTTACAGTAAATGCTCGGTCATTATCTCCACTTGGGCAAAGACGAAGCTCTGCTCGTTTTAATTCTTGTTTATTGTCCCAAAACTATTTATCTCTTTATATACACGGAGTACATCATTATGCAGCGGTTCAGTATTTTCAAAACAAATAGTACGTTACACACATGAACGGAAAGTTATCATTCAACTGCAATCACATCTTCAAGATGTGATCATGAGTTTGTTAAACTTGTATTCGATACTTTTATTTTTACTATAAATTATATCAGTTCCATTATTTCAACTTATAATTTGATTGTTTTGTAATTTGCCAGTTTTTTTACTTATTTTCAATGGGAAGACGTGTTATGTGTCGCAGAAATAAGCGTTTTGTGTGCAGCTACACTGCTGAATGTTTCAAATAATACTTGGAGTACAGCTGTTAGTGAACCTAATGTGTGTTCGCGCAGGTACAGATTTCTACGTCATCACAGCAGCTTTGCTGTCGAAACCAGCATGGCAGTGGCTGTCCAGTCTTCCTCGAGCGTCTCTATTCCCTTGGTGCTATCGTCGCCAGTGCCCTCGTCAAGTGCTGCTGCTCAAGTTCCATTGGAAACGAGACCTCCTGCTAGCGAATGCAGTTCATGGGTTGAAGTTTATCATTCCGACGTTGGCAACCTAGCGAACATTTCGGTGGAAGTGACGAATGCTGCCATCACTGAGCCGGATGATGTTCGTCGCAAGTTACAGGTCACGGCGATAACCTGTCATAGTTCTAAATGGAAGCTTAAATCTTTTGGCAATAGAAGCCTCTGTGAAGACTTTAGCTTACTCCCAGGTGAAAGCGTTAGGACAATGGTACAGTCATATTCCTCGAGTGACTCCTCCATGTTATCTATGGAAGCCAACAATTTATTTTCTGTGATCCCATTTAGTGCTGATCCTCAAGACCAGACGACGGTATCTTGGTTACCTGACGACGAGTGGCTAGAAGTTAGTGGAAGTTTTGCTTTGCGGCACCTAGTGGAACTGCCTCCACTGACAGCAGAGCCTCCACCAGTCTGTCCAAATGCGGACTGTGCTGCTGCAGTTTTGCACCCTGCACTTGAGCAGTACAACAGCCTTAGGCGTTCTAGTGACCTGCATCTCGTGCTTACCGTACACTGGGCTCAGCACCATGACAGTAGTTCAGTCGTCAGAGGACAGCACAGTGTTGTGTTGACGAGTATTGGTTGTGAGGCCAGCGTTCCAGAAAAAGGCGCTCCTGTTGTAGATCCTTTTTCTTCGTTACCTCTTGCCTTAGCTGAAGAGGAACCTCTACCTCCTGTCCAGATCATCCCTGCGGCTCCAATTGAGTTGCCGCAAATACCTTCTGACTTCGCCAAATCGGTTGGGATCGACCTCAACGCTAATGCTGGGTCATTTCTCAAGGTATTTCCATTGTTCTTGTTAAATATTTATTCATTTCACTTTACTTGTAATTATTTTCTTATCTCATGTGTAATAACTACTTAACTAGAGCGGATTCCATTTGAATGTAATATTCAATTAAGCTAACTATTTATCTGCTGGTGTAGCTTGCTGAAGTGATTTATTATTACTACATATTACCCTTAATATGTCAATAATATCAAACAATCAATATCAATCGATAATAAAATTGTTGGAAATAGACCATCAAGAAACGATCTCACTCTTTGCACAATTTTATTCGAATCAGTAGCTCGAAATATAATGCGACGAGAACCTGAACAAATTAGTAAGAGTTTAACTGATCTAGCAGCTGCCGTCCACGGGCCTGACGGTGAGGCAGGCGACGTCTCTGTACGTGAAGGGTGAGGTGGATGTGACGGCAGACCTCACCGCTGAGCAGCTCGACGCGTGCGTCAAAGTGCGCGCTCTGTGTGCGCCCTGCGTCACCCACGACTTCTCGACCAAAAAGTGCGCTCATTGAACTCATTTTGCGTACCGTCAACTGGGGTGACTCCGGCCACATCTACAACAAAAACAAATGACAGCAAAACAAAATAATAAACGTTGGCCAAAGTGACTGGGGTGACTTTGGCCAACGCTTATTATTTTGTTTTGCTGCCATTTGTTTCTGGTGTAGGTGAGGCCGAAGTCACCCCAGTTGACGGTAGCCTTTATCAGTTACTATTTCTTTACCTGACTGTTATATTTTATTTTTGTTGTTTTGTATGTCTGGTTTTGTTATTCTAAGTTTTTGTGTTAGCTTCCTTTCCTTGTTGGTAAATGTCAACGGCTTTCATTTATTTGTTCAATGTTTTGTATTAATCACCGTCAGAGGATTCCGTTTATTTTTGAAGTATCATGAGTTAGTGAAATTTTGTGTGGGTTTAACCGCGATTGTTATATATTACAAAAATTGTACTTCAACTATTGAATGCCTCTAGATAACCATTGATTCCATTGTTGAATTTTAGAATGAATGGAAAAAAATAATTGAACTAAATCGTGAACGTTCTTGAAATTTTTACATTTCGTAAAGTTATGAAACTTTAACTGATTTTATAACTTTTCACCTTTGAAAACTGATCACAAGTTTGTATTTAGGTTTAATATGTTTGCTCGTAAGTATTTTGAATAATTTTGTGTGTTCCAGACTAAGCCCTGTGAATTTCACGGTGCTTGTGCACAACACAACTGACATCGATCTCGCCTGTGTCTTTAAACTCTTCCATCAAACGTAAGTGGCACAAATGTTTGTGTGAATCATGTTTTTGCGTTCATTTTGTGCGTCTGATATTATCTCCCAAACTAGACTTGTGTGTGCGAATTATTTATTTTAAATCATTTCCGAGTTTTGTTCTTAAATTCTTTCTATATCATATTATTATTACACAGAGACGCTAGCAATCTTGTAGGAGGCACACAAGATCCACCTCGCGCGACGAGTGCCAGCGGCACACTGCGATATGTGGGAACGGTGACACGCAAGCTGAAGCTACCACCTTCGTCGCAGTGCAGAGTTCCATGTCAAGCCGTAGTGGTCTCCGCGGGGGCTCATTCTCTGGGCGCTGTCCTGCTCCAACTCAAAACTAACGATGGCATCAAACTTGTCAAACGCGTCGAACTGGACGCTACGGTTGTGGTAACCGATGGTAGATAACTAAACTATGATTTCTTAAGTGAAATTATTCTAAGTGCATGCTGAAATGCGAGTACATCTAAGTCTGAAACTGGCTTCAAGTGTGTGAAGTTGGTTGCGTTTTGGCCACAGTCAGGGCCACTGTAAGTGATAGGTGAGAACCATCCAAAGCTCATCATTTCGCATAAGTTAACTTCCGATAAGAATTTTCATTATTCACTTTACAGCGCTCGAACTTTTTAAGCCGTCATATTGCAATATTTTGTACTCTCATGTATTAATGATTCCTGGTACTATTCGGAACGAAAAGAGTTCTATTTGTCTGCGCCAAATGCTAAAATAATGAAAGTACTCTCAAAGAATTTTTATCCTCATCAATTTTGATTTTTTTTTGCATTGAGAGTAGCTTCGTTTATTCCTAAATGTGGCTAGACTTTGCTCTCTTACAGTATTGAGTCTTACTCAAATTAAACGCTAGGACGCGCTTCAAATTTAGTTGTTAAATGTAAGTCATATTTTGTCACAACTGATGCTGTTCGTGCGAGCAAAGCTTGCATAATAGAAGATCGAGCCCTGCCTTACTGGAGATATTTAAATAAAAATTAATATACTCAAGATAATTTTTCAGACCCATTACATCATTTACAATAATATTACAGAATGATTTCTTTGCTTTGAAGTGTACTTTCTATGTAGGCAGACCTCTGAAATGACATTTGTATCTTTCTTGAATTAGGCCCCTCATCAGGGCGGTCCAAGAAATGTCAGTGAATTGCCACAGATTGGATTTGTCACTACTTTTTTTATGCTTGCCATTATGATGTGCAATGTCGATATTACGTGTGATGCGTTAACATATTGTATATGGATACTTTTATTGATAACCCAGGTCGCATTGATTCTTGAAATTGAAATAATCAAACCATATAATGATACCACATACAAATAAAGGGAATTATCAAGATAGAGCTTTTTTGAGGTATAAAAAGCGTCGAGATTCGCATGTTAATAAGTCCTTATTGTGTATATTATTGCGTATATAGCTCATTTTTATTACAGTATGCATGAGCAGAAATCTAGTTTAGCCTTTTGTCAGGAAATGTTATCAGTTTTTTCCATTTAAACTGAAGTGTTTGCTGAACCTTCTTGTTGAACTAGGGACTTGTAGAACGCATAATTTTATTACTGTACAAAGATGATGTGGATGCTGGAGTACGCGACCGATTTTTATTCAAATGTCGATTTTTTTCATTGATTAAACTCTGAAATGATCATGTTTGAAGATTAAACATCCAGGTTAACAAATGGGGATAAAGTCTTGTTGATTCTAGCACATTTCTCTTGTAGAATATTCCATTAGTAATAAATAAACTCTGATTTTTTATAGAGTTCCAGAGGTAAACATGATTTATGCTTAGGTAATTTCTATATTATTTTGCAGTTATGAAAGTCTGCAGCGTTCTTAATAGTCGTTGATGATCTAGTTTATCGGCGAATTTCCCAGCACTAGCTCGGCGGGTATAATATTTATTATTTGATATTGACTCATCATATGATCTTGTCTGTAATTTTATGTGTGTATGCCTGTATTTTTTACCAGTTTCCACTGTAGCTCTTTGATACGAGGCAGCAATTCTTTTGCTGTGTGAACTGGAGGGCTTCTTCTTTAACTCCATCATATATGTACCGTTTAATTATTTATGTGATTTTTTACGTTTTTATTTAATTTACGAGTTATTTTCTATGAATATTCTACAATAGTGACAAGTTTTACAGGACTATTCTAACTAGTTCCTGGTATTGTTCGATGAGAGTGATATCTTCTAGTGCCATCTGCACCTAACGTTGCTCCTGCCAACTTAGCAACTCGAAACGCTGCGTTGCTACTAACACAGTTTCGACTCCTCGGAGCTTTGAACATCATCATCAATGAGTTGAGTTTATTCAGGTTGAAAGTTAAACAGTAGAGAAAATTCGGCAGTAAATTATTTGGTCAACGGCTGACGCCAGTGTCGCTGGCATACGCGTGCACTGACGAATTTGGGATGACTTTCACGAATGCCCTGATGTTGATGCAGCGACAAAAGTTAACTCTAATCAAATTTAATATCTTGGCACATGATAACGTGGATGACGCTGATGGTATAAGCAAATGCTGACATGAACGACTCAATTTATTTCTAGAAATGCAGATGAATGACTCAAAATACGTCGGGAATTGATGACATGAATGACACAATAATACTTGGGGAAATGCTCATATTAATGACACTGAATGTATTCGGTAAATGCTGAAAATTATGACTTTAAAATCAAGGCGAAAATTGCCCGGCCATATTATATCAGTGCTCACTTTACAAATCCTAGCGCTCTCACTGTGTATCTGTACATTTCGTAAATATCTTTCGGCGATTACCTTACACCCTAGCACACTTATTGCCTCTGGTATTTTGACCTGAAAAGACATCTTGAGGTCTATACGATTAACTATGATAATATTGTTAGTGGGATATGGTAGCTCCTGTGATCGTCTTGTACTACTAAGTTACTGTTTCCAATTTTTCCTGTGTATGCAAGTTCCGTTGTTTTCCTTCCTTGCTTGATTGGATTGTGGTATTGTATTATATTGTAACATTGAACAATACATAATAGCTGCATTGTTTCGTAGCATTCCAATTGTCACTTGACTACTTCGAAGTGTCGAATTAAATGCTAAATGCCTGAATGCTTTTCTCAAGCTGATTTTCCTACGTTGCACGAAACCTTCATACACAATTTTTGAAAAAGCTCCTACTATAAGCAAGATATTCAGATATCGTATCCAATTTTAATGCATTCTGTAAACCGCCCTAATTTGTTGAATCTTTTATATTTCCAAAACTGCAATTCGCGCAACGTGAGTGTGGTTCCGCCTGACGTGCGTGTGTCGTGCTTCCGTGGCAACGTCCGCACGTATGTCGCGTCGTAGCGCCTCGTCCCGTTAAGAGCCCAAACAAACTTCAACGTTGCCTATTTAGTCGACTTTAAAGGATTTTTAAGCATGCTAGTGTCAAGCCTGGCAGTGTTTGGGCGGAGAGCTTCAGTGAGAAAGTTCTCAGGAGTTACCGTGGGTTTCCCACAAATGCAGTCAATTTGTAGAAACTCCCACGCAAGCTACATTGCAGAAATGAGTCTGCGAGGTACGCCGTGTCGTGCGACCATCCATGATCAGTCGTAAAACTCGACTGTCGCTGGCCGGTCCGACGGGCCGTGACTTCGCTGCAAGCGTACGAACCATTATGCTTTATTGTACGTGAATATAATAAGGTATTTTGGTCAGCTTGCTTGGCCAATTATGGTTTGCTATGTTGTCGCAGCGTGACTGCGGCGTAACTGGTAATCTGTTTTCCTGCTCAGAATAACTGGATCATAACAACAAGGTTCGTCTGCGGTTTTGTGTACGAACGACACTATGCTCGTTTCTAATCAAAATTATTATTCTTGTTATAAAGAATAATATGAAGACCGACTCCTGTTCATAGAATCATTCACAGCAATATTGCCAAATATTATTTTGATAACGTTTGCGAGTCGCTGTTTTTTCCTTCGGCAAAGATAAATGGTTACGTATTTTCCATGTAAAGATCGGGTTGAAGAGATTAGTTGTTAGTGGTAAAAATCAGTCTTGTCGGAGTAATGTTCATATATGTTAGAATAACAATTTGCTCTTCCCAACACCGACTGGAAAATTCAGTTGTGCCAGAAAATCTTTCGGAAGCAGAAGACTATGTGCGTTGTATAAAAAAAATAATGATACTAAAGTAAGTAACATACAATGAAAATAACATAAAGTCTTGAAAAAATAAAATTGTATTTCTTAGTTTTTCTCGACAACATGAAATGATTTAAAAATTATACAACCAAGTTCACAACATAACGGCTTCAAATACTTAACAAAGAACTGTAAAAATATTTGACTCTTTTTAATACACTTTGAAATTTCAATGAGCATGCGGCTATATATATATTAGTTCAACGTGACTTGCACTCAATTTGCGCGAGTTCGTAACGTCTGTTCAATGGATTTCAGACAAGCTTTTTTTTTTTTGTTTATCGGGCCTCATGCATATGAAGAACATGGGTGACTACCCGTATGTTTTTAATCTAAACTAAAAACGATCCTTAGTTGCTCAAAGAAAAAAATATACTCTATCTAAAATTACACTAGTGCCCTCCAAAACTATAACAATTTATACAAATTCTAGTTTGCGTCGTGCATAATGTTGTTGCATCCGTATTTACTCTCTCACTGAATTAAATAAAAACCTGATGATAATAATTCACGCGTTGGCATGTATTAGCTGAGTCATGACTGACTCTTTTTCAACACTTTTTTGCTCGAGTAACACTCTTTTAATTTTGCATAGGCATCGCTAAACGCTTTTTATTCACGATGCATTTTGTATGACTTTTGACACTCTCATCTGCATTGATCGTGAGACCGCGAGTGCAACTTTATCTTCGCTAAAATGTTACCCGTTGCTCAAGAGCACAGCGAGTGGTTGCCGCCTAATTTTTTTTCGATAGTGGCTCCTGTCGTGCTGTTGGTAATGACATCTGAATGTGGTGTGGTATATATTGAGGAAATATCTTACGAAATCAAGCTCAACCCTACGGAAACGATGTTTGTGAGTACAAAGTCGTATTTTGTTATATTTATACTTGGTTGCGGCTTGTTCATGACTTGGACGTAAGATTTGTTTCCAAACATCTCGTATCAAACTCCTAATCGGCTAATGCCTATACCTATACTATAGTAATGGAGTTATGAGGGCATATAATATAAGACAGGAATAGTCTACGTGTACGTGACATTGCGGCATCGTTTTCACCGAAAATCTTATCACCTGATTTATGAACTTGTGACTTTATTGAGTTTAAATTTGGATGCAAAAATTCATTATTTGCTCGATCAATGCACTTTAACTTTTTTTGGGTCTCATTGAACTGCGACTTTTTCATAGCGCGTTCGTTGAGAAATCTTTTATGAATATTGATTTAAAAAAATATGGTGTAAATGCAGCCAGTTTATTGTCAGCAGCCAACGGTGAGTGAGAAGTGTAGCTAATACTCTTGGAAAAGTGAATGCAAAAAAGGCATACTGAAGTGCCTTCGATGTCAACGACTTTCGCGGGAGAGCGGTTACCAAGGTTGGAATCTGCTGGTGAATTTGAAATTATCAAGCATATGCTATTGTTTCCTCCGTTCCATCATGTCTTTGTTAAACTATTGTTATTGAATCTTTCGTTCCTGTATCTAAATATGTTGCGAAAAATTTTGAATGTTTTAAAAAAAATCGAAGAAATGTACCTCGCACCAAATAACTACCAAAATATTCCGGTACTCTACTGAAACAGAGCAACAATTGTTGCTCATGGAGTGCTATTTAGTCATGCGAGGTCAGGCGCTCGGTGTGGAGTGTGCTTGCCAGTGATCTTTCATGACTGCACAAACTTCATTTGTTGTTCTGCGGGAAAAAATGAACTTACGTGGAGTTGGTCGATTATATTTTTAAGGTTCAGAGTGATTGCCAGGTGACTGCATTCGAGTGCAGAGCGTCTGCAATGCGTTCGGTTTTTTCTCTCCTCCATTTTTTTGGAATCCTTTCGAGTATCCCGCTAACTGTTGAATTTTGGGTTCCTCATCGATCCTTTTGTCAATTGCGAGACCCGTCGGATTTGTCTCATTTGAACTGAATAATTTTTCTCATGTTTCATCACGGATAGATTTGTAATTTAAATTTAAATCTGTTTTATTTTAGTCGTTCACGCAGGTTTAAAATCATGGGTTTAAACCGTCATGGCTGTTGTGACCATGGTTGAATTAATACTAATTCAACCATGGTTGTGAGTATTCAGTATGAAATAAGTAACATTGAACAAAATTGACACTTAATACAGCCCCGCTTGGAAAAAGTAAATGTAATAGGTTTGAACCTCATAAAATTGCTCACGTTCTATTTATTGAGTACGTATTTGCTTAGACCACCACCTGATTTGCGTAAACGCAAATCGAGGATCAAGGTCGTGAATCCGAGTTTTGGCGGTTCGGCTCCCGACCACCGGAAGTCGTAAAGAGTTGGCCCATGACGTCCGTTGCGCAGGACTCGAGCCCCGCTCATTGGTTCCGGCGTTTACGGAGACAAACGTGGCGCAAATTAGCGGGTATCGCGTATACGTGATACCCTCGGGCAACCGCCACCAATTCAGCACTCTTATTTTAATTATAATAAGAGTTGTTAGTCAGAACCTCGGCTCTATGATGTTCTTCGGCCAACGCTTGTGCTTAGAATCAGATTTTTTTAGACGGTCGCCAAATTGAGAATTATAAACAACTTCATTATGAAAATTCAATTTATGGCGGATGGAAGTTTCCTGAGAAAAAGTGTAATTTGATGAGCCACCGTTATGTTATAATGCGAATTCTATGCAGTCGTCATCAGACTTTAACTGGCTACCTATGAATTAATTCTTTTACTTAAAGCTTTTAGAATGTTGTTATATATCATGTTATTCCTTAGATATTGATGGAAGGTAGAAATAAAATAAACTGGTTTCAATTTTGCGTGAGAAACGGTAGCGCCACCAGGCGGCGACTTCAGGAGGCTGAACGCCGCTAACGATGACACGACTTTGATGTAACGAAATGTGATGAGTTCAGTAGGAGCCATTTGATGAAAGCCTCACTTCACTTGATGATCGATACTCCCTTACACAACTCGAGATTTAATAGCAATCAATCGCAGTCGGAATTAAGCAGAGCAGTGGAGCGGAAGTGTCAGTCGTTTTGCGAATGTTGTTAGGGTGTAAATAAAGTAAAAGAAATTACGTCCTAAATTCCAACATGAATGCACAAATGGATTTCTTATACATGACTAGCTCAGGGGAAAGCTTCAGTAAAAGCGGTTATATGTCACTGAAGACTTAAGGACGCAAATTATTAACAATCTAATTTCAAATTTCCAGTCTTGTCTACTACTCACAAATATGCAAGAGAAAATTCTTGATTTTACAATGTATGCTGACTTTGCCTTGATATTTTTTTTACCTTCATGACTCTCAAGATCCTCACTAACATGACGATTCAAGGAGTCACGAGTAAGTTTATTTATGTCCTTAACGTTTTATTTTGTAACGGCGGGTCGAATAATTTATTCATATGAGTCTGTATAAAGCTTGACCTTCTATAGTAATAACACAGGCTTCAGTAGAACGAGTAGCTCGCGTGTTTCATTGAGTTGCTTGGGGCGAGAAGCGCGTGCAATAATGAAGTGCAATTCGTCAGTGGCAGATCAGGTGAGAGTGGACCAGGATCAGGTCTTTATCAGAACCCTCTAGGTTTATTGCTCAATTCTCCTGCAATCCGATGACAGATTGACGTTCATTGACCCACGGACGAAGCCCTAAAACAAGCCCTGGATTATCCCTGAAAGCAGCGTGACACTGACTAAACGACTTGCCGTCATCCACAAAGGTGCAGATGTCCCGCGTCAGTGTCGCTCCCGTCGACTCGCCAGCTCTAAAGAATTTTTTTTTTCTGAATCCTTTCTCGAGCATGCCGCTGCCGCCACTTGTATTGACGTGGCCTCGTTGTCGTGTGTGTAAAAACACGAGCAACATAGGCTCCTTCCCCTCCCGTAACTGGCGTTTGTAGTCATCAATGGGTGACTGGATTTGCATGCGGTTC